ACGGCAAGAGTTCTGAAGAACGAACCGACAAAGAAATTTTGTCACTCCGATCGCGACCTTAAACCCAAACAGACTTTTTCTTTCGTCCTTAAGCCCCAAATTCTACGTCCCACTCTACAGCGCGACGCAAAACCCAACCAGCAGCCGTCTTCCTTCCTCATCTGATTTCCCCTTCCGTGCCAAACTTCAAGCACGGTTAATTAAATTTACTTCCCTATTAGAATAGAAATCGTGATTTAAGATAAGTGCGGTCTCGTGCCTCCAATCTTTACTGCATTGTCATTGGATTTCAATTGGTTTTTTTTTTAGTTTTAATCAACTTGTTGCTGAAATTTTGGAATTAGGGAAGAACTAGCTATATTACTAGACTTGCTTGGCTGAAAGTTTTATTGAGCACATTATGGAATTTAATGGGTTTTTGTTTGTTTCGCCAAAGTTTTTATTGGGTTTTATTGTTTCTAACATTGCAAATCTTGCTGAATGGGGAACGTTTTTTATAAAAATTTTTCTTGCTTGTTTGATAATTCGAATTTTTGTTTTTTAAATTGGAAGTTGGAATTGAATAACTGGTGAGTTCGATCGCTGAATATTATGAGTTTGGGCTTTTCATTCTAGGCTTTTATTGACTAAATTCAGTGTTTCAATGCGATTTTGGGAGTCAATTTATTGGGTTTAAATATTAGTATTGATTATGAGCCCTTTCTTAAAACTTTAGAACTGTTGTCATTGTTTGAACTAAGTTTGCTTGCCTGCTTGCTTATTTTGTTTTAACTGCCCATGTTTCAGTATTGGAAATTTGAATTGAATAGTTCAGCAGAAATTGTTTATTACAAGTTGAACTGAAATTTGCCTTTGCTGCTTCTTTGCCTTTGGGTTACATCTTTGAGGTAAAATAGAAAGCTGATAACATTCTGCAGACTACAACCATTTGGTTTGCATTTTCTTGTTTCTTTTGGTTTTTTCTTCTTTGGTTGTGTTTTTGTGTTTCAAGTTGGCATTTCCCAAAGCGATGAGCCCAAGAGCAACTATTTCTTTAAATGGCTAGAACAGGGTCCAGTTTTCCTTCCACACAGGGCATTTTTCCCTTCAACTTTCCTTTTTATTTACATTTTTAGCCCTTGAGTCCACATTAGGACAATTGTGGTGGAAGTAAAGTGTTGGGAGGGGAATGTGGACCATCTTTTGCTGAATTTTAAATTTTACTGGCATGTGTGTTCCTTTAGTACTTTGCTCTATGGTTTTCCTGCTGCCCATGTGCATATTGGGTATGACAACTTGACCGGTTTTTTGACTGGTTTTGTAAAAAATGCCCTAGGAGTTTTATTACCACTTATCCCAATGAAATATTTTGAGTAAAATTTTTTTTTGAAGCTGCATTTGGGGATTATCCCTGGGACTTAATTGGTTTGGGTCCTTTTTAAACATGAAAATTTTAGAATTATGGGAATCTAGAGAAGGAATACCCTTTGGCTTTTGAAAACTTGGTCTGACTTTGTGAGAGCCCTAGACGCAAGACTTAGCAAGCTGGAAAACCATAAACTTGAAATTGACCGTCATTTGCACTCGTGAAATCTTGGTTTAAATTCTGTTTACACTTTGAAATTCTCAAATCGGGTTTTCCGAAAACTTAGCCCTCTTTTTGGATACGTGTTTTTGGAAAGAGCAAAAAATCGTTGAAAAAAAAAAAAAATTTTGGATGCTTTTTCCGAACCACTAGAACCTCCTCTTTCTCTTACGTTCCCGTTGAGGCTGAATTCCCTAGTGAGTCCTTCGACTTTGGAAAATGATCTAAGTCAATTTCTTTTTTGGTCGATCTATAAAAAAAAAAAAAAAACTTCTATCGTTTTCCCACCTTGACGTTAACCCATCCTTCTTACCCCTTCTATAGCAAACGGAAGCAATGCCCTAAATGCGGTGTTTCCAAAGTTCTTTTCATAACCCCCCAATATAACCATAATAAACACCAAAAAGCCTCTCTTGGCCCCACCATTTTGGAACAAGGAAACTATCCCCTTTAATCGTTGTTTGAGCATGCATGGTTTAAGTTTTCCAAGTTTTTGGGCGCGAATGCCATTTTTGTTTCGTGTTTAATGTTTTGTTGTTTTTGGGAATAACATAGTCATTAGCGACTCTAATAATGTAATTAGTCCGTCTGTGATGTTCCGAAAAAAAAAAAGGAAAAGAAAATCAGAAAGAAATAAAAAAAAAAGAAAAAAGATAAAAAGAAAAGGAAAGAAAATAAAAATAACAGCAGCAATAAAATCAAAAAAAAAAAAGAAAAATTAGAGGGAAAGGCTACAATTGTTATGTTTTTGTTTTTGGGGAAGTTGCCCATTTGTTTTTGCCATCTAAAACATTAAAGTTAATAACGTGCATCTGCCTCTTGAACACTTAAATGTGAAGACTTATTTTTCTCTGTTTTTACTCTCTAGCCTTAACATTATCCTTTTCTTTTCTGTAACCATTACCTAGCCTACACCCATACATAAAAGACCTGATGAATCCCCCTCTATTTGAGGACTTGTCCTACATTAGTGAGAGGGAACCGCGAGGAAGGAAAGCCTTAGGGTTGTTTCATTCATTTGTTTTTCTTGAAGGCTACGAAATGTATTTTTTATATGCTTTTGAATTAATTGCTCGATAAAACATTGTTTGATTCCAAGCTTTCGTATGTGGTGCGTGAGTGTTTTCAGAATATTTCTTCAAGTGTTAACCTTTTTCTCGATTGAGTTTTCACGAGAAACGGAAATTGTTTTTTGGACGGTTTTGACTATCACTGGGCGATTTGCCGTTGTTTTGCGCATTTTTGCATATGTTGAAGTTCGAGTTTCGTTTGTGAAGTTGTGGTCTCCTAATAAATAGATTCCGAATTCCTTAAGTCATTTGCTTGAGGACAAAAAGCATGGGATAATGGTGGGGAAATTTTGAATACTTTCGCAAATCCAATTTTCTTTTATGTTATATTTGTGTTATTTGATGTCATTTTGTGCTTAAAAGAGTGGTTTTTTATCCTTGATTTATTGTTTTTTATATGCTTAAGGAAAAAGTTTGGATTTGATATGAAATGAAGCAAAAAAGGAGCAACAAATTGAATAGTTTTGAAGCAAAGGAAGTGAGCTTGCTGGAATTTTGGAACACAAATGCAGTTTTGTTAGGCTCTTTAGCCTTGGGCCCAAGACTAAGCAGGAAATCAAAGACCAGCCGGAACTGATTGGTGGACATTATTGCTGGTCACGACTTCTTTCAACTAATTCCAGCACGTTTACCAGCCAAAGGAATGATATTAGACACAGGTTTTAGTGGGCTATTTTTAATTGTATTAAGTGGAACCCCACCTTTCTAGGGCTATTAAGTCGAAAATTAGGTCTTTTTTGGGGTGTGGATGATCCTTTCTCCGCCTCCCTTTGGGTTGTGACATTTGACAGAAATTTTTTGAGAGAATTTCTCTAACCCGAACTTCAATTTTGGTGAGGATGTTTTCTTCCATAGTCATGTGGTTGGCCTAAACGTTCTGTTTCCAGTAAGGCCTAAACCAAGGTAGCAAGTTTGATTTCGATTTGTGAAGATATATGAACTTAAATAAATTTTCTTTTAATTTCTTTGCAAATTTAATGCCTTTCTGTGGGATTTTATTGGGAAAAATATATCCCCTGCGAAATTCCTATTGAATGATTTAACAGGGGCCCGTTATGTCTTGTTTGGTAGAAATTTCCCATAGCTATTTCGGCGTAAATCCATAATCCGTAATTGTTTTGGTTAGGTTGATGCAGTAGTAATTAATATAAACTTAAAATGGGGTTAGACACTTTCAAGGTTGTATTAAGAAGAAGATATAATCAGAGTTTAAATGAGCTCGAGTTTCTATTAATCTGGAAAGGGTTTTTTAGATTTTTAAAAGCGGTTTAACAGTTAAATCTCTTCGTCCGTACTTAAAGGATTTGGCTAGTTTGAAATTAAGGGGGTTGTTTTTTATTAGATCGCGTAATCTTAGCAACCTATTCCTGACGGTAAGAATTGGTTGGGTTTGACCCGTTTCTTTCTGGCTATAAACTTGTCTGTAATATGGAATTAAGGAATTTATCTTGAATCAATGATCAACTCCGAATCAAATTTCGATCCCGTATGCCTTGTGCTTTGAAAAATTTTCTATCAATTGTTCAGGTTTCAATTTTTTAATTTTAAATTGCACCAATTTATCTTTGATTTACATTTTTAAACTTTCCGTTTAGTTCGATTATTAAAATCTCCCGTTTCGAATATCTATTTTATTTATTTTCAGGTTTTGGCGTCTCATTTTCCGACAAAGCCTAATCCCTAGGGTTCGAATTCCTTTCTCAACCATATTTTAACCAAGTTTTATTTTGTAGGGCGAGCAGGTTTAATTATTTTTTTGGCGGATCGACGGCCCACCGTCCAACAGGAATAGAGATCTCAGTTTGCCTAATGGAGAACATTTTTGAAACCTGATCCAGTTCAATCATGCTTGAAGATAACAACTTCTAACATTCCCAACAGGCAATCTATTTTTAATTTTATTTTCAGTTTTGGTCTATTTTCGACAAAGCTAATCCCTAGGGTTCGATCCTTCTCACCATATTTACAAGTTTTATTTTGTAGGGGAGCAGGTTAATTATTTTTGGCGGATTCGACGCCCGTCAACAGGATAGAGATCTCAGTTGCCTAATGGAAAATTTTTTGAACCTGATTCCAAGTTCAATCATGATTGAAGATAACACTTCTAACATTCCAACAGGCAAGGTTAATGCACACATGCAGAATTATGCAACCACCAGAAAATCTAAATTTTCACATCAATATACTGGTTGATTTCTGGGTCATATCTATAAATAAATTTATCCACAACTTGCAACAAATAAGTGTTAATGTGAGATCTCAAAGTTACTTATTCTAACATTTTGGTGATACAAACACAAAAATTGGTTTGAACATTTGATTTGTTATAGCACATTGAAAGGGAAAAAATTGCAGTATACATATACCTTATCCTCCACGTTTGGGCCAATATAATCATTTTTCTCAATACCAAGCATCACTTCTGGGTTCCTACATGAGATAATATTGACAGAGAAATGATACATAACAAACAAGGACAAGCACGAGCACATATCATTATGAGTCAATAGAAACAACTAAATGAACAAATTCTGATAAATACCTTTCTTCTGTAATATTTTGATGATGGGAAGAAGTTGTACTTAAATCTGAAGCCACAGCACCAGGATTTGCTGCTGCAGAAGATCCTGGCTTGTCATCATCCTACAACATAACATTAACTAGAAACTATATTTTGGGATAGAGAATCACTGCAGGGACTACAAATGCTGTGCCTCAATGGCAAATACTTACAGCAGATTTCCCTTCCATCCAACCAGGGACTTTATCTGATACAAGGGCAACGTACTGCTCCATAGCCACCTCTGGATTCATGTTTCCCAGCCTTTGCCAAGCATTCCTTGCACAACGGAACCAGTGCCCTCCATCACTCATACATAGCAGCTGTCAACCCTGTTATTATTATAACTAACTATCAAACTATACCGTGTAATTTGGTAGAGGCAGGCCTAACGGTGTAGTTTGTATACTCATTTTCTTTTTCTTAGTTGGACAATTTTCTAATATGAGAGTATACAAATGGATGACTACCCAGACTTTTTATTTCTATGCTAAGCTGTCTGAATTTTGGTTCTATCTGAGATATGACTATATAGAAATCTAATGGACAGGAAGAAGAATTGCTCAGCACATAAGGAATAATGTAGATGGATAGCTGGAGCCTCAGCGAACATCTCAAATTTGCAACATGAAGACAAAACGGGTATAGATATGAGTTTGTTTCTATTGCTACAGGACATAATAGTATATGTAAGCTAGATAGGAAGAGACAAGAAGATAAAAGATGATGATAGTAGATGTAAGCATGAGTGGAAAGAGACAAGAAGATAAAAAGATGACACTTACAATGGAAGTGCCTCAACGAGGATCACTAATCGCTTCTATTTTTTCTTTTTTGGTTCAAGACTCCAGCCTAGGTACGTTTGATGTCCACAATGGATGGTTCTCATAGTTCATATCATCTTGTACTGCAATTATTTTATGCACAACCCGCCACAATTTTCAAACATTTTGATCAGGATTTTCCTTAATTTATCCACATTGCGGCAATTTTTCACTTCCACTAACCTTTTATATCTTACTTAACTCTTTAGTGTTGATTTTCTCAACTCTATCTCTAATGTCAAAGCTATCCATCTATCATTCATTCAGACAATTTAACAAACAGAAAAATAAAATAAATACAGAACCAATATATATATATATATAAAAGAGCCAAATACATGCGTTAGAAAGTTTAATACCACTTGGCCCGAGCAGCGACTTTAAGAGGCAAAGGCGGCTGCTCGCGGCAAGGCCCCTCAGTAGCCACCTTGTGAAGCCCATACAGTTCCATTTGAACATCGCTCCCTATACTTCTCGAGCCTCCATCTTTATCTGCAGACTCTACCAAGTTAACTGCCTTAGCAAAAACGTGATCCAATTCACTCCTCTCAATCCCCTCCCAATCATCGTCATCACTATCAATCTCTATTTTCTTCTCTTCACCTTTTTCTATCGTTTCACTCCCCACAACCCGAATCTCCTCAGATTCTTCAACAGCATCCTTTTTAACAGACGATTCTATGCCAACTGACTCGATTTCTATGTTTTCTTTAAGCAAATTATCATCAACACCTCTTTGTTTCTCGTCAATAGCACCCTTACCATCAGCCAATTCTACGCCAACGTGTCTGTTTACTTGAAACTCTCCTTCGCACTTACCTAACATATCCTCCGATGATTTATCCTCTTCCTTCAAACCTTCTTCGACTGATATTGTTACCAATTCACGGCATTCAGTTTCAATTACTTCATCGCGGTTCACCGATTTCTCGACTTCCGCAGCCTCAATCGATCCTCCAACAAACCCATCGACCTTTTGTGCACCTTCTTGAACAAATTCCACTCTCTTCTCACTCGTATACCCCTCAACCTTCAGCTTTTCAAAATACCGCAAATCCTCCATGACACGTTCATCACCGTCATCTCCGGTAATTTTCTGATCATCATTTTGACTCTTGGACAACTGCGAAGCATTGCTAGAATCGCCACCAGCCATAGCAATAGAAACAATCTTAGCGATAAGAAAAGAGCAAACAACAGCAACAAAAGCGGTGACAAACAACTCTTGAAGCAGCTCCATGGTTGTTTCTTTGTTTAAAGAATGGATAGAAAGATAAAGAAAGTGGCAGAAGAAGATGACGACGGTAGGTGAGAAGAGCAGCAGGAGAAATTAGCAGTAGATATAGAAAGAGAGGAAGAAAAATATCATTTGCAGAGAGGGAAGGGATATTTGCAGGGTAGAGCAAAGCATATTCTGTTCTTAGCTTTGGTAAATTACTTTCGCCTTTAAAATTATGAAGCGAGAGAGGTGGGTCCCGCCTTGCTGGCGAGTTGGGCAAGTCACGGAGGCGTCCTAAAAAGCGCGCAATCAGCCAACGATGGTTTTGCGACTTGGCGACTTCTTGCGTTTAACAGTCATAAATAAATGGTCCTTTAACCTCACCTGCCGCTGTAGCGCGCTTCGTTTTTCTTTTTGGGTCGCGTCACGACTCGCGAGTCTTTTTATTAGTGCAGTTTTCTTTTTTCACACTGTTTTGAATTAGGACCAAGTCGCAATCTTCAATTTGCGAGGAAATTGTAAGTTTGGTGAGCCAAAATTTTAATATTTTTACATCAGAAAAAAAATATAAAATATTCTTTAAATTTAAATTTAATCAATTTTTATATATTGGGGAAGTATTTATGATTTAAAAAGAGGAATTATTTGTGCAATTGAATACGTTGTGAAAATGTTGTTTTTTATACCACAATAATTATATTTTTATTACATTGAAATTGGGTGATAATATTCTTTAAAAAAAGGATAATAATAATAATAATAATAATAATATCATTATTGCGGTATAGTAACATAATACACATTAAATAATTGTATAATTCAGCCATTAAACTTATAAAATGATGAAAGTAGGGACTACATTAAAATTTAAAAGGGAAAAAAGAAATAGAAGAATATAAAATTTTTTTAATTAAAATGCTCATTATTAAATTAATTTGAAAAATAATTCACCCATGAAATAATAAATAAAAAACAATTAGAATACAAAGGAAATGAGCGTTAATTTTATTTACTAAAAGTAGTCTAAATCAACACATCTCTAATTCACCATTGTTATAATCTTACACACGAAAGGTTTTCCGTGTTAGCAATCGCAATCTCAAACGCGTGGAGAACTATGTGAATCGGACGAGACGATTTTCTCCATTTTTAATTTACTTACACTCGCTGCCAAAGCTTGCGTCTTCTATTAGGAGCACTTGGTGGTGAAATCGGGATGCTTTGGCGACCTTATATGGAATATATGTTGCGGTGGAAAACTAGTAAAGGCATCTTTCTTCAGTGATAACATGTCGTTGGGTTGCGACGTTTTCTTGGAACAATATAAACGTGACGGTCGATGGGGATAGCCGACCATGTGGGTCTTGTGCTTCCTCTTCTACCTAGGTTCTTCAAGTGTGTAGTGAATAGTGCACTGTTATTATTATATGGATTAATCAAGAAATTTGGAAAAATTTTCTCCAAAGCATATAAGGCGCAGGTGAAAAGTGAAAATGGGCCGAAACGATTGAATGGACTAGTTACTAATAATTGTTTCCCCTACAACCAACAGATCGGGCCTGACCGAGTCAGCTTGGTCCCTGTTGGGCCTTGCTGCGACATTTCCACTGCGAGTGGCAAAGCAAGCAACAGATCCACAAGAAAGAATTTTATTTTTTTTCGTGTTAGCAATTTCCTTTAACAATGGAATATACCTTACCTTATAATCTAAAAGATTCATTAGACAAATAATTAACTAATGACTTTTAATATAAGGTTATGCATTAACTTTTACATTTTGTACTAATTAATTTGCAAATTTATTTCTCTCAGTTGAAAAGCAACGCATCTACATTAACAATAGAAAAATCGCAAGCAAAAAAAGTCACCAACTTTTCCATTAGGATAATGTTTTTTCGTTTTTTTTTTTTTTTTTTTTCAAAAAAAGTCACCAATTTCTCCATCTAGGATATGTTTTTTTTCGTTTTTTTTTTTTTTTTTTTTTTAAAGAATAGAAATAGTTGACAATTTTTTTTTTTTTTTTTTTTTAAAGAATAGAAATAGTTGACAAGGTGCCAAAGTATAACTTGAAAATCAAGAACTGTACATATTCTTTGCTATTCCATATAGAAATTGAAATATAATATTTTACAATGAAAAATGTAACAAGTTATATCTCTTCCTGACGAAAACATGCATAAATTTATTTATTTTTATATTATATAATATTTTCGTCGGTATTATGTGAACAGAAATACCTAATTCACAATCCAATTGAAACCAATATTCAATTTTAAACTTTCTGATAACATCGAATTTAAATTTTGAACTCTTCAAATTAAAAATCATTACCAATAAAATAAGGACTCTTCAAATATCTAATAGTCAATTAAAAAAAGAAGGTTAGGGCAATGCGAAGCCCATAATAAAGAGAGGGTAGCTAGTAGTTGAGACTTGAGACATTAATTAGGCCCTATGTTTGCACTTGCATGAATGGGCTCCACCACTTGTGCAAGCTAGTAGTGTTTAAATGGCTTCTGTAACGTAATCACCACAAATTCTCAGTGAGCTCCAGCTGTGCGGTTTATCCTCAAAACTCAGCCACCACATGGCAATTCTTCTAGTTGATCAAGTCAACATAAATTAGCATCTTACAGACCTTTAGGCCTACATGTATGATTTTTTTTTGTTCTTTTCAGTTCTTGCTAATTGCCATGACACATGACAATTATATGTGATTGATTATTGTTATTTTATTTTTTTTAAATGAGGAATTTTTTGAATTATGTTTTGGATGAAAAATTGGAGATGATATTAGTAGTTTCCAATACTAAATAAGAGGATGGGAGCATGCTTTATTGATTACCAACTGACACCTAATCGCACCAAATTAACATTTTACTTTTATATCTTTATAATAACATTTCAAAAATTTTCTCTTCAAAAAAAAAAAAACATTTCAAAAATCAAATTTAATTATATACTATGGCTTTAAATGAATATTTTACCAATCTCAAAAAATGAAACGGAAAGGTAAAGATTATTTTTGATGTTTTGCATTTCTTCGTGAATTTATCAATCATGAATCTAGATTAATTGCATAAATTTCGGATACCTAATGGTTAAAGAAAAAAACATTCAATTAACCGGAAGGGTAACTTTTAAAAATTTGGATGTGTCTGTCCATCCAATCAATCAGTTGAACAGCCCTCGAGAGAGAAGCTTCCAAGCAACTCCCTAGCCACTGCGTCACAAAACAAAGGACATAGGAGGAGATGACAACTACAGCACGCTAATTATGAGTCATGACAAAGTGCCAACGACGTCGTTCCATTTCGGCAAAAAAACAAAAAAAAAAAAAAAAAAAAAAAAAAAAAAAAAACAAAAAAAACAAAAAAGGAGAAGAGCCGAGAGTTGCACCATCTCCTTCTTTCACTTTCACCACTATATTAAATAGATACAAGCGGATTTTCGTCGCAACTGCGAAAAAAAAAAAAAAAAAAAAAAAAAAAAAAACAAAAAAAGGAGAATAGCGAGAGTGCACCATCTTTCCTGTCTTCCACTTTCACCACTATATAAATAGATACAAGGGATTTTCTCGCAACTGCGACTCGGAGCTCGTTGTTGTCTTGTTTCCCTCAATAGCACAAAATTTCTTTCTGCTTTCCCTCTTTTTAGCGTATCAAATTCCAATCAGAGAAGAAGAAGAAGACATGGGGGGAGGCAATGGACAGAAGGCGAAGATGGCTCGGGAGAGGAACATGGAGAAGCAAAAGGCCGCCAGAGGTAATTTGAATTCTTTGTTTGCAAAGAAAAAGGGATTATAGTTGAGGTAATTGAAGGATTATTGTTCATAGAGCTGTCTAACTCAATTGAAGAAAGATGTAGGAAGAATTTTCAAACTTCCTTTATTTTATTAGTTGAATCTAATTGAGTAGAGAAAGAAACTCTTGAGACATTAAGCTTGTTTAATTATTTCGTTAGTTATAATTTTCTTAGAGATCTAAAAGGCAATAGTGGTGTTTTCACTCGATTACCGTCCGATCTGTGTACAGGAAGTCAACTTGATTCAAACAAGAAAGCCATGACCATCCAGGTACAGTTCTTGGTTTAACTCCAACTTTTGGCCACTAAAACATCCGATTTTGAGTTATTGGATCGAACAGTGGGGTTTGGGCTTTTTGATTGTAATTTTGGGAATTTTACTTGCAGTGTAAGGTGTGTATGCAGACATTCATTTGCACTACTACAGAGGTGAAGTGCAGAGAGCATGCAGAAGCAAAACATCCAAAATCTGATCTATATGCTTGTTTTCCCCATCTTAAGAAATGAAATAGAATTTGTGGAGATCCAAAAGTTCTCTCCCTGTCTTGGATATTATTGCTATGTTTGTGGAATACCAGTTCTTTATGATTTTCTTTGCATAAATTACTTCTCTTTGTTTTTGACGATCTAGAACTCAGAATAACTGTCTTCAACTGTTTCTTTGTGTAGAAAATAAAATCAATCGGTCAATCAACTTGATTTATATAGGCTCAATGAATAAGGAATAAGTATTTACCACAAACTGTTTATACCAGGAATTAAAAGCTACAAAATCGATTTTTTTGCTCAATTTACCTTGCGAGCTTGTAATTCACTGAGAATATATGCAAATTGCAAGAATTTGAGCAACTTAGGTCTTTTTGTGCAAGTTGAGCTTCATAGGTGTTTTTCTTTTTTTTCTTTTTTGTTTTAAAAAAAAAAAAGCAAATTAAGCTTAAATTACAAATTAAGGGAGAAAAATTGAACCAAAAGTTCAATATTGGAGCTATTTTCTCATAAATAAATAAACCTTGTTTAAGTTTATCTGTAGTAAATAACTTAATTTCATAAAATCAAATTCATGAAAAATATAGAGAACATTATCGAATTTTATACCAAACTCCTTAAATTCAAACTTGTGGTTGTGGCCATCAAAAATTTCGTTCTAAATCTGTATTTTACATGATACATTGGACCAAACCCATGAGAGAAAATGAGTAACAGGAAAAGTAAACATTCACTAATCAATACAGTGATAAATCCACTAAAAGGTGCACAAAGATAGCTAAAGATATGAATTTCCAATATGTTAACAGACAATATCAAACTCGAAAATATTCTAATTTCAAAGGTGAAGTTTAAAGTTCAATTTTCAATACAGAGGAATATTGTAGAGCTATAAGAATAACACAAATAAAGGTGAGTTGCTGCATAAACTGGGACGTATCATGCAATAAATAACAAGATGCTACATTCACAACAAGTTTGCAGATGGTATACAAGTCTACTCATCTTAAAAGGGTCTGTAGAAGAAGAAACGATAGTCATTGTGTCCGCATTCTGCTATTTTCTGCACTTCTGACTTGAAGGAAATATGGATGAATCTGAAACGGAAGCATAGGAAGTTAACAAGCAGCCAGAGTTAACACTTGCTATCGTCTTGTTAATTTTAGAAAGGAAATACTAAAAAATACGCGCAAGGATCAGAAGATACAGTGCACTTTTTTTGCATATACAAGACATGCAATACTGTAGGTTAAATGAGCTTATTTAAGTTATTAAATACGTTAAAGATTTTCAACAAGATGAGCAGAGTAAATCTTTAGATCCCAGTCCTTTTTCAGGAGAATACGTCCCAAGTGAACTGCCATTTTGCCATGTCTTAAAACGCAAGGATGTCTACCAAACAAACATGATATAAATTTTGCTTTGCAGGCAAGCCAATGAGCATGAAGTTCAGGAATAATTCTTATCCAAAGTCAATTAGCAATCCACTATTCTAAACATCACATGCAGCTCCAAACAAAATTGGGGATGAAACTCTAACATTCAAAACAAGAATGAAAAACATGGCGTAGACGACATATGATAGTTTGTCATATCAAACCATCAGAATAGGGGATGACGTAGGGGGTAAAATATTGTTTCAAAGGTTTAGCCTCCACTAAAACATGATCATGGTAGAAATCCTCCAGCATGATAATAAATGGTGCATATATATATTAAATAGATATGCTGTACATCGACATGTTGGGACAAACTACATAGCAAAGTGGAAAGCAGAAACTAGTAAAATTAGCATGAAAATGAATCTCAGCAATGAGTGGTAGTTTGGCAACAATACAAGGAATAAGAAGTTCATAAAAAAAGAGCATTAATTTTTTCCAAATGGATGCCGGATGCAAAACTTATGGACCAAATCATACAGCAAGCTAGCAACTTAAAAAATCAGCCAAAATCCAGAGAGCTTATAGATGAATAGTAACTCCTCTAATGACCATAAGATAATAACCAGATAATAGGAGTTAGGCCAAATAGAAAAATGCATACCATTGCCTCTCTAGCTGTAAGTCTTTCCTGATGATCATAACGGAGAAGCTTATCAAGAAAATCAATGGCCTGCTTGTCACACAAATGAAACCAAAAGAACCAAAACTCATAGTAAGAAAAGTTCATTTGGACAGCTTTTTCTTCAGTCAAAACTCAGAAAAAGGATTTCGTATGACCTCTGGAGAAACAAGATGCTGATTATCTGCATTCATAAATTTGGACCAGGGCTTCCTGCTGTGTCTGCAGAAAAATTAAATAAAATCTTAAATATCAGATATGAATCTCAAGTAACAGAAGCAGATAAAATGCATTTAGTAATAAAAATTAAGGATTTCAATTTTCAAGGCATTGCTACTTTTTTTTTGCCTCAATAACTTTCTAGATATTAAATTTCCAGTACTTTTTTAACCAAGCAAAGTTCCATTTCCTCTTTCCGTTCAATGAAATATGTACAGTTCATCCTAAACCCACAAATGAACACTGTTTTCAACAGGAAAAATTCACATCAATCATTCTTCATGTTTGAATTCAAGTTGAATTCTTTAGCAGTAAAATATGAGGAGGAAATAGTGAAAAGTTGGACACACCTTCCAACCAGAGCTTCAAGTCGACGATCCAGCTCTAAGTGATACTTGTGCAGATATGCATTTAAATCATCAGTACCAAGAACCTGAAGGAATATTCAAAAGATTACAGATCACAAGACAATTTTTTTACACACTTCACTAATCACCACTAATACTGCTTCAAGTTGCATGAAACCAGAGCTTTGTTGATACATATATAATTACTTTCCTTCCAGTGTGCCCTAGCGTGCCAGCTTCTTGTCAATTGTTGCAATATTGAACTCAATGTTACTTTCAATCCTAAAATAACTAATGCAGACCCAACTAAAGTTGTCAAGGCTATTGAGGAATTCTAATATTAAGCTTCCCTTACTTGTTGGATTTCGTAATACGAGATTCGATTCTAAAAAATGTTAAAACCACCAAACTCTACTCATACACATAACCATGCTTAGAGTCCAGATGCTCCAGTCAAAATTTTAAGAACTGCATTAATGAAATCATGTAATGATTTTTGCAACCAACTAAGATTGGAAAACAATGTAGAGGTGATAATATTATGGGCCTCGGCTCTGCTTTTGCACATTCAGCTCATTCAGGTGCCACTTTTAATGCAATCTACAGAAAACTTGAGAAATCATAATTTTTGTTAGATATGCACCAATAAGGAACTCCAAAACATCATTATTCTTGCAGGCAAAATAATTATTAAATCTAATATTACAATTAATTTACAAACATAAGATCATTTAGCCAGATACCAACTAAAAATTACCTTGGCAATTTTGACAAGCTGGTCATGATTGTCGTGTCCATAAAAGAATGGCTCCTTCCGAAAAATCTGCAACCAACCCAATTTCTCAACATTGTTATTGTCAAACACTAAACATTTTAGCCAATGCACTTCTATCATACTCAAGTCCAGCGAAGGAATACACAGGTCAACTAAAATGCTCACCATTCCAGCAAACATACAGCCAAGGCTCCACATGTCCAAAGAATAATCATAGTCTTGTAAATCAACAAGAAGTTCAGGCCCCTTAAAGTACCTAAATACCAGTAGATAACTTGTTATATTTCTGCAAGAAGCTAGTGGAACCATCATGACTTAAAATGAACGTTCAAATCAAATGGTGGGTAAGCAGATTGGCAAGCTTTTGTTAGCTTACCGTAATCTGATGAGGCAAGGAAAATTCTTTAGAATAAACAGCCACAATTAGTGCCAAGAAAGCAAGTTGCGAATATATCAAGTTCCACATTTTATTCACTTCATAGTTGAGGAAAAGCCCATATTACAGTACGCCACACATAATATACCTCAACCAGGGGTTTTGCAATTGGTAGGTGGGTGGAGTGCAGAGGTTAAACATCAAAATTATAGTAACATGTCTAATAACAGCAGAGGTGTTTGTTCCTGCATATTAGTAATGGTTTTTAGACTTCAAACCAATTAAATTCTGATTAGAATTAAACTGAATAAATGTCAAAAATCTATTAGAAAAATTAAAGTATGTCAAACCCAGGTCACAAAGAACACGAAATTGCGTCAGGTTCTACCCTTTCTGAACCTTGTTAACGGTTATGAAAGACAGGAAATAAATTTTGAATGAAAATTGAACTCAAGTTGATCACTCCATGAATACCTTGAAGCTACTCTGACATTATATTCTTTTCCAGGATGGTAGAATTCCGCAAGTCCCCAGTCAATCAAGCGTAGTTTTCGCAGCTCATGGTCAATCATTACATTGTGAGGTTTCACATCTCGATGCATTATGCCTTGAGAATGGCAATAATCTAGTGCCTAAAATTACAAAGAGCAAATGGATTGGGTGAGCATACAACAAATCATTTTCATACACCTAAAATCAATCCACCTTCGAAACAATATCCAAAGGTTGTTGTGAACATGAGACAGTATACAACAGCCATAAGAAACATCATGACACTTGTACCAATGCATATTGGTCAGAAGTTCATTGTCAACAACACCTGGAATAATACACGATTAGAAAACTATGGCTGTGGGGGTGTTAAGTTTGCAGATGCCTCTTCATGAAGCAGTTGAGAATGCAGACTTTCCATATTAATTGGCAAAGGCAAACAATCAGCACAGATCAATTCAAGGTCCTATAAGCATACTAAATTACTAATCTTGTTAAGTGACATAACAAGCCTGGTTCACCGGATGGCAACATTCTGATAAACAGATTGGCTAATTTTCTCATACATTTTTGTAAGTAGCAATCCCAGGCAGCACTTAATTTGCGTCATTGTACCTTAAAAACAAGCAGATATGTACTACCATCACTAAGTTCAATATATAAAATTCAGAACACAGGAGTCCAAAAAGTCAGCACATTACAATAAGGACATAAGAACTAACCTTGAGAAGCTCATATATATAGTAACGAATGTCATAATCTGTCAACGTAGGGTATAAAACTTTAAACTCTGTACTGTTAACATGTTCAAAAATCAAGCTAGGTGTTTTTGAGTGCTGATCTCTGACAACATCAAGCAACTTCACAATATTGGGACCTCCACAAAGGTTCTGCAGTATCTTTATCTCCCTCCTTATCTGCATCAATGCCGACGGACAATCATTCAGTACACAAATAATTTGTACATGAAAGATTATTCCATCAATAAACCATGAAATTGAATAATCTGCATTAACAAGGTAGATGGGCAAGTGCATAGAGATTGACCTTCTTCTTCTTGACCGGCTTGAGGATCTTAATAACGCATTTCTCGTTGTTAGTGACATTTATACCTTCAAATACCTCACTGTATTTTCCCCTCCCAAGCTTTCGCACGACCTCATAATCCTCTTGATCACTGTAACGAACCAAAAGGACAAAAAATGATAAGAAAAATTTGCATATTAAGCACTGTCCCAGCTACTGCAAACAGATAAAAAATTGAACACTGAAAATCAACTAACAAAAACCTGTATAAGACTGTGAAACCCTAATTTCTAATGCTTGTCATAACATAAATATTAACTAGAAGAAATTGATATTATGAGTTTAGAGATGTTTCATTTACCCCCATTGAACGACGAGAGACTCGTAATCCCAGTAATCTCTAGGTCGATGGACGTTGACATCAGTATAAACTCGAGCTATGGACATGGCTTTACAGCTTCAGTTTTGACTTAATTTCTTCCTACTTCTTGATGATAACCTTGGAGAGTTTGGTCAAAAGAAATACGGCACAGAACGCCAAGGCGGTACAGGTGCTTGTTTACAGAAGTCCACTTATCGAAGTGTAAAAGTTAATACAGTTTATTTAGTTTTAGTTAATTATGATATTTTTTTTTATTATTGTATTAATAATTACTATCTGTTGCCTTTTTTTTATTAGATATTATGTGACACTCTCTGTACCCCAAGTAGGGAAATTGAATACTTTATTTATATATTGAGAACAAATAGTTTATTCATATTGAAACAGATTACTTGATAGCTATCCTGATTTTGAAGAATTTATCCGTTGATTCTTCTTTTTTTAGTTCAGTTATTTAGGATTGTCAAACTCTTGCTAATGATAAATTCTTTCTAAGCATTTCTCATGGAATTTCTCCTGTATGGTTTCATAGAGTGAAGCTCTAATCTTCCATGTGTTATTGATGATGTCATGCTTTCAAATTTTAATTAATAATTAAATATTATAAGTTGAAAAAAAAAGTTTATTCATTCTTAATGATTGAGGAGAAGCATAATTTAGGAAGAATAAGATAAAAAGAAAAATGAAAAAAATCTCATTCCTTCAAAAGATATTTTTTTATCGAAAAAGCAATCATATTATTCCAAAAAAAAAAAAAAAGATGAAACGTGAGCTACAATAGGCTAAAAAGGCTTATTTATTTATTTCATTCATTCAAGTGATTCCGGCCCATTATTGATCTAACATAAGGAGGAGTTTTGGAGTCGCATAGCAATTTTTCTCAACACCAATTCAAATTCAGCGGATGTAGAAATTAGACATAAGATCCAAAACGTCGAGTCGATGTGCAACTACAAATCCATTTAATACAAAATTTACAGGATGAGTCACAAGATATTGTTTTTGGGAATTTTATATATGGTTACGAATGTATTCAATAAATAAAGGCCAACTCCAAACTTTCACAACATATTAAAACCTGACTAACTAGTGAACCTCCCTTTAAAAACTCTAGGGAGTCAAATTGTTTACACGGCAATGGCAAGAAGAGAACAATTAAACCAGTTTTAGCTTAGGCGCCACCATTCTGTAACCTAGGACCTCAAGCAGCGTGGGAGAAATAAGCCAATTCGTCCTGCAGGAGTTAGTACCAAATGGTGCTCCGCCAGACAGTATCTGGTGCTATGTGGACTAGGATTGGAATCTTATCACCATTGATGTACTCACTAAGAGTAACTGCTGTTTAAAGCCCAATCTTGCATTATTCAGTTGGAGTATCAGACCGGGTTCTCTCATACAGTCGATAAACCATTGTAGATTTCGACATCTGGGGTTCTCTTTCCAGCGCTGCAATCACATCCTTCACCGAAATACTGCGAGCCACCCTATTTTGTGGTACGATTCCTTGGTTCCTCCCAAATTTCCTAACAGGCCCTGCTGAAAGGAGGAAGCATTGTGAAAAATGGGAAAAAAATTTGCAAAGCACCAGAGGGCACATTGCAATTTGCATACTCTCCTCCACTTCTAACACTTACTTGATGCAGCTGCAGGGCTTCTCTTTTCTGGTTCTTGATTGTCCTTCATATTTCTTCCAGCCGTTGACGGAGGCTTGCGGCTATCTTTTGCTGACTGAGGACCAGATGTTGCCTCCGTTGAACCTTCACGTTTCTGCCGGGCTTGCTCAGCCATGAGTTGCCATTTTGACATCATGTCATCTCCACCAACAGCAGCTCGGGCAGCAACATTTGCAGCTGTTGTCCTCATTTTGTCATCCTCTTCCTTGTTTGCCTGCATGGTAATACAATTTGTTTTTTTTTTTTTTTTAAACAAACCCTTTATTAGCTAAAAAAAGACAACTTTTAATGCTCAGTTATAGAATCCTTTTATACCTTCACTGGTTTAACCCGACCGTCGTCTTTCTCCTTATCGCCTTCAACTTCATTATCACCCTCAGGCTGCATTCACAGAAATTTAATTAATGTACACTCAATCATATAAACAATTTACATAGATAGTTATATGCAGTGTCATTTCTTGTTTCCGCACACTTGATTAGGAAGATTAACAATCATTTCATACAATGCACATAAAGTACCCACTTCATTAACTTTTCGAAGCTTTTCTGCTTCAGATTGCTTTTTCTCCCATTCTTCTCTAGCTTTCTGGTTCATTTTCATGATTTGTTGCCGAACATCAGAGGTAACTATAGTTCGGTGTCTAGACTTCTCAGCATCAACCCGCTGTAAAGAACCAACTAAAATCAGGAAAATCACAAAGAAAGACAACAAGTTAGCAAGTAAATTCAAGTGCAACTAGACCTTAGCCCACACTTTGAGCGCATTAATTTTATTTATATATTATTTAATAATATAGGATACTTTTTACTTAATTGTACACAAACAAAAATTTTATTATCTATTATTTATTGTTGAATTTTTTATTTACTTCATTAAATTGTTACAATCATTTACTTGGTTTTTATATAAATTATTTGTATATACATACATTATATTTGTCGGTATTTATTTTCACATTCATTATTGATTAAATATATTAATTACTTGTATTAAACTTATCATTCTAATTTATTTATTAAATTTATCATTAAGGACACTCTAATCGTAATTGGAAAGCAATTTATCAAATCTTCAAATTGAGGTGGCAAGAAATTATGCAAACACTCTCTGTGTTTTACAATTATCATATATTAGATACATTGATAAAAGAACTGACCTGCTTTGATAGCCTGATCAAGTTACTTATAAGTCCACGCATTCTTTCCTCCACGCACTATAAAGATTCAGTACTGTTGAGAAAATTATAATGGTAACCATATAAAAGAACTATTAAGTGCCAGCATCTCACCAAGGACAAGCATCGCTCCACATCATTGTTTATATTTTTCAAACCACATTTGACCACTGGAACAGAAAGTCGGTCAGATACAATTAGCCATTGCATTGATATTTGCTTTTTCATTAAAATAGTTAGCAAATAAAAATATAAAACAGATATGAGACTGAAAAAAATGAATATTAACTGATCTCTGCCAATTTTTTCTGTAGTGGAGTTTTCTGCAAAATCAGCCTTTCTTCTTCTTCTTGTACAACCCTCCTAGATGCTTCTGAAACTCGACTGTCCTCCTTGGACCCAGAAAATAGTTGTTCTTCCTCTTCCTATTTAAAGATAAAATGTATCAAAGAGTTCTGAGAATCTTTTAAAGAGACAGCATAAGGTTACTTGCAAGTGCATACTTTTGCAAAAGCAAAAAACTTGACATTAAATACCAACGACATACCCTCAGATTAACTCCACTGACAGCAGTGACATCATTGAGTTGTTCAATGCTTTGATCCAAGAATGCCCCAGATACTTTTTGCTTTTTACTGAATAGAATCCCAAAAATTATTTCATGAAATGATGTAATAGAATATTTTATCCAGGATGAAACAAAGTGAACTGAATCTCTAAGGCTACTTTTACCATTATGACAGTTAAAAGAAGCTATTTCACCTTGACATAGGTGGAGAAGAACCAAGTGCTTCAAGTGGCTTCTTTTGGCCGATAGAAGGCTTTTTCGGAGGTGTTCTTATATTAATTCCAGCAGAAGCGGATGCAGATGGGACCCGAGAGCCCACCTGATAGTAGAAACAAGAATGATATCCAACATGGACGGATAAGCAACAGAATCAAGTACATTTAAAAGTTAAAGAAATTACATTCAGAAATTATGAGAACAAAATATGTTTACATAATTTTTACTGCAACTTCACAAACATGACATGGTTAGAGTATTTTCAACATGTGAAGCATCCAAAAGAAACTCAGCAATAAGATGCACTTATTTATTCCTCCCAAGACAGAAGATCAATATTGAAAGCGTAACCTTTTTGCTACATTTGCTGATGGAGTAAAATTAACTTTTCCCTTTATGAAACTCTTTCAGACAGTAATCACATTGAAAATGAACACAGCTATATGGATTACATACACATCAAAGGACACTGAACTTTTGCAGAACATGGTGAGTATTCACATATGTCATTTCAAAGTAGAAAAAAGTCCACATATCTAATATCTTGGTTCACTCAGTTTTCTAGTTCCCAAGGCAGCCCAGGGTGATGCGAGATTTCATTGGCAGAAATCTTCTGATTCTCTTCCAAATTTTGTGCACCCAAATCTAACCTGGGACTTGGTTAGGGCAAAGGTTTGGACCTTTCTCTTTTGTTTTATTTGAACTAAGGCGAATCGCCATCTCTAGAACCAGAGTCCTGACCTTTCAATCTCTCATTACCAAGTTTCAACAATGCAAGAAGGCAATTTAGTTTGACTGACAGGCAATTTTTTGTAAATAAGAATAGAATCACAACTGCAGTTTTCTCTCATTACCTTATGTGAACTATTTACTAAATGGATTTTAGTAGGAAAGGAAGGATTCATCAGTAAGAGGCAAAAGCATCACTCGCAGTAAAAGTTATTCATACACAGCACGATCTGAAGGTTTTCTCCAGTAGTTTCTGATTCAATGCAAGCATTCGCACATCAAGATATCTTGCTTGGCCATGTCTCAGGTTTCATATGCATTTCATCCAGTTCTTACCAATGAATGACCGGCCATGTTCATAAAAGCACTAAACACCATTGCATAAGAAGATGGCCTCTAATGACCATCAAGATAATTATTAAACTCTCGTAACAAGGACACTTACCATATTACATCCAATTTACCTAAGAAATCTAAGAATAGCACGTATCTATTTAGCCACCTTATCAACATCGAACAAAAAGCTAATCACTTTGTTCTTACAAATATACTTTGTCTTTTAATCTAGTAATAATTCCATGGTTAAAATAATATCAGTAAGAATGCAAAGAAATAGACAACTGATGCAGTAGTATATTATCAATAAATGTAAGATTACCTGGGCATTGGGGTCCAGTTGAGTCACAATGGAAGGAGAAGCTGAATTTGAGGGCAAAATACCAGTAGGTGTGGAGAAACCAACTTTAGAAGACTGCAGCTTCTCCGAAGACTCATCTTTTAAATTTCCGGGTACTGTATTCCCTTGTTCAATGGTTGTTGCAGATACACCCTGAGAGTTAGGCAACTGGGATTTCTGGTGTTGTTCGGCAGCCTGTTCACCTGGTTCCTGTTTTACATAATTTGCTGATGAGAAAGGACTGGAATTTTGCTCTTTATTTGTCGTTGCTTGCCATGAAGCTGTTACTTGTTGGCCAGCTGATTTGTTCGCATATTGAGAAATAGAACCACTGTGCACTCTGCTGGGATCCGTAACAGAATTTGTCCTCTCAAATTTTGGCACACTGATCATGTTCATTGTCTGGGCTGAACCTCCTATCTGAGTTGCACCCATGGTTTGATGTGATATTTGCACCATTTGTTGCAAATCATGAGCTTGCACCTTCATGGATGACCCTGAGGTATTGACATTTGTTCCAGAATATGGATAAGCACCGGTGTTACTTCCATACGTTGAAAAGGTAGTCTGTGGAAAGTGCACAGGTTGCTGCGGCTTGCTGTGTCCTGGCACTGGAATTGAAGACCATTCCCTCTCTTGCTTGACTATGCTAGCACTGGATGAAGGAATTTGGCTTACTTGTATTCCATGAGAATCTGGCTTACGTTCAACCTCATGCGATTTATGAGCATTATTTTCTGCAGTTCGGAATCTAGAATCAGCCTGCACTTGAACTACTGAAGCAGCACCAGCACTAACTGGAATTCTCACATTGTTTTGGCGTGCTAAAGCTTGAGATTGTAATTGGGATTGGTTGGGACCTGGCTGAAGTATATGACAGCTGCTTTTAGCTTGATATCAACAAAAGGATTCCTCAGTTCATTATAAAATCATACGATATCAACCCATCCTTAATTTACCTGTGACTGCAATTGCGTTATAGCCCTTCTCAGCACTTGGTCCCCTACAATATTTCTCATATGCCTGACAAATTGATCTTTCGCAATATCGTTTTTCTAACAGCAATAGCAGTAGAAGAATCAGGATAACAAAAAAGGCACCCAATCCAATGCATAAAAGATAAAACAGAATAGTTGATGTTCACATAAGAGACACACCCTCAGTTTATTAAATATAGTTTGAAGTTGCATCTCTCTGTCTTTATCAAGATGGGGCTTTAAGGCAGGCAGCAATAACCCAAATGGTATCTGATTGCTTTGATTCTTCAGGTTACCAGGCTGCTCCATGCCCAAGGTTTGTTGATTACCCATCTTCTGTACCTTCATATATTGGAGTTCAGTGTCTGGATTTTGCATTTTGTTGGGCTCAGATATTGGCATAGGATTTCTATCAGAAATTTGCATCCCGGTTGTTGTAGGAGTCTGGACAGGAACTTGCTCTGTCTGCCCTTGTTGAACATCATCTTTTTGTTGTTTCTGGTTTAATGAAAAGTGACTGGACTCCCGTGTGGCATCATTCAGTATGTGCTGATTCTCAGCAGCAGAAGCATGCTGCTTTAGCTCCTCCACTACAGACGACTGCTGCACTTGCTGTTGCTGTCTTGGACCATTGGAATTATCATCTTGTATGGTAGTTTGCCAATTTGGAAATGGCTGATTGGGAGTTTGATTGGTTTCATGGAATAAAACAGCTGTATTTTTCAGTTGAACATGTTACTGATAACCAAAAAAATTCCCAGGTAGACTAGATAGAAAGCAAAGAGAATCCAAGATAGAGAAATCCAAGCACAATGTACACGCAATAAGACACGTTTAAGTTCGTATCTTTAACTAAATAATTCTCCCTAACTCCCAGGGGTTATATTTCTCTTATAAGAAATTTTATTCTTGTAACTGGAGAATACAAAGATGGGAAGAGAAATATTTTACGAGTATAATCAGAATATAAAGAAGTCTATGTCTCAGCAAAATGAATTACCAACCGTCTACAAATTACTGATGGATTCAAATAATGCAAACATCTAAACAGGTTAATACAAGCATTTGATTGAATTCCATAACAGCAAAAGAAAATCGTTAGGGATCCGATACGACATAATAACAACAGCAAAACCCTCGCAGAAATTGCAAACAAACAAGTAAAATAGACTTTGCACAAAAAGAAAAGGGAGAATAGGTTTCAATCAAAATGGAGACTCGTACCCGGATCAGACGGCTGAGAATTAGAGACATCGCCTCCAATATCCCGGTTCAGGGCAGCCTGGAATGCCTCCACGTCAGCACCAGAGTGCATAGTTTCGTCCTGTGAATATAGCAAAACACAAATATTTTTGAAACCTTTTCGCAAAATCCGAACTTCGAGAAATATGTAATGTCACTAACAGAATAAACTCAGTCAGCTACCTCGTCTTCTTCCAGAAGCTTCATTATTGATGACGAAGGGTCCATGATGAACCACCACCTATGGCTAACACTCCCTCGCCGGCCGGCTACTCAAAAGCTAACCCTTCGGTTAACGGCAAGAAGACAGAATTCCTTCAATTAAAGGAAAAAAATCCGTGTACATATATCTAAATACCGAAATATAATTTACGAAAAGGATGAATAAATTAGGTGAATATAAAGAACTAAGTTAGATTCTCATATTCAGGAACGAAGGAAATGAAATTTTTCTGTTTCAGTAGAAAGGGAAGAGCTGATAACATGTGAATTTATTTATTTATGATCTCTTGCTTTCTCTGTTGCCTTTATATAGATCGACCCGAATCCTGATACAAAGGATAATTGAATTGTTGTAAACCGGCATGACATTTCTAAGCCCATTCTACCTGTTGGGCCTTTTGTTTTGATTTGTGTCTTTCCTTCATCCAAACGGGCCTGGTATAAAGACCATATATAATTAAACCACCTCACAACCCGCTCCATTTATTTTTTTTTTTTAAATAAAATCCAATCTTAATCCGATTTAATTTATCAGCTCAATGTAGGCGGTGGGGGTCAACATATATTTAATTTTACAATGTCAATATTAATATTAGAAAACTGAATCAATAGTTCAATAATTGATTGGTTGGATCCTAAATAGCTAAATTGATAAAAGCTCCTCCATATAGAATATTCATGAGTCTATTTGGCGCGAATCTGAATTAATTTAATCAATAAATTTTCGATACCAAATAGTTTAATGCTAAAAGAATTATCACTCTTTATAGCGATAGCATTTTGATTAAAGACAAAACATTTACATTTTTAATTCAGTAGTATAATTAAATGTTTCATAAAACATTATCTCTTTCAATATTTGTTGTTTGATAGCAATTAATTAAATTTCAAAATATTTTACTTTCTCAAAAAATGAGAAGTTATTTTTCTTTAAAAATGACTTTTTTTTATCTGAAAAATATTTTCCGTTGACTTATTTTTTTGAACGCTTTAAATAACGGAAAATTATGAAAAATATTTTTTCTACTAATTATTTTACAAAAATAAAATGAGCCTTAGGAGGAAACAAACAAAATCATACCTAAAAAAAAAACTTCTCATTCTTAGGAGGAAAAATATTTTCCACATATTTATAATTTTATTGTAATATAAACACACTGCTTAATTCATTAATTACTAGTAGCCACCATCATTAATTACTGATCATCATTGTCCACTACTACTAGCTTCTTCATTCATTACCACTAGTAGTCATGGATGTTTCACAATTTATCATTTTTTTTTGTGTATTTTTTCATATTTAATAATAAAATTTAAAATATGAGATTTTTATAATTATAAATATTTTTATATTTTAAAAATTAAAAGTTTTAATATCTCAAGTAATTCTCAATCTTTCAATTAAATAACAGAAAATAAATTATTAAAAGAATATTTTTTAAATCCAAAAATAAATTATTTTCGGAAAATAAATAACTTAAAACATTCAAAATATCGTCCATTTCAGATCAGATCCGTTTTCTACAATTTCGCGGCATTTTGCCATCCCTCCCTCAGAGTCCTGTCCAGGTGGATGTTCTGTCTCCGTACACCTACTAAACTAAAATGTCATAATTTTAATTTTTTGTGCCAAAATAGAGGCAGTCATCTTCAATTCGAACGCCGAAAGTCGAAAAGCGGTGAAAAACAATCCAAGGAAAAAAAAAAAAAGGTGGTCTGTTATAAGTTAAGAAATATCCCTAATCCCCTGTTCCTTTCTGGTGATGAGCAGCATTTCTTTGTTAAGAAATATCAGCCAACGCTGCCTCCATACTAGCTTTTCCACAGAAACCTCCCTTTCAATTCAACAATGGAGATTCTACACTGGCGTTCGTTCTCCTCAGCATTTCATAAGATCCAGAAACCCCAAAGTCTCACCCTCTATATATTCACTCTTTCCCTCGTATTGTTTTTCGACATTGAATTCAAAATCTAAAGTTGGGTTTATAGGATGGTATTTGGGGAAGCTCGATTCTCGCCCAATCGTGACTAAAACTGTCACAACTTCTCTTATTTTCGCGGCTGCGGACTTGACTGCTCAGGTAGAAACCTATCTTTCTTTTGTTGGGATTTCATTTAATTGCATTTTTTTTGCCTGTAATCTGAGACTGGTTTCTTTACTAATTGACTGATTATAATTTAGTGTATATAGTTCGGCGATAAGAACGATGAATTATAGTTTAGTGTATTAAGAATCGGTTCTTTGCAAAAACAACTAGTAATTAAAATTAGCCAAGGGCGTGAATGAGGTTTGCTTATGCAGTTATGAAGCAGTAATAATCTGGGATACGACGGTGTCTTTGATTATAGCTATCAGTACAACGTGTAGAATTTAAAACTTAATGTGCTTATGGTGCTGTTCTTTCATTTTCTCCAACCAAGTCTTGCTTACTTTTCAAATTGATATATGCAGTTTAAAGTATTAATCCTCGTTAGTGTAAAAACTTATTCCTACTTTGATTCTACTGGTTTATGAAAATCTGTGGTTTATGATACTTTTCGTTTATAATACCTCCAGCTCCTTTTTTTATCTGCAAGTTTCTCTCCCTTCTGCTTGTAATATATATAAACCGTTTATAGCTGATTTTACTGCTAATCAATATCAGTTTTATTGTTCACTGACCATTTATGTTTGATATGTTGTTAGATGTTGTCACAATCATCTGGTTCATTTGACTTCATAAGGACAGCACGCATGGCTATGTATGGTTTACTAATTTTAGGGCCATCACAGCATCTATGGTTCAATATTATTTCTACGGCTTTGCCAAAACGTGATGTGTTGACTACCTTGAAGAAAACTTTTATGGGACAGGCTATTTATGGACCTGTTAATGCCACTATTTTCTTCTCCTACAATGCAGCTTTACAAGGTAAGCAGAGCTTTATTCATTTCAATTTGAATTGCATTTTTTTCTTTTTTTTCTAAAATTTGAAAAGACAACTTGAGTAGCTTATGTTATTGCTTTCTGCATTTACTGAGAGAGTTCTGTACAGTCTCTTCATGCAGACATTAGCTTACCCTTATTAGCTCATGGAATTGTACCACTTGATATGCTTCTATTTGGATTGGGATGAATTAACTCTCTTTTATTTCGAAGATTGGAGCGCTGCTCATTGCGTCAATGCCTGTAATTGGATCACATAGATTTTTCTAAGGCTCCACCTGCAGATATATCTGCCAATGCTTGTTGACTGTCTGGTTGTCAAATGGCATGTAATTTGTGTGAAGCGACATGATTCTATATGGTTTTTAAAACTGTTCTTTAATATTTTGGATTTTCCTTCTAAGTTACCATATTGATGTCAAACTCAGGTGAAAGTAGTGATGAGATTGTTGCTAGATTGAAGCGTGATGTGCTCCCAACATTGAGAAATGGTCTTATGTATTGGCCAATCTGTGATTTTTTTACGTATAAATTTGTTCCTGTTCATCTACAGGTATGTTTTGGCAGTATATTTTTCTTCTAACTAGATTTTGGAGAACTCATTTATTTGAGCTAGAGATTTATGTAAGGTTATCTCTGATTATAACTTCCTAACATTGAGAGTTATGTTTATTGGCAGCCCCTGGTGAACAGTACATGTTCATATTTGTGGACGATCTATTTAACATACATGGCCAGTTTACAAAAAGTGAGCACCAGCTGATGTGACGATCTTGACTTCAAATCCATACTTGAAGAAAGGGATGAAACAATTTTGACCATCTTGCCGGTACTAGATCAGCTGTTAACGTTAAATTTCTGATTGTTGCTGGGAAGTACACTTTTAGCTTTTAGACAATTAGTTGACATGATATTTGCTGTTCAGATTTGGAACTGGGATGCAGATTGACTGCAGACCAGGGACGAGTTCTGAGTTACATGGATTCTGGTTCCTTTCATAATTATGTTAGCATTGTCTGCTTTCGATAAAGATTGTGTTGCTAGCATGTAATGCCTTTGAGTGTGTTCTTTCCTCCTCCTTTCATAACAGCGGGAAATTGTCAGAACTTTTTGCATACTGGTTATTGTTTAAATGGGTTGATTATAAGCTGCAGTTTGAGAATTATTGCTTCAGACAAATGTAACACGACTCATAATTCTTAAGAGAAATTGATGAGGGATTTTCTATGGGTTTTCGCTGTAAGGGTGCCTTTGTCGCTAATTCTGTTCTTTTTTTTTTTGGAAAAAAAAAATTAAACAATTGCTTTCTCAAGTGCTTAGCAGTTAGCAGCTACCTTGACACTTAGATCATCATTTTCTAAGCCAAAATGTTTTTTTTTCCCCTTCTCTAGGAATGATAAACAATTGTCTATGTGCAAGCACATTCTATTTTATTCTAGTTTTTACTGATATTTTGCATTGGTCACTGTAAATTGTGAACTGCTCTTTACATGGGCAGCCAGTCTGCAATTCCCTCATCTTCCAAGTATAGCCATGAAACACATTTTGACTAGATATTCCGGCTGCAGCCATCATCTTCCAAGTATTGACTTCAAAATGTCTGGATATTCCGGCCTATCTCTGTTGTCTTTTTTGGTTAACATTTTCCAAATACTCGGTACACTCTGCTGGTTCTTACTGTTCCTCATAAAAAAATATCTTAGGTTGGCTGTTGGTAGCAAACAAATACATGTGCATGTGTCAGGGCAATTTTTTTTTTTTTTTGGTAAAATACATTGTGAACATGAAAAGGTAAGCATTCGTTAGTTTTCTGAATTGACTGCGGTTCTTTTTGGATAGTTTGTCTGTTATCATGCCCTTGCTATTCAAATTAAAGTTTGAGTGACCTAATTTTTCAATAATTGCAGGTGGTATGCTTTTTCAAGTTTTTGAAACGTCTCTGGATCATAAATATCAAGTTAATAGTGAGATATGAAGTTTGCCCACTTGGATATCCTAATATATTTTCTACTATTATTTTGCCTTGTTCTGATAATTTAGTTCAACAACATATATATATACTGTAATCTTTTCTTCTTAATCTGAGGATCGCCTTTTCGTTAAATTTTGATAGATTTCTTGGTGCAAATTTCTTGTTCGGCATGGTAAAAATGGAGTAGAATTTTTTCAAAACTTTTTATTTACTGCAATTTTTATTATTGATAGATTTTTGAAAATTTTTATGATTGGTACTTCCGCCCAACAATATAAGTTCTTTTGAATGATTATTTTGTTCGAAATATAAGTCGTTTTGAGTATGTTAATGAGTAATAAATTATATTTTTTCAATATTATTCTTATTTACATTTAATATAATAATTATTTTCTCAAATTAGTTTTGAGATAAATGATTATTTGGTCAAATTATTATTAATTTTGTTATAATTTAAGAGAATTAATTACTTATTCAATTTTTGACTATTTATATTTTGGGACGGAAAAAAAATAGCATTCTATCAACAATTTCGTTCCAGAGATTCTAAACAAAAAAATTCATATTTTTGATTCTACGAACAAATTTCATAGATTTAAAAACTCAAAACCCGAACATTGACTATGAGTTTGTTTGTGTTGAAGGTTATAAATTGACCTAATTGCTATTCAAGTCCTATTAAAAAAGAAATTAACCTAGGGGAGCAAAGGTAAACAAATCCGACAACAAGGCCAAATAAAAAAAAGGGTTAACGGACCTCCTTTCTTGACCTCAAATTGGTGGTCCCAGCTGGTAATAATATAACAACCATCGAGCGTAATAATCGATCGAGATCTCTTACCTAATTGACTACGTGGAGGCCTGCACTGCCCTCGATGACTTCAACGGTCCCTCATTTCTTATTTGACTTCTTCGCGTGGCGTTTTACGTTGGTGACATAATTTCCCCGACCAACCCGTCTTAAATTGCCACGTTTCTCTCTCGTGACCACTAGCATTGCCTAGTAATGACACTCACCCTATCTTTTCCATGGCACGTCCTCTACACGCGACGATTTATTAGACTCCTTTTCATAGAGCTCAACTGACTGCACGCTTTATATTGCGAGTGGGATCTAAAGATCTTGAACCTTTAACAGTAACACGTGGGACCGATTAAAAAAAACGTTGGGAAGCATGCGAGGTCCACAGAGCACAATAGCATAATATCTTCACATGGCCGTACGATCTCAAAAAGTACCATCCTATCAGTTAGTTCCACGTGGTGAGAAAAAAATCCATCATCGCGTCAATTAGTTCGCCAAATAACGTCGCTACCTGTGCTACCTAAGCATCGGATCCGGACACGGCCCTAATGGACACGTGGCTTCCTTGGAAGAAATCATGGCGTGAGCTAGATACGTAGATAAAGCGAATAATTCAGTAATTTGGTTCCAAGAGGGAGAGACAGAGAGGAGGAACGAGAGGGAGAGAGGAGGCGTAGGCAAGTCTGTTGGCTTGTTGCTTTAATATTTAAATCTCACTGTGTTCAATAATTAATTCGATATTAGAATTCGAAGTTTCTACTTCTTGATTGTTTCATTATAAATAAAATATAACGTAAATAGAAGATTTATATGATTGTTTGAATTTTGGTGCAGCAATATATATTCTTCGTCCGTGGATTTCTCTCATTCTCTCTCCTCTTCGCCGGAGGAGAAAACAGTGGCTGGCAGCGGATAAATATTTTTATGGTCGATAATGGAGTGGTGGGATAAGATGATGCATCCTGCACGAAGGGTTTGGAAGAGCTTCGTGGTGCGTATTGGAATTCGCAAACCAGGTCAGCCTCTGCTGTGACAGTGCCCTATTATTTTTGCATTTCTCACTGTTCTATTGCTCACTGCAGGGAAACACTTGTTGTCAATTAAAATATATAAATTGATTCTTTTTTTCAATTACGAGAGCTTAGTTTCAATTGTTAATTTTTTTTTTTTTTTTTTTCCCTTTAGTTCGTGGTGATTCTTAAGCTGATGCAATAAGCTAAGTGTCGGTTGAGCGATTAGAGGTTATGACCTCTCATAATTTTATGTTTTTGGGCTAAGGGCAAATAAAAGATCCATGTTGCTCTGTTTTTTCTTTTGATCAGTCGAAGTTGAATTCAAACTAGTAATGGCTCTGAACCTAGATAAATTATTTTCAATCTTGGGATTATTATCTGTTGTTCCCTTATTTCGAATTTTGTTAGTCATCCCTTCCCTTTTCTTTGATATTCGTAACGCAGGCTGCTACTATTGTACTTATGCCAACTTGAATTTTTCTAGAGCTTTTTCTCAAACAGAAAATATTAAAATTTGCCATCAAATTAGAAGTTGTTATACACTGGATGGTGGGAACTCTGTAATTCCTAGCTACGTTGTCCATTTATGTTTCACTCTGATCTTTTTCTGTTTCATAATATTGGTTAGCAACAGTGAGGCCTACAGGATTTGATTAGACATTATAGTTGATGAATTAAGCAAACCTAACAGTAATAATTTTTTCTTTGGGAGAATTATGTGGTTCCTTGAGCATAAATGGGTAATTGAGTAGCTCAGATTACCAGCAAAGTTAGTCCATTGATATTAGGGATTGATTTTTCTGCATATGTCATTATCTACTTGTTTTTCCATTTTAAAAATTGTTCTGGACCTAATGTTTGAATGGTTAAAAACAGGGCTACTCAAGCTGCGACATGATGTCAGGGCTTGTGAATATGAGGATGTGCGTGTTATGTGGGAGATGCTGAGAAGAAATGAAACTGAAAATGCTAAACTCTCAGGGAATGGCAAGAAGAGATCCTTCTGGAATTGCTTTAGCTGGGCTAGGTGCAGTCCATATTTTGGCCGCAGCTATTGATCATTTCACATGGGAGGACTTTAGTCCTCTATTTCATTTGAAATGAATGAGATATGGATATCAATTGATAATAAAAGAGCAAGGAGGACTCTGTAGATGTGAGATTGTCTTATTTTCATTTCAAGTTAGCCGTTTGTACATATCATCTTCCCCATTTAGATGGATGTATCTCTCTCCTTGTCCTTGTGTTTTATCTCCAATGGAATAAACTGCTTTTTGTGGTTTATGTGATCTGATCTATGTGCTATATCGCATCACCTGTGTGCTACTTTATATGTTCTAAGCCAGGAATTGTGTTTGTAGATCTATATATGTGCATTCAGTTGGAACTCCTTTCCTTCCCCCATCATATCACATGGAATAGAGGGGAGGATTAGTATTTTTTTTTAAGCTTTTACTCACTTCAAAACCTATTTATGTCAAATTGATTTCAAAATTCAGAATTCAGACTGCAGCCTAATTATAGCGACAAATAATGAATTCATTTTCTTGGGTTAATTTAACTGGACTCAAGTTATCTAAAAGCAATGATTACCATTGATTCAAGTTCATTATTCGTTATTTATCTTTGATACTCTTATGCCAATAATGTCTTATCATTAATGTTAACTATGATTCGCAAAGTAATTTTTCTTTTTCTAATTGAATTATTTTGGAATGAAAATTATTATTTGATTATGAATATGGTCGGAATTCTCTTTCTGCGATCCTCAAAAAAAAAAAAAAAAAAAAAAAGATCCTTCATCAAAAAAAAAAAAAAAAAAAAAAATCTGAAAATTATAGCAAAAAAAAAAAAAAAAAAAAAAAAATCTGAAATTATAGCAGTAATATGGAAAATTACTCGTAGGCTGATTAGTTACTATTTCGCTCTCTCTCTCTCTCTCTCTGTTCACTTCATTGATAGCAGTTTATTTGGTTAGGATCATTGTTACAGTTGAAATTATAAGTTGCTGTTGGAAGGTCTACGTCATTTGATTTTGATTAATGCCATTAACTATTTTTATTTTTTTGTCGTTGATCAAGATATCACAATCCCATTTATTGACTAAAATCATATTCAATTTTTTAAAATTAGACTAATATCACCTTATTGGAAATTTGTTGTCCCCTGACAGTCAAAGCCGCCATGTGACCACATTGACCATGGATTTGGAGCTAATAAGAGAGTTCGGTGCTACAACTTGGGAGCACTGCCACTTATTTGTCAATTATTGAGGAGGATCAATTATAAAGATTTGGGTTATCCAACTATAAAATATCCCTAAAATTATTTTAAAAAATACCTAAAATTAATAAATTTTGTACTAAGAAAGAAAAATTAAAGCTATTGTAGTACCTGATGAGTGATAACCTGCGACTAAACTGTCAACCGACGTCAAGCTTTTGGGCCGTGACCTTCAGTGACTTTCTGAAACTATGTTCGGTCCCCGGCCCAAACCCATCAACGCTTCTTTTACAATATTAAAAAAATGCATGCTCAGCTAATCGACACGCTGCGTTTTGGGTTCACAAACGGCTATAACGTGACTCTACCACTACCTAGACCTATAAATAAAAAAATTCACCGCTCACTATTCTGCAAAAATTAACATTTAGGGTTTTCAGCTATTCCAAGCTTCAGAAAGCGGCGCGCAGCAACGCGATCAGTTGCGATCGAGGAGATGGGTCATTCAAACGTGTGGAACTCTCATCCTAAGAACTACGGTCCCGGCTCTCGTACTTGGTATGTCGTCTTATTACTTGCACTTCATCGATCATTGTGCTCTTTGAATCTATATCCCTGTGGTTTTAATTAGTTCATATCAGGTCTCTGATTTAGTTTGCTTCTCTGTTTGTAGATTTCACCTTTTCTGCTTAAGGTTTTGTTTAGAGAGCTCTTTTTTAAGTTTAACAATTGCTCGGTCCTGTTCGACTTAGCGTAATCGATATTAACTTAGTTTGTTTTTGGCAATAAAGAACTTTTACTAAATTCGAAGGCTATTGAGCAATGATTATTGGAAGCGATAAGATAGGTTTAACTGGAACGAAGCTTGAGACATGTTTGCTTGAGTTTAAGCGTTTACTTGTTTTGAATTGTTTTTCCTGGCTTCTGTCCTTTGTGCATGTATGCATATTTCTCCACATGTAGTCCGTTTTATATTTATATGTTTCTGTATTCTATTATCTGTCATAACACTAAGATCCTTGTGGTTTTGTATGCCAAATTCATTTTTGGCACCTTTGTTACCTTTTGCAGCCGGGTATGTGGAAACCCTCATGGATTGATCAGGAAGTATGGACTGATGTGCTGCAGGCAGTGCTTTCGCAGCAATGCTAAGGAAATTGGATTCATCAAGGTAAGACATCACCTTTTTAATTGTTTATTTTTTGGACTCACTTGTCTTATCGACGATGTTAGTGACTAGATACCAAGATTTCTTTGTCAATGAGTTTCTTTAATGCTAAAATAAACCTGTTGAGCTCCTTTGCTTTTGAGACACCTATCTCAAAATTCTAAAAGTAGCGAGCAAATTGGAACTAAATGTTCAAATGTGTGATTGATATCTCTGAATCTATTTGTTTAATGGAGGAACTAATTGTTGTTTGTCTTGTATTTCCAGTATCGCTAAACGTCAAAGAACGGAACAGTTACATACGCATTGCTCAAGGTCTTTGCCTGAAGCATGATATGGAGAAACTCTTCTTTTTTGTTTTCCATTAGTTATGTAATCCTGGATTAAGAAATTTTTTATCCATATTTAGTTATTTAATATTTGACCAGTAATTGTGCTTTGGATTTTTACTAAGAATCTCTAGGTTTTTTCTTATTACTACTAGTTTTTATGACTAATTGCCATGCATCTTATTTTCTATGCTTCCCGAGTTCCTGTATGTCTTCATATAAATGTTTGACCTGAGGGAATGGACTAAAACTTCATCCAAGTGAGTATGGTCTGGGAACGAGCAGCCTTCTAGCTCTTATGTGATTCCCCTCCCTTTGCTTGTGAGGGTTAACCATAAAGCACTGAGCATTTTATGCTGATGCTTCCAAGCAGAAGCTAGATAACCAGTTGTTAGGGCAGGGCACGTCTGTTATTGCAGCTGTTTCTGGTTTTTGATTTTATTTTTTGTAGTAACAAAAATAAAAATACAAGATTATCAAAAAAGTGGATTATATATTTCATATCTTGGTTTCAAGAAATCATTTTATGATTTGGAAATTGGAAAGGACCCGTGATGATTAAAAGAAAAATGTGATAGGTATGGTTTCATCCTAGGAAAAAGCAGCGAATCTGTATTTTGGGTTTCTTGGCCCGTAGACCAACGTTCTGTAAGCCTTGAATTTAATGAATCTAGCCCGTGGCAGAAGCACGACGACATTGCCCATTTTCACGGTGTCAACATAAAATTTAGGGTAGCCATTTTTCCACGTATCTTAGATTTTCTTGTAATCAGAGCGAGGAACAATCAAATATCAAATTTTCTTTCACATGACCACACTCACTCATTGTTTTGCCGTTAATCAGAATGATTTTAGATCTAATCGAAGAAGCCATTTTTGCATTCTTTCAGGAGCATGCGATCCCTGATTGGAACTTTTAGGCAGCCTTAAAAAAAGAGAGGGAAATGAGGAAGAAAAAGGGGGGTGGGGGGGGGGGGACTTAAAAAAAGAGAGGGGAAATGAGGAGAAAAAAGGGGGGTGGGGGGAGGGGGAAGGAAAAATTTATTTTGTGCTGTAACGAAATAAGTTTACAACTTAAAGAGGTGGGGGGGGGGGGGGGGGGAAGGAAAATATTTATTTTGTGCTGTAAACGAAATAAGTTTACAACTTAGAGGTGGTGGGGATCAAAACCCAATCTTTTCTTTTCTCTACCATATGAGTTATGCCTTGGTTTATGATTCTTACTCCGGTTAAATTTACTCGACTCGGTGGCAATGAAAAAAAGTGCTTGGCAGTTGGCGCCAATGTTTTTATCTTTTAACTATAGACGTGCCGAGTGGCTCGCATTCCAGCACAGGCAGAGTCTTTCAAGATTCAGCATTAAAGTCTCTTATTCATTCCCCATTGTTTCTGCTGCGCACTAGACAACACAAACCCAATTTACTCTACCCAGCAGTGTAAGACAATGATAGCCACATGCTATCGTTTATTATTCACTCACCACATTAAAGACAATGCACTTCTATACATTGCATAGATATGGCCCTTTAAATTTCCCCTTATCTCCACCGATTCTCTGGTAAACTTTGTTCTTCTCTCTATTTTACTGACGACAGTAGGCAAGTGATTTTCTATTTTTCTGGTTTTTTTTCCCTGGATCAAATATCTCATGGGTTAATCTCAATTGCTCAAAAAGGGGTTAAAGGAATATTTCTTTTTGGACACTTTTTTTTTTTCTGCAATTGGTGTTGGAGGAGAAAGTTTGGTGTGTGTAATTTTCGCATTATGAAGGTTTCTGGAATCTGGGTTTCGTACTTACTGGTTGGGACAGCTTTAATTTTCCTCAACTTCTCTTGTGTTACAACCGCCATATCAATTTCTGGTAAGTAGTAGTAATTCCCAACAGTTGTATACTTGTGGGTCTTGTGTTTTGTACTGCTGCCATATAAGGACATCAGTTTAACTGTATTTGTTTCTTATGTCGGCCAAACATCATATATAGGAAAATATTTATTGTTTTTTAAGGATCTTATGATCGAGTATTCTTATTATGAGTTGGATTGTTGGGTCTGAAACTGCTTTTTTCTTTGTTTTCTCACACATGCAAAGATTTACAGTTTCTCTTAGAACATGCTTTTTACTTATTTGGGTTTAGATCATGAAAGGAAAGTAGATGCATTGATGAATTGTGTTTAATTTCTGCCTTTTTTATAGAAATGTTTTTCTATGCCTTAAATGTATTTGGCTTCTTTCTGTCGTCCACTGTGTATAAATGTTCACATGCAGCCCCTTTAGCTTTGAATTCTTCCACCATACATTTCAGGATGCAATTGTTCATATACAAACGTTTGGTCATGTTTTTGGAACTTCATAAAGTTTTTATCAAACTATAAATTAATAAGAAAGGATTTTATTAACAAGCATTTTATTGCTAAACAGCTAGTGAAAGAGACCATCACAGTTCTTTGTTATCTTGCATATAATGCATTTTTACGAGTTCTGTAGTATGCAAATAGCTAACTTAATACTAAGGGGACCGACCTTCAATTATATGTGATGTCCTTGTTCATAAGACCTTCAGTTATAACTACTTACTACTAATTAACCCTTAATTGATTGCTTAATTTCAACTGACTAGCCAAATGGCTGTATCTGCTCTTGGTAAAAATCCCCTGTTTTCAATTCTGATACAGATAATATTGAAGATAATTCACAACATTTCATAATTTGTGGCTTGAGGAATTCCAATTGGCAGATAGCCAAAAGTTTTTTATGCAATGATGCTTGTTATTAGTTCAGGCGAGAATGGAACGGAACATTTTTATTCTTCTTCTCCTCTTCTAATGAGTATCTTGACACTATGTTATTCCAGATATGGCCATGACTGACGGAAGCAGCAGAATGATAATGAGCAGGAAACTCAAGGTAGGTGCTCTATAATTGATGGCAACAAAAATACTCAAAATATGCCAGAAAGTACTACATAAGCTGTTCAAAATTTTACAATGTAAAAAATTTAAGCTGTTCAAGATAACCCTGGCATGATGGATTTTGTCTTTTCTTATAATTTGCAGGAGAATAGCTATAATCACAGCACTGACAAGAATCGCGACGCTCACAGCTTGGATCTTGACGATTACCATCCTATAGATCCGGTTCCAAGTTCAAAGGCTTCCATAAAACCTGGACCCATTGAGCATGGAACTCCTCTGAATCCATATATTCCTAGGCATTCTCCTCCTAGTCCTCCTCATCCAAAGCAAATTGGTTAGTTTGCTAATCCATTTATAAAAAGTGAGATTTATGGTAATAACAAGGAGAATGTAGCTACTTAATTAGCTTTTTATGTGATGTTTTTAGTAGCTTTTTTGTTATATTGTCTGCATTAGCCAGCTTATGTTCCATCTTCCTTAGTATGGTTTGTTCAATGTTGATAGTTGTACCTTTATGTGAATGAATTTGCCATCCCTCAAAAAATAAATAGCTCTTCAGGTTTTTTTTAGAAGAATTCTTCAGTTAATTTTTATTTTTTCATTAAATTATAATGACATGTTAATAAAATTTTGTCCTTTTATACATATCACTATTAATTCAAACCTTGAGTTTTTTCTTTATCTTAAATATCACTAATCCTAATTTAAAAGTAAAAACTCATTAAAAATAATTAGCTATTTGTACGTTTAGTTTGAATTATTAGATCAAATTTGGCAACATAATTTAGTTTCTTATTCTCCAAAGCAAAATCAAAGCAAAATAACCGAACAGTGCAGCTTAGTGGCAAAGAGTACCTACAGAATTAATTTTCATGGTTTAGACTATTGGTTCGATTCTCCGCGACGCAAATTTTCCTGGACCAGCCTCTTTACCGGCGAGCGGGGATTAGTCAAGTTTTGTGGACTATTAAAATGGATCGTGCGAGTAAAAAAAAAAATGAGAGCAAAAAATATTTTTATTTGACTTTAGTTTGCTAACTAAAATATAAAATTTTAATTTAATTCGTAAATTTTACCAACTTATAGGATTTATATTGTAATTGACCCATTAATATTTGTTATTTATAGGTTCAGTCAGAATCTCTGACATCAATGGCTGAGATTTATATGATGGAATAACATTAACTGCTCTTCATCTACATCTAACTACTCCTGTCATTTATTATAGAACTTTCAAATTTTTTTTTAAGGTTTTTTCATGAAGTATTGCCATTTACCATCTCTACATTTCTGTAAATCCAAGCTAGCCATGCCATCCAATTACTCAGTTGATGGTAAAAAATCCAATGATTTAACTTTCCACTTATTTACTATAAAATATTTTTTATATAACATGACCTTAACGTGTCACGTACTCTTGGACAATGTTGACACAATAAATTATTTTGTGCTGCTAGTTGGTATACATTAGGTTGCAAAATGACTATGTACAGCGTACTGTTAAGTGCATTTATGACTCGTCGAAGTATTTGGAATCTGAAATAAGATTAATCGGTGTATTTATGATCCGGCGAAACATTTGGAATCTGAAATAAGATTAATTTTATAGTTACAAATAATAATAAAGGTGTCATAGAAAGGGACCTATAAAATGAGTGCTAAGGATGAATAGTGGCTATCTTAAGGATATTTTTTCAAGGGTGACCAAAACCAAAACTAAAGAACATAAACATAAAAGGAAAGTTGAATAATCAATACACCAACCTTATTGATCACACCCAAAAACTTAAGGGTTTGATTTCTTCTTCTTCAAGCTAATTTTATTGCCCACCCATTTTCTGTTCTTCCTTTTAATACCATCAATCAACATCTCACCTAGCTTTTCTTCTAGCTCATACTCTATCTCAATATGAACATAAAGTATTATTTAATTATGAGAATTGCAAAATAAACCATAAAATTAGTAATATTTTATTTTTAATGAAATTTTTTAGGTATTTTTTTATTTGAATCGTCTATTTTTATTTTTGAAAACTAAAAGATGGAATTCAACTCTTTTTTTTTTTTTAGTATTATTTTTTGAAGTCTATAATAAAGTCTTACACTTTCTTTCTTTCCCACTCTTTGAGGGTTTGCTAGGGTGGAAAGAAAGAAGTATCATCCTCATTAAAGCAAATGGGACCAATCCAAAAGGAAAAGATAATTTTATCCTAACTTTCAACATGGGCTATTTGTACTTATAAGCTTAGCAAGAATTAGTTATTAAGGTTTAGTTACTTTAAAACCAATTATAACATAAAGTATTGCTCAAGTCATAGACGCTTTCTAACTCCTAATTAACATAATTTCTTAATTAATGTTATTAAGTTAACGAATTAATCCAAAGATGATTAGTTTGTAGACCCCAGCTGCTGTCCTAATCAACTTTTCAATTTTGTTTCATCATTTCATATTTCATACACTTTTGCAGTTGCTTGGTTTCATTTTCATATAGTTGCTGATGAATTTCTTTATTCTTTTAATTGTAACTAAAGCCGACCACACAGAGATATTTATGTAAGATCCTTTTAATAATAATAATTTCAGGTTTTGTCTTTAATCATATAGTTCAATAAGCTATTGATTTAGATTCGATATTCAGCATTAACCCAAATAAATACCTCTTAACGCAGTTACATTCTTGTTGTCAAATTATATTGATGAAATGAAACTGATTTCAGTAGAGGTGAGAATTGCTAACTGTGATTAGTTCATTGCTACAAATTTGAAATGGACATGTGGTTTGTTACATTAAATCATGAAGTTTTGAACATATCCCATCCAAGGCCAACCAATTAACGTCTTGTCCATTGTAACGCTAGCAGCTTGGTAGGTTGGATATATATATCTGCCTTCATTGATAATTGCCATGATACAAAGAAACTTGCTACCAATTTTATGCCCTTCTCTTTTATTCCACATTCTAATGATGATAATTTAAAGAAGAAAAAAAAAAATGAAGAATCAGCATGATTCAACACAGAACAGTCGTCGATTTTTGTATCCTGGCAATTATCAATCACCGTCCAGATTCTTCAGTCTTCAATCCTGATTGATGATTTGGTCATAAAAGTACATAATTACCTTGTGCATCTGGGGTTTCAGTGCTACAGTGGGGCCAAAAAACGAGTAGAAATTTTAAAACAAACGAAAAAAGAAATATATGCGGCCAAAAACGAGTAGAAATTTTTAAAACAAACGAAAAAGAAAAATATATATATAATAATATATATATATAAAAGGGGCAGCAGAGACAGAAACAGACCAGTATGGGTATATATATATATATATATATATAAAAGGAGGCAGCAGAGACAGAAACAGACAGTATGGGACGGAGCATCCTAGAAAAAGAGATGTCTTTTTAGTTGATTTTAGGCCTTTGATGATAATTACATATGACATGTAGGGTGTTTTTTTTTTCTTCTTTCCTGTTTTATACAGTAAGTGCTTCATTAAGATTTCCTTTATGTTGGCAATAAAACAGTGCTTAAAAACAAAGTCAAGTAGCTAGCCAGAGCATAACAGATGGAAGGAGTTTTTTCTTTTTAGCCATCCATTTGGCCAAGTAATTATGCACTTCTCATAAATATTTGTAAAAATGATTGCTTGATATATAAGTATATAGTGCTCATAATGCATCATCATTTCTCATAAATAGTGTCATTATAGTATTATCTGTCTTCCATTTGATCTATAAGACTACTCTTTCTATATTTCTTAGCTAATTAAATGAAATTTTAGATACAAACAATACGGAAAAAAATTTTCTCCCAGTGACGATTCTAAATTTAAACTCTCATAACGGATTCAACTTATTTCTGTCCATCCAATCGCCTGTTTTTATTTAATTTAGAAATTTAAAAATGAAAAAGAGAAATGATTCCAATAATACAAAAATTCCTATTATAAGGGGAATCCCTTTAGAATAGAGTGTTAAAGAAGGAAAGGATTAGGATTTGTAAAGTGGTCCTTGATTTGCTTTGTGCATTGATTTTGCAGTGCATGTGTTGATGTCGAAATCAATGTCATTCTGATGTTTAGACCGATAAACCTTCCAATTTTAGAGATTTTTATTTTCATAGACATGGCAGATGGCATTAGGATATATAGGACCAGTGGCCTTTGAATGATAGAGAAGATTGTCTATATAAAGTTTAGCAATTTTGACACTCAATTTCCCCTGAATTAGAATCTTCCTTCTTGTATTAATTGTAATTTCAAATTAGAAATAAGAAATTCTAATTATATTAACGAGCCAAAATAATACTATGGACTATACGATATAAGTAATTTTCTACTCTTGTAATTTAAAGGACTTAAACTCGAAACTTCAAACTCTTCGTATAAGTGAGAAGACCAATGATACCATATTTGATTGGTTCATTCTTGATATTTTTTATATATATCAAAATTCAAAATTAATGAACAACATACCTGTAATATATATATAATTTTCTAATTATGGTGACCTACATATTATAGATAGATCATTAGCTAATTAATAGCTCACTAACCTAATTTTTCAAAATAATTAATTAATTTCCTACCTTGCTTCTTACTCTTAGGTGATGTTTGGTTGGAGGTAAGTAGACTAGGAAAGTGCATAAAATACTTGCGTTTGGTTTGCATTATCAATGCTAATTTCTGGAAAGTAGATTATTCGACTTTCCTTGTACAAGGGAAGTAAGTTCTTTAGGTACGGATAGAGAAGTTACACCTCTCTAGTTAAATGCAGCGAATTTATTAATTTATAATATTTTCTAAATTCACTCAAATTTATATTATGGATATCATTATAATTTGTAGTTTGATAGCAATTGACTTCCCAATAAATTGATTTGCATACCAAACACATACAAATTATACTTCTTGAGAAATAATTTCCTTGAAAGTGTATTTTTTGAGAATTATACTTTCCAGGAAGTCATCCACGTTGAACCAAACGGGGCCTTAATATATATATATATAATTGATTAGGGTAGTGATTTTCACATAATTAGAGGGTGGTTATGACTTAATGAGAACTAATTTTAGCTCAAGGACGTTAGGGTTGGTGGGCAATCAAAAGTTCCAGCGATATTAATTAATTAAAAGCTCCTCCACTTTCAACAAGGTATATAATGAAGGAAAAGATTATTGTTGATTTACCGTTGATTTTGATCTTATTTAGGATATATAATGGGTTTGGGATATTCTAATATTGTTTCATTAGTTAAAGCAAATAATTAAAGTTAGGTTAATTAAATGTAATTTTGTTGTTCAACGTAGAAAGAGTTGGGTTGGTTGGTTTTGATATCCCAGGAATTAATTACTTGATGTCAACTTAAGGAGTTAGAGTTTAAAAAACTCAAAGAAAAGTGCTTGTCCTTTTCAAAATCTGAAGATTAATTAAGGGTTCGTTAAGCTTTGATCATTGCTGACGCAAGTGATTTGCTTAGTTTAATCATGATGTTTATTTAGTTAGCTATCATAATTCTTCTCTCTTTTTCGAGTCTCATATGTAAAATTAGTTAGTTGTTCTCATGAGTATCAACCATTTTAGCATTGTTTCATAAAAAAACTAAAAAATAAATATTATATTATGAATCCACTTTTCATAAAACTGTTTTGATAACCGTTAACTATTTTAATGGCATTGCATAAAAAGCTAAAAACTAAACGTTATATACATTAATTTAATGCTATCTTAACATTTAAAACAGTAGCATTATATGAACAATATAAAAAAATAATATTAAAACACTAAAAACTACTTAAAAAGTTATTGCTGGACACAATTTTCCTATATTGGTCCAATGATGTAAAGAAAAAAAAAAATCTCCAAATCAAAGGCTTAATGAGAAGCAAAACATCTAATCCATTTATATTGATGAAAATTACTAGAATTTATATTCAATAAATCCCTTTTAACAGTAAATTATAAATCGTAGTTATAAATTTTAATTTTAATTTATTTTATGTAGTCTAAAAATAGTAATTCCACGAATCCAACCATTGTTGTTTCCTTTTTTTTTTTTTTTTCATGTTGGTTTCCTTTTTTTTTTTATTTAAATTTTTCCTTTTTTTTTTTTTTTTAAATTTTTGATATGGCTCTTGTCTTGTACATATAAAATTTTGTGTAGATAATATCAAAATATAATGATGAATTATTCATTAAATAACGTCTTGTAGCTAACAAAGAAACAAACTTGTAAAAAAGTCCTTTTTTTTTGTATGCCGTATGCACGTCTCGTCAGTCAAACTAGGTTGTCTAGCAGCCAATGCTTACCTTCAACAATACTTTCCATTTTCACCTCAAGCAAGTATATTGGTTTAGTAAACTTTAATCAAAACTGTCTTTTTGCAGTTCAATTTGATTTCTCATTTTCTAAGTCAAAACCAATTTTGTTTTAAACTCACGAACAAAAATATTTTCAAAGAATATCTAAATTTTCTTTTTTCATTTTGTTATAATTTTTTAAATAAATTGTAAGACTTTTAATTAAATTGGTTTAATCTTTTTCAATAATTTCGTCTATCATTGGCTAAATTAGAAAAAAAAATCGAACTTTGACGCTTTTGACAAATTTTAGTTAATAATTTTAATTTTATCATTTTTTTTTTTGTCAATTACGGTATCTACCTAAGACTGAAGTTTATTACTTATTTGGTCGTTAGTTTGCTCCATAACATGTCATCTCATATTCATATAGTTGTTTTTTAGTCATTCATTCTTGTTTTTAAAAATTTCTAAGTTGGAAAATTACATGTTTAGACAATTTCATATTCTTCCCATTATAAGCTTCAAATAATTTGATATCATTTCTCGACTAACAAACTTTTTATGGGTCCTCTGCGAGTAATTTGTACTATTAGCAATTCGGAAGTTCAATAAGTAAATTCTTTACTCTTGGAGTTCTATCACTCAACTGTATCTAATCAGATTTTGAACACAGACCAAAGTTAATAATAAAAAATATATATAAAGAGTATTGATTAATAAAATAAAAATAAATACAGGATGGATTTTGATTCCATCATTTTTTTAATAATCAAAACTTATGGATGGGGATTCTAAAAGTGATGTTCATTCTAAATTCAATTCCAAACTTATTTGATTTTTAACATTTACTTTCATTCTCATCCCACCTCCAAGGCGAGGCATAAAATTCTTTATTTTTGTTAATCTACATAATTTATCATTCTGCTAATTTGAATTTTAGTCAAAGCCAAATTGAAACAAATAAAAGATCAAAGGTTTGTTGTTAGCTATTACTATTGAATTTGTTTATAAGAAAACCTTAATCTATTAGTATTTTTCTCAAAAGAACACTAAATATATATATACAAATGCATATAAGATAAAAACCAGACACACAAGTTAAGATTATTAAAAATGTTTCTATGGATGTTAATACAAGAACAAGTTTCAACTTCAATGATATTTAAAAAAATAAAATAAAAGCTAGTAAATACTTTATAATTAAATTAGTAATTTTATATCAGCATAGTAATAATTAAATTTTCTTATTACATTATGTCCTGCAAATATAATCCCTTACCAACCATTACCAGTCTTTTCTATTCCTCGATATGGCTTGAAAGTACTCATCATTTCAAATACCATGTCTTTTTCTGTTCAACCGTTGCATAGCAGTTCAGTCTTGACTATTGCAGTATTTCTCGGTGAAGGCTTTTTCCACAACAACACAGTAATTGTGGTTGCCTCCAAGCATTTTTTTGACAACTACATGCAATACAGTAATTGTGGTTGCCTCTAAGCATTTTTTTGACAACTACATGGAACGCAACTTAATAAATCCCTTAGATTGTAAAGCATAGGATAAAATCTTAAGATAAAATTTTCTGAGATAAAGCTTACTTTTTATATACTAGATTTTTTTTTTAGTCATATGATAAAAAATGAAACAGATGATAATTAATAATTATAATGCATAGAAAAAATGTTGGCAACTAAGTTGTTGGAAAAAAGAAAGTTAATATCAGACTTGCAAAGCGCCACTTTTGGACTAATCAAACGCGCAAAATCAAAACGGCTAATTGCATTTTTTTATTACTCATAAATTCTTTTTCTGAAAAGGAAAAAGAAAAATTTAAATTCAGTGTCGTTTGCGTAACGTCTCTCCGAAGATTCACAGAACTCCAGCTTCCACTCCTTAGTCCCTTTACTACCTTTTGATATAATGAAGACTCTCATAGCGTATGAATCAAACCTGTAACTCGCTTCCACGTGTAGCCACGTCACCACAATTCCCGATTTCCTTTTCTTGCGTTCCCAAAATTGCCCTTATACATAAAACGTCACCCTCCTCAGCACGCGAGTGTCAAGTGCCCTATATAATCCGCGAGTAATATTAAACTCGTCAATACCGTGTTTCTTATTTATAGTACTTAATTTGGAATTTAAAAGGAGGAGAAAAAAAAAAAAAAAAAAAAAAAAAAAAAAAATTAACTCGTCATACCGTGTAATTCAATTAATTTATAAGTACTGTAATTGGAATTTAACGACGCAGAAAAAAAAAAAAAAAAAAAAAAAAAAACAGAAGAGCCTATGCCCGATCAAGTATAATTGAGACTCCCAAACTCGCCTAGACAGCTTCCACCCACAGATCAACACTACAAAAAAAAAAAAAAAAAAAAAAAAAAAAAAACAGAAGAGCCTAGTGCGACAGTTATGCTCCCAAATCTCGCCTAGACAGCTTCCCCCACAGTCACACTCTTCCCTCGTTCGCCGGTAATCGATAACGGTCGCTTCGCCGGTTAATTACTCTATCTTTAAAGTTCAGCGGAAGGCTTCTCATTGTTCTCATAATCCACTGGATCGCTTCTCAGTCTATCTCTGTAACCCCACCTGTTTCTCTTTTCAAAACGTTTGCCGAGGTTTATGGTGATAAACAGGCATAAAGTGAACATAGGGTTTTGGGATAGTGAGGCTTGAAGAATTAAGATGTGAAATAATTTTTGAATTTTGATTTCAATTATGGTAGCTGCGGTTTCTACTACGATAAACCCCAAAACGACATCGACAGTCGCAGCAGCAACTCAAAACCACAACCCAACCAGGCCCCCTTTGTTACCATCAGACCCGGACAATGCTCTCGCTCCTCGCCGCCCCAAATCCCGAGAAGTTACTTCTCGGTATATGTCGTCTTCTTCTTCTTCGTCTTCAACTGCAAAGCGGTCCCCGTCGCCGTTGATTTCGCGGCCAACGGGTATGATGACCCCGATGTCCTCCACTCCTTCCACAATCAAACGAGCACAGTCCGTCGAGCGGAAGCGGCCAACTACACCACGTCCTAATTCCTTTGATTTGAGGATTGGGAATGGTAACGCTGGTGAAGTATCCAATGCGCAGAGGATGTTGATTACTTCTACGAGAAGTCTGTCGGTGTCGTTTCAGGGAGAGTCCTTCTCGCTTCAAGTGAGTAAAGCAAAGCCAGCGCCCTCTCCGATAAGTTCAAGGAAAGGAACGCCAGAGAGGAGAAAGGCTACGCCTACGCCAGCTAGAGTAGCAGATCAGGTGGAGAATTCAAGGCCGGTGGAGCATCAACGATGGCCTGCGAGATTGCGACAGCCGAATTCTCTGACTAGGAGTATGGATTGCACTGATGACAGGAAGAGATTAATTGGATCTGGAGTGAATATGAACGTTGTCAGGGCATTGCAGAGCTCCTTGGTAGATAACAGGTCTTCAATTGAGAGCAGATTGAGCTCTGATTCAAGCAATATTGATTCGGAGACGCCGGTTGAGGTCAATGGATCCAATGGACATTGCGATCCTCCTGCAACTTCTGATACTGAGAGTGTGTCATCCGGTGGTACTTCTGAGGGTACTGGTAATGCTGCTGGACAAGCACAGCGTGGACCACGTGGCATAATGGTGCCGGCGCGATTCTGGCAAGAGACAAATAACAGACTCCGCCGCCAGCCGGAGCCTGGCTCTCCAGTCTCCAAGACGGCTGGATTGAAAGGAACTGCACCGCCTAAACTTACCGCATCCAAGAAGCTTATTGATAATCCAACATCATCTCCAAAAGGAGTTGTGAATAGTAGAGGACAGTTGTCTCCTATTCGTGGGGGAGCATTACGGCCTGCATCTCCTAGTAAGCTTGGTACAATGTCGGCTACACTGTCCCCAATGAGGGGAGTGAGCCCATCAAGGATGAGGAATAACGGGGGAGCTGTGGTTAGTAGCAATTTAAGCAATTTGAATAATACACCTTCAATTTTGAGCTTTGCGGCGGATATTCGAAGAAGTAAGAGTGGGGAGCATAGGATCCTAGAGGTTCATTTGTTGAGGATTTTATATAATCGCTTGTTGCAATGGCGTTTTGTCAATGCCAGAGCTGATACTACCTTGTCAGCCCAGAGGCTTAATGCAGAGGTATGGTTATTGTTTGCTGAAATTGAAATTCACTGTTGTCTGCTAATTTGTTTTTATTTTCTTTTGCAATTCTGTTCTATGGCAACCTATATCAGTTTATGCATACAATTTAAGTTATCCCATACATTCTATGTATTCCTATTGTTATTTGTTTTTATTCCTTCTTTCCACACTGTTCTGTTGGGTGCTTTGATGTTCTTTGGTTGACTTAAATAGCGAGTGGGAATTCTTGGTACTGCAACTTTTTGCAAATGAACTATTTATATTTTTGTATGAAACATGGGAAATATAGTGAAACTATTTGACGTTGATGTTTCATGCTTATTGAGGAAAGATGGATGAGATGACATCGTTGACTTTTTTTAACTTAAAATTTTTTCTTTTTGGTCTAAAATATAGCCGCATAAAACTTATTTCAAATTAGTCTTCAAAAGAAATTTATTTCAAAAGGCAAATATGGTGATGGCATCAATCATAACTGGCAAGTTCATTCAAAATTTCATGTATACCAAAGATAGTGGGGGTTGATCAATATAGCCGTCTTTTATGGAAGTAGCAGTTATAATGCTAAGTGAAATAATTCATTTCATTTGGATGTGAAAAGAAAAAGAAAATTAGAGATAAAAATGTTTGGAAGAGAGTTTTGTTTATATGGTCATGAAATTTCATTCAGCATGGAAGTGAAGGAGTTTAGTTGATGGGGCAATTTAGCTGAAGGCACAAATTCTTTAATGAATACAGGAAGATGATTTTTATAGAGTGTGCTTGTTTTGGTCATATAGTGAAAAGAAGTAGTTACAGCAACATAAAATAAATAGCCTGGTTAATCAAAATGATTTTCTCACTAGTGTTGAGTTGGTTGATTAACAAGAATGAGGAAGTAAGTGGCTTGCTTATAACTGGAAGGAGAGGGACTTTGAAAACAACTCCTTCTTAGATTATATATCTCGTGTTGGGGAAAAATGAGGTGGCTGCTAGTTCTAATTATAGATTTAAATCACATTAGCTGTAAGCTAATTTTGTTTAAAATGCAAAATGCATTAATTTTGTGTTTGGTTTGATGTATTTGAAGTTGTGGATTTGAATAAATTCATTGTTTGGATTGTCAAGTATTTGTGCATTTGGATTTGAATGAAATTCATACTAAGATTTAAAGGCTCAACTATAATAGATTTCAAATTACTTTATCATATGTACTTTGCACTTTAAATTCCTCTCAATTAAATACATGAATTAACATAAATGAATTGATATGAAAGTGTTTTAGGACTACTGATTGTAGAACTGAGGTGTTAATTTAAATTTTCAGATTTGGCCGTATACCGGAAAAGCAAAGGAAAAATTTAACAAAAATAAAATAGTCTCACTAGTAGGATATAGGACTCCCTCCTATCAAGAAAACATCACATTTTCTCAGATTTAATTAAATCACACAACCAAAAGTAAAAACACAATTTTCTAAAATGTTATTGACTGCCTCGTAATGATGTACAAGCATGGTTTTCATATACTCAAAAAGGAATCTTAAATTTGCTTAATTCGATTCCTATTCTATATGAAATTTGGACATGACTCCTACATTTTGACTCCTGTATTGGTTAGAATTGTAACTAAAAAGTCTGAAGGATGCCCTATATGTGACATGCTTCATTGTCTTCATTACTTCCATAATCAATTTCCAAAGAGATTGCCTCAACTTCTTGGACAAATGATAAAGGGGTTTAACGTCTTTTTAATTGAAATCCCAGTCAAAGACAAGTTTGCTGAAAATAAAGCTCATAGGCCATAATTTGCAGATCAAAGAGTGATGAAAGAGATAAAGAGAGGGTATTGCCATTTCAATCCAAAAATGTTAGTTTTTGGTTTTGTGGAAGTCCTATGGAATTTTCACTTATTTTTACATATTTTGAGCAGTTTATATAATTGGATTCATGGAAGCGGAATGAGCATTATTTTTCTTACCCAACATAAAAATGTAGAGTTCTAAATGAATTTCTCAATATGTTTTGGGATCATTTATACTGAACAGGGTGTAGACACACAAAATTAATGCTGAAACCTGAAGATTTATTGATATACCCCAACTCATTTCTAAATCTACCAGAAACTAATTAATTCAATTCCCATGGATTTCTCTAATTATCTGAATCATTGTTGAGTTTAAGAGTTTTGGTTCCTAAATGCACCTCCTATTTGTTTGATTTTGCCTTGTACTTAGTGAAATCAAGCTAAAATTGCATGCAACAATATTTCAGAAACATTTAGATTGGCAACATAGTTAAAATGGTGAATAGAAGAATGGGGAGGGAGGAGAAATGGTTGTTGTTCCTTGGAGGAGGAATCTGCCCTTTTATGAAGGTAACAGTCATGTGACGGCCTTTTTTTTTCTATTTACAATGGCAGAGATTTTGATTTCTTATGGATTCCTGAATCTTTTGCATTATGAGTCTTACTGATGGTATGCAAATTTAGTGTTGGCTGTCTGCATGAAATGTCCATGGAGAAGTAAATGATCTGTGTGATTTGATTTTAGTGATTGAGGGATATAATAGCAGCATATAATACATATGACAGTAAATATGTGATTAAGTTTGGGTTGGTCGATGACATTTATCATTGGAAAGCTGAGCTTCACCTTTCTCTTATCCAGATATGTGCAAATGACTGCACTTTGCACTTTCCTTAAGTGATACGGAATACTATCATGAAATTTCCCTCATTCTGATCATCTTAAAGGTCGTCAACTACCTTGATTAAAGTAAAAGCTGGTTGATATGTTGTTGTGAAGATGTTTGGTTGATTGCAACAGCATCCATTATTTTATGTCTTGCATTTAGCGTGTACAAACTCCAAAGTAATATATCTGGATATAGTAATTCATAAGACTGTCCATTTATGGAAATGAGTAAATAAAGTATGTATTATAGTTGGAATGCTTGCCGCTTGTTTGTTTTTATGTTAATTCTTTTTTAAACAACTGCATTTAGTTTCATATTCAATTTTTAGGATTTTTTTTAATATAAATGTTCTTCTCTGTATCAGAGAAGTCTGTATGATGCACGTATAACAACCTCAAGACTGCGGGAATCTGTCAAAGCAAAAAGAATTGAGTTACAATGTCTGAGGCAGAATCTGAAGCTAATTTCCATTCTCAAAGGACAGGTAAAGACATTTTTGTTTCATTTGTTTTATATGTGCTTTTGGCCTAAATAACATTATTAAAACTGGTTCTTGGGAGTTTCAATTTTTATTTTTGATCTAATGTCTCATTGGATGTATTTGGGGGTGGGGATTTTGTATGTGCTCTTGTTGCTTAAATGCTGCTGTGTTATATCTTAAATTGATTATCCTTGATCACCACAGATGTTATATTTGGAAGAATTTGCTCTTTTGGACCATGATTTTTCCCGCTCTTTATCTGGGGCTATTGAAGCTTTGCGGGCTAGCATACTTCGCCTACCTGTTGTTGGTGGGGCAAGGGTAATTTCCATCTTTCTTGTGCTTGATTTTCAACAGTGACATAACATTGGGCCTAATTTTCTCTTATTTTGTTTATTACTTCTGCAGGCAGATGTCCAAAATGTGAAGGATGCTATCTGTTCAGCTGTTGATGTGATGCAGGCAATGGCATCATCAATATGCTTATTGTTATCAAAGGTGGTACCCTACCCCAGCCATATAAGGGACTACTAATTTCTCATATTCTAATCACAATAACAAGAATGCCAGCCATTTACTGGAACTAATAATTTTTTTTATTTAATATGACCTACATACTTCCCAGTAAGACGATGTCGCGGCAAAATTGAATAAGCTTATTTTACTAGTCAAAATAATAATTTCTTTCTATAGTGAAGCTTTCTTTATTGTGCTCATTTTAACGAGTGTTGTCCAAGTTAAAGGGCCAAAGTTCTGTGACTTATTTAGATGAGGGTGGACTAAAGGCATTAATCGGGAAGCAGAATGCTTTTCTTTCCGTGAGGATGTGCTCAGTTCATGAGTGATTTTGAATTTTTCTCCTGTTGTACTCATTTTTTTTCCCTTTTTTTCTTTCTCATATTGTGGTTTTGCGGCTGTCAATTAATAGTAATTATCATGCATCAACCCCTGCTCTACTGAGTAGTACTTTTTCTATATATTTGTATGTGTCTAAAGGAATCTTATTGATAGGTTGGGGAAGTAAACTCTCTGGTGGCTGAACTCGCTAATGTGGCTACGAAGGAGCGTGCTTTGCTTGATCAGTGCAGAGACCTCTTGTCAATCACTGCTGCTATGGAGGTAATATTGTGTTAGGTTTTACTTTCTGGAATAATCGCAAAGCAGATAGGAAGTAGAACTCATTTTAGTCATTATTCATGCTCAGAGGAGCTGTTTCACGATCCAGTATCTGGTTGTAAAATTCAAAATGTCTTTTTTGTCCAGGTGAAGGAATCTAGCCTCAGAACACATTTTATACAACTAAAACGTTTACCTTCCAGCCTAACAACAAAAGTGTAAAGCTTACATCACTTGACTGCCACCCTAAATGCTAACATGAAACCAGACCTTTTTTCCTCGGATTCAAGGAGCCAGACACAACAATAAGAGAACTATATCAAATAGTTTTGATTGCTTGTAAAAGCAGAAGATTGCTCTTTTGGCTTGTTGGGTAAGAAAAAGATGGCTTTATTATATATTATTATGCATAGATGGGATGAAGAGTTGTCACTCTCAATATTCAGATTAGATTGTACAGAAATGCTTTCTCTGTAGGGCAGAGGAAAATATATGTAAATATGTTGTAATGATGTTTCCAATTTTTTTTTTTTTTTTCATTCAATAGTGTTCTTGATCAAGTTCTCGTTTGCTGACGTTTTGTTTGTGCGTTTATTTACTACTCGTGCATTAGGTGTCTTAGTCCAGTGAATTAATTTGCGACACGATTTCTATATGTATAAATAAAATCAATGTATTCTGTCACCATCTGCAACTTGTTTACCCCATTAAATAATGGGGAAAGGTTGAAACGAATATATCTTGAATTGGTGAATGGTTAAAATTTAGTATTCCTCTTTATCCACGCCATGTGTTAAATGAAGGATGTCTATGTATTGATCTTGGATTTGGTGGAGATAGCATTAGGCAATTTATTTTTATTAGTAAGAATGGAAAATTCTTATCATCTGTTTAATCTTTGTTTGGCCTTTATTTAGCTGACTTATTCCTGATGATTTTACTTCTTTTTTTTTTTTTTTCCTTTGTGTTCATGCAATTACATCTTTGTTTTGCTGTTGTCTACTCACTAATGGAGTAATGGCGTAATAAAAGGTTAAAAGTCCCTCCACCTTATTGGATCTGTGGTTCTGCAACTTTTACTCTATACCCACTTCCTGCATCTTTTTCGCTTATTAACTGTTTTCATTTTTGTTTTGTTTCATAGCCTCTCTCTCTCCTTTTAAGCTTAGAAATTTAAAGTATCACTTAGTTCCCTTTTTAGTTTAATCTTTATGAAATAAACATTACTAAAGTAACAGAGACAGACCAACAGGCCACAGCTGCTATCTAGCAAATAGCAATCTACCTTCCTATATACAAACTCAATAGCCCTTTGGCCTCCCTCTTTTTAAGGAGACATGACTAAGGACGCACGCCCAATCAGTTCAAGGAACGTATTATCTACCTGACTCTTAATTGGAGACACAGCTGCTCTCTATTCTCTCTTCAACTATGTGTTAATTATTAAAACCAAAATTTTCTTAAGCTTGATTATGATCAACACCCATAAAACATTTATTAAAACAAATTTATTATCTTATTATTATAAATTTGAATTAGACAATTCAGTTGGAGATGGTAAAACGAAATGTTAAACAAGGGAATTTGTCTTTCTTGCAATCCTAAACTCTAAAAGGATCATTCTTTTCCATCTCAAATCATTTGATCCTTTTTCTTTCAACAATCAAATACTAATGTCACTGTGTGTAGGTACCATACATTTGGTTTACAACTTTTGCATCTTTTGCATCGCCCACTAGTTTTGAACAGGTACGAGTGGTGATCCAACGAAGATGATGTGGGATCCACAGCATATGCCACCAGACGCGGCGACTCGAATGGATTGGAATAATTAAGACTTCCTTTCAATTTCATTAATTATGTCCTTTTCAGTTTTCACATACATTTAACTTTTTCTTATTTTTTCTGAAAGACAATTGTTTTTCTTAGGTGTTGATGTCGTGGAACCCACTTCCAACGGAGGAGGACTCGACTATAGAAGGAGGCTGACGTGCACCGCACCATAAACAAATTTTCTTTTTCTTCTCTAATTCTAATATTGGGTCCCACATTCTTTCAATATTTCAATTCCATGCCAAGTACGCAAATTTGACATGCTTGGTTAGCATAAGATGAAACCATAGGTCAAAAATTCATCCGACTTCTTCATGTGATGGTCATTCTCTTTAGTGTTCCATTTGGCGTCTAGCTAAACTTTGCTACTTGTCAAAATTTAATAAATAGTTGATAAGTATTTAGATTTACTTTTGACAACAGATTGGAGATTATAATATTGATTTAAGGTAGATCACTGTTTGTCACACATCATTTAACCAAGGAGTAAGGATATATTTGGTACTGTAGTGACAAACTGCTTTAGAGATGCCATAGCATTTGAGGTTATGCTAGCCTTATTGTCAATTTGCTCAAATATTTAAATTTGTCTCTCTTCTCCTTTTAAAAGTTTAGATCACATTAAATAAAATAAAAGGTTCGTCTCAATTAGAATTTAAAAAAAAAAAGAAAAAAAAAACTAGTGGCACAAAGTATGAAACAATAAACTATATTATCTAATTTCTTCTTATTATTTCTATTTTGATTCTATACTTTGCTTATTATCTTAGAATTGTAAATTGAATACTTTGGTTCAAGAAATTTCAACACAAGCAAACATCATCTTAATTTCAAAGAGCTTGGAGTCTTGGAAGAATGTAGAGTTTGGCATGTTTGGTTGTGGAAATAACTTATTTTTAAGAAATAATTTTAAAAAAAAAAATCAAGTAACTCATACTTTAATATTGTTTGATTGTAATATTTTCTCTTTTTTCTTTGGAAAACACCCGATATCCAACAAAGTCAACTAATTCGGATTCAGATTGTGCATAGTATAATATTTTCTTTTTGATAAAAAAATACTTTTCATAAATTATTTTTCTGAACACTTTAAATATTAGAAAGTTTTAAAAATATATTGTAATGTCGTTAGTCTTAACATACAAATATTATAAACTACCTTATCTTAAAGCTTATATTTTTGGCATGAGAAATAGTGCATAAACATTGCAAGTATTGAACAAAGGTAACCATTTTATTTGCTTCCACCATATTGATCCAAACAAACCAAAAATATGAAAACAACTATACTAACATTTGTAAGTTGCAACTTTCGAAAATCTCGAAGCACATGCAGTTTCTGTCTTATATAGGTGTAGGAAAAATAAGAAGCCAACTACGTGTCAAACCATACATCTCTCAATTTAAGAGCTACATGGGCTTGTGTTTGCCTTTCGCAGCTTATTGCCTCTGCTCTTACATGTACGGACAGGACAAACCCGTCGCTAGTTGACAATTCCATTGCCATCACCGTTATGATTATCAAAGAAATTTTAAATAAATAAAAATAATAAACACAAATTTTTCACCGGAAAAGTAGCTCCATCGCTTCCAAAACCTCGCCGGGCTAAAATTCCGGCTTCATATTTATATTGGAAAAACAAAAAGGTTACACCGCTAAGGTGAGCACTCATAGTACAAAATACTTCGTCCGTCTCTTTCATTTTTAATTTCCATTTAAACGAATAGATTCAATAGTTTCTTCCTATCCCCGCCACTGCTTTCGAAAGTTGTCGTCTCCGATGATTCTTCTGTGTACGACGACATCGTATCCTTGCCTCTCTTCTTTCTCCCAGCTTTGCCCGACGCGACCAGCTTTGGCGTGAGAGAGAGATTAAGATCGGACGCTTGATTTCCACTTGCAACATTGACGTGCGGCTTTGATTGAGTCCACACGTCTCGTAACCTACATGCCTCAGCAGAGAAACTATCGGATGATTCGTTGTAATTCGGCGCCAACACACCGGCGAGGATTCCTGGTAATGGCCGCAGAATTCCCCCGGAAAGAACTGTCTCCACCGCCGCTTGGCACACGTGCCAGTTACCACTCCACAACAGTCCCACCGCTCCGTTTATGGGATTCACCGTTCGTCCGCACGCCTCAAACAAAAGTGATTGAAACAAAGCTAAAATAAAAACCATTTCATTAAGACCTTTAAACTCATATTCACAAGTATCAGTGCATAGACAGACTTCTCTATACCTGGCCGTTGAGATTCAGGTACGGCGGAGATGAGAGACATGAGATCGCTGCGGCCGAAGAATTTGGCGAGAAACAAAGTGGCGTTGCCTTGGGCTTCAGGGGTAGTTATCCAGTGCAAGCACGACCTGAGAATACAAGTCTCGCTGCATCCCTTTCGAAGAACTCGGCAACCGTTGCAGCTCATCTCCACCGTTGACCACCGAGAAAAAAAAAACCGCGATTTTGGTATTTGGCTGTTATATACTGGCGGGGATTTCTTGAAGAGTAAGGAAATGGAGTGAGAGATTGAGAGAGAGAAAAACTAAAGGCACAAGAGTGAGCTTGGAGGAGTGGTAATAATGATGGCATAAGAGAAGGAAAAGGAGGGTGTAGTTTATGGGTTAGTTAAAGTAACTGGGGTTAAGTTGAGATTTCGGCATTGAACGGTGGGATTTTAATTTTGGAATACGGTGGGGTCAGGATATTTGTGTTTGTCGAGGCGAATATCTTCCAAACTCTGGGCACGAGCGGCTCCGTGTTTTCGCGTCGCTTGTTCTGCAAGGTATGCACCGTTGGATTTTATTTATAATTTCATTTGGACCGTTGGATTTCCTTCCCCTTCAATTTCTTTTTTGTACTTTTTCTTGAAGTTCGGGTACGAAACTCTAGCCACCCCATATAAGTGGACAGTGACAAAGAACTAGTTATTGTTTGTGATCTTTTATTTTTAAGGAATAAATGCTATTTAATCCCTCCCATTTAACTTTTCTCCCTTTCTTTTTTTTTTTTTTCTAAATATATTGATTCGTTTACTCTATTTAATTATTTAACTATAATTCATATTTAATAACATTAATATTTATTAGCTTGTGTTATCAAAAATAAATTTTTAAAAAATCAATGTTTTTGAAAAAAAAAAGCTAAATAATAAATAAGTTCAGAGAGCTCATGTACTAAATATTATTGGCATCATTTTTTTTAATTAGGTTCCCAACAATTATAATAAAAACTTACAGAAAAATATGAACAGTTCTATGAAACAAAAATGAGATTAAATTTTGCCAGTAATTTCTATTAATTTTGCTTTAAACTGATTTTTTTTTTCCAATAGCAAATTGTATATAAGAAAAAAAAAAGTTTAATTAGTGCATAAGTTTATCTTTGTTGATTTGAATTAAACATTAATAAAATTTATATGATTCCATGACAAAATTAAAACTCTCAATTCTGAAAGAAGTCAAAAATAATTTTCTTAATCAATCTCAAATTTTATTTTCTCTTTCGTTTAATTCTAAAAAAAAAAAAAGTTTTATGCAAATACTCCAATTAAAATTCTTATTCGAAAAATGACTGATTACCTATAAGATTATTTTTTACCAATGTATAATCGTATTAAAAAATGAAATATTATTAGAAAAAAGTAATACAAAATGGCAATGATAAGATAAGCTAAATACTCAGAACAATAACCTATTAGAGGAATCTTTAAAATGCTATGCGCAAGAAATCCGATCTAACTTTTTTTCCTGATGCTTTGTTCACGTGCAAATCCAATATCATAATTTTAAAAAGCTTGCCATGAAATGAATTCTATACCATTTACATTATTGATAAAATGCATCTAATGTTGAGATTTTCTTTCCTCTTTTTTTTTTTAGAAAACATCTAATATATAATTTTAAATTCAGTTTTTATATCAATGCATTATTTAATATAATGTATGGAATATATAATAAAAATGGAGTATTCGAGTAATTTTATTAGTTGGTCATATCATATAGACCTAAATCGGACATACAAATATAAAATAATAAAAAGTAAATTGGTTGAATTCTTTGGAATCAAAAAAGAAAAAATAACCTAAACTTATTATAAAATTTTGAAAACCTTTTCATTTTTATCCATATAACAGTATCTATTACCTTGAAACCAAAATATGATCATAGTGGAGTAAAAACAATGCTAAGACATTCGATTGTTAACAACAAAAAAAAAAGGTAATAATAATATTTACAATTGAAAATTGTACAAATTTCTTGAAATATAAAATAGTTATTAGAATCAAATTTCATTTCTCCTCCTATTGTATTCTAGAGATAAAAAATAAAGTTGAAGCTCCTTCCTTCTCCCCTAAAAGAGGAAAAAGCTAAATGGCACAACAGAAACCATCCAAGGGAAAAGACAAGAACATCCTAATAAAGGGCTTTTTGATGGATTTGAGACTTTATTAGTGGTGTGCTGAACTTTCTCTCCTCCTATTTCCCACTAGCAACTAAGCAAGCACCTAATGTTTGTCCTATTATTATCAATCCATCCATGGTAACTGTTAGGCCATGTTATAGGATTGGACCCATCAATCTCTCACTTGGTGGATCATGGGCCCAAATGCAAATGGCAACCACTAAAATCAAAAAAATACATTTTACAAAATCTCTTGTTGAAATTATTAATTAAAAGTAATTAAATTTTGTTTTTAAGGTAATTTTCATATATACTACTGAATATACAAAATAACTAAATAACACTTTAAGACTGTTTTTTCACAACAACATTTAAAAAGATGTTACACAAGTGGAGAACAAGATGTCCATTGGTTGGGTCACTCCAAGCTTTTTCTTGGGCCTTTAAGGCGAAAATCATAAGCCCATTATGTTCTTTCACTTCTCGATTAAACTTGAGCAAATTAAAGCTTTGTTTTAGCTTTGTTAATTAATTAATACAATCCAAACGTAAATTTCTCAGTTTTATTACAACTTAGCTATTATCATTTTCCATTTTTTAGTCTTTTGGCTCATTCCATCAAAATTTGCGTTTGACCCTTTCTCATTTGTGCTGGAACAAACTTGGGTTAATAATCTATATTAAGAAAATATATACTTTTTTTTTTTTTTTTTTACTAAATATACTTTTTTTTTTTTTTTTTTTCTACAGAGCAATTCCAATTTGGCAACCTTCCCAACACCAAACTCAAACCTAACATTTCTACATCTTCTCAAAAGAGATTTCAAGCTCAGGAAAAAGAAAGAAAGAAATTGCGAATTTGAAGCTTTAGTGTGGCCTTAAACAACGTTTAGCAGCCAATGTTATCCACTAGATCTAACTGTATCAGATGTGTGTGAGACGATATGTAACCGATCATCATTGATAGGATCATCATTGTTTTTTTTTTTTTTTTTTACTAAAAGCAAATTCCATTTGGCAACCTTCCCAACCTCAAACTCAAACCTAAATTTCTACATCTCAAAAAGAGATCAACTCAGGAAAAAAGAAAGAAAGAAATTGCCATTTGAAGCTTTACGTGTGGCCTTAACAACGTTTAGCAGCCACCTGTTATCCACTAGATCTAACTGTATCAGATGTGTGTAGATATGTAACCAGATCATCATTGATAGGATCATCATTGGTCTTCTTCCAGAAACGTTAATAAAATATATAAAAGACCAATTTGATACATTTGGTGGTACTTCCACTTGAAGAACCTAAAATACATCAAGAAAACAACGCAAGTGGTTGGAGTAATTGGAGAGGAACACTGAGCTGGTGATGGGACCGCGCGCACTCTACCTCGAATTAGTATGATATTGTCCACTTTGTGTCAAGTCCTCACGGATTTGTTTTTGGACACCTCCCAAAAGGCCTCATACTAATGGGTTGGATTTGAACCATTATATTTTTGGTTTCCTCTTCTCATATTTTTTCGATGTGGGACTTGGGAGGATATCCCAACAGTTGGCTTCATTTATAAATTTGATTTTCAATTTTGATCGATTTTACTTATAGTCCTTCAATTTTACTGTTATTATTATCCTACAAAATTTAAAAAGCCACAAAAAAATATCGGTTAAAGTTTAGAGTTAAATTTATGTATAAGAGCTTTTATAATCGGTAAGTAAAGACCAGTACATCTCATGATATGATCAGCAAATTGTAACTAATAAGACCATAGATTCATGACTTTCCCCCCTTGGAAAAGTTTAATCAAAAAATCGATGATTTGACTTCAAATTTTGTCACGGGCAAAAATTAGATTGGGGTTTCTGTGCCTACCAAACTTGAACGCCGTCTTATAAAATTCATATACCGTACGACCAGTTGATGCAAGGAACTTGGCAAGGAGAAGCTTCCAAGAGTAGATGGATAGAAGGGTAGATATTTCATTAATTAACTGTTGGAATTAGGTGATCGCTCCATGCTTACTGTTTTAGGTCTTCATGTTTGCCAAATGCGTTAAAAATATTGCAAAATTCATTTCATTTTTATGAATTTTAAGAAGAGAAACCATGGTGTGAAATCAACTTATAAAAATTGTCCAATTCTTGGCAGGTCAATCCCCATCTAGAAGTTATCTACTAATTCTATTATATGAATATAAATTGATAAATTGTAAGATTTCATTTCTATGAATCGGGATGGAATTAGAAGTTGGAATTTAAGGATAAAACATAGCTTTTTAAATTTTAGAGAAAAAAAATGAATAATTTTTTAAATTTAAACAATAATTTTCATTGTTAAAAAATTTTAAAAAATTGACACCTACTAGCTAGGATATAGAACTTGTTAGATAATTATTTAAAAAAAAAAAAAGAGCAAGGAGTCATTTTTCACTAATTTTCAATAAAAAAAACTAAATATGTATGATAATTGGTTTATTAATCATAATTAAATTATTAAAAATAAATCACAAAATGAGATATTTTCTCATATATAATTTTTTATAGATTTAATATCAAGATAATTCAGTCCAAATAGCATTTTCTATCCTTATCTATTTATAAGAAAAATAATATATTGTTTTTCTTTATATATAGTCATCAATGTCGTTTCATTATTTAAGTCATTGTCATTGTCATTGCTACTACTCAGAGGATTATTAATTGAGAACTAATAATTTAGCTAAATATAATTATCTGGAACTGAACAAACATTTCCCATGTTAGTATTTAGACAAGTTGGCAGGTTTCTTACGTCACAGATAATTGCTCGACTATTAACCCATCGCCGTCTCTTATCATTTTAATTCCCCGATTACGTTGGCAGTTGCCACATTCTGCCATTGATTATTCCCTCGCTAATGCAAGTCATGCATTTCCCTTATTGCCCACCCTTTTTATCATATGCTAATTAAGTGTGTTACAATTATTCTTTTAGGATTTTGCAAAAAATATAAAAAGTAACGAATTTTAAATTTTAATCATTTCCATCGTAAAAATTATTTTTAATTTAGTAAATATTATATTTAAAATAAAAAATTACAAGTATTATATGATTTATAATATTATTCGGATACGTTGGCTTTCGTATCAAATTTTGCCGTCCAACTAATGATTCAGGGGCTGCTACCAAGTGTGTTGTTCATCAGGAAAGATTTTCCAAATGGGCCACTCTTGACTCACCAGGTGGAAGGGAAAAACAATGTGGCCACCTACTGCAAGCTTTTGTCCATGGCGAGACAGATCCAGTTAGTTGGTTAACACGAGCTATTTTTTCCTGCATAAAAATTAACCTAAAAGTAACCGTCTTTTAAGTTAGTTGGTAGGCCCAACAAACTTAGACTAGACAATCCCTCCCTTCTCCAGTCCACCCCAGTATTTTTAACTTTTCTTTCCAACTGCATAATTTATAAGCAATAAAATTAAAAGTAAAATCCCAATTATTTAAAATTAAATAATATTTTTAATTGGTTTTTCACGGTCTGAAACCAGCTATTTGGTTTGAGCCGATTTTGATTCCGCTGATGATGAACTTTGTTTTTATTCCGGCTCCAACTGATTTGGGTTATTTCCGTCGGTTCAAGTTCCAAATTTTGGAACCCCGTCTTCACTTGCAGTTTTCAAATAACTTTCAGATACTTTACTGCTGAATTGCTGGACGAATATGGAGTTTCCTTGTTACTGACCCACACGCAAATGCCACTATCACCCTTATCGGAACTTGCAGGATTAATTCTTTTTTTTTTTTTTCAAAAATTTATTGGGCTTTTGGATATTAGGCTCCACTCCAGAAGTAACCTTGACTAACAGATGGGTGAATCCGTTGGTTATGCCGAAAATTATTCACACGCTTCTTGTAGAAATTAGGAACTCTCTGCAATTGGCATCTGGCGATTCAACTCTTTCTTTTTTGTCTTGTCGTTTTTACACTCTATAAATCTAAACTTTACCTAAAAGGAAAGGAAAGGAAAGGAAAGGAAAGAGCTTCGCTTCTTTCATTCTGCCCTGCTTTCTTTTTTGTTTTGGTCTGCTATACACAGCCATTTGCATTGGCTGCAGTTTACCTCATTACATGAGTATGACCACATCATAATTAATGCAATACTACCAAACAGATCTACAAGTCTTGCCATCTCATTTTTATGCCATTTTTTGAATTTTTTTTTTTATAATTTTTTTCCTTTTAGTCCCCTTAACAAAAATTGTCATTTAAAAAAAAAAAAAATTGATGTATTCATTTTACCAATTTCGGAGTCGGAATTCAAATTTTTGTTCGATATAATTTTCTAGATGTTTATAAAAATAGTAGCATTCAATAAATGTGGAATAACTAGGACAAAATATCAGGATTATGAACATTCTCGTTGAATTCATTTGAGCACATTTTTCAAGTGGCAGTAACCTCCGACCATTAAAATATTTTTTATTCAAGCGATTTTTATGAATGTGTAAAACGGTGTGGCTTTGTATGTGGTCTTCGTGACTAGATACACAGTTACGAATATGTTTGGTATTAATTACGGACAATTAGGGAAATACTAAACAAATCCTCCGTTTAAGTTAATAAATAAAATAATTAGGACGTAAAGAAAGAAACAATATATTGCTGATATATATAAAATACTCGGACTTTTCATCTGGTCCCAAAACTTAAATAAATAAATAAATAAATAAATAAGAGGAAGAGTAGTTGCCTTGCTTAAGCAAGACCACCTGTCATCCTAATCACTTCCATTAGGAAACAGTATGGCAATGCCCACCCAGATCTTTCTCCCTTCTTATCCACACGCACCAACGCGTTCTTTCCTTCTCTCGTTCTCATCTTCATTGCATCGCTCATCACACGCATCACCACCTCACCTCCATTTATAATTTCTTTTCCAGTAATATTAATATTAGGAAAATAATATCTAAATTTAACTTGATTTTATTTCTTTTTTCTTTTTTTTAACGTACCAGTGAACCTCATGTACTGTACGCAACCAGGGCATGCACCGTACAGTTGAAGCCGTCACTCTCTTTCCCTCCTTTATGTATATGAATAGTCTTTTTTTCGCGGAGTCACGACTAATGCGCTAAGTGGCCTCAACTGAAACCTAACAAACTCTGCCACCGCTGTTCTGCCCCGCCGTTCACGCGGTTGTGCTCTGCAAGTCACCCAGGATGCGTAGGTTAAGTGCGCACGGCAACTGTCCAGGCGCATTTTAGACCGAGTCAGAATTTACAAACCTCACACTTAATTAATAATTTAATTAACAGCGGTACACAAGAATTAAAAAAAAGAATCCATTGAATTGAATATTTCAAGTCTGACAACTGAAACAGAGAGTTCAACTGCTATTTACAGAAAAAAATTTAAATAAGAAGAAGAAAAGGAGGAACATGTTTCATTAATCTCGCCTAACTAATTAAATCCATTTTCCTAATTAGGAATTGACTGCAAAAGTCCTATAATTTTTCCTACTGATCTTTTAGACTTCGATTTTGGGCGCTACCAAAAGACGGGGCTTTTTCACCGGCAGTGGGCTCATAACTTCATCGTCACCGGAGATAAAGAAATCCGCTGCAAATTCCGGCAAGGCTGGGAGGTTAAGGTCAAATTCACGTTGGCTCTGGCTTAGACTGTGAGTGTTAGTTGAGCCAACGCCTTCAGAGACTGAAGTTACTCCACTCTTTTCAGCCGCTGCTGAACCGCCTTCGTAGTGACACCTCTTGTGGCCACCGAGAGCCTGTCCTGTCGGAAAGCACTTGTGGCAGAGAGAGCACTCGTGAGTCTTACCGCTTCCGTTAGATACAGTAGCTGTGGCGGAACTGGTCGCGGTAGTTGAAGTTGATTGGTCTTCGTTTCCTGCGAGTTTCCTGTGACTTGCCTTGTGACCGCCTAACGCTTGGTAAGAAGAAAAGGCCTTGTTACAGACGGAACACTTATAGCTAGGCTTCTCCTCTGAGTTGTTCAACGCAGCTGGAATCTGTCGAGATGGAGTAGGGGAGCGGTGGCGGTGTGAGGCGGTGGAGGTCGAGGTAGAAGTTGAGGCAGTGGTACCACGAGCAAGCATAACAAGGCAAAGAGCTAGATACTCTTCCTCAGTGGGTTGGTGGTGAGAACGCTTAGATCGCTTGCGCTTGGTCCATGGCTCAGCCAAGTAGCTATGAAGACCACTGGAATCCTCAAATTGGAAGGATGGAGTTGCTGTAGTTGGAGAGTTGAGAGCATCCAGTGCCATATCTGAATCTTAAAAAAGTAGTTTCTCCTTTGATCTGAACTGAAGTTCTGAACTCGAAACAAAGATGAGAGAGAAGCGAAGGAGTGCGTTTGAGTTTTTGAGTAAGATTGGAAGGGCAAGGTGGGTTTATAAAGGAAGGGAGTGAAGTCTAGAGCAGGAAGTTGCGGGACAAGTGGTGGGAAAGTAAAGAGGAGGTGTGAAGAGTAATTTAATTAATTAATTAATTAAAGAGTAGAATCTTATAAAATACGAAGGCAGTAGTGGAGCACGTTTAAATGCTTGGTAGCCAATTTTGAGTTTTCTTGGTAGCCAAGAGTTGAGTGACTGACCCTAAGTCGGTCAAAGAAAGAGAATAGTATAAGTACAGATAGGACTGATACTTTGCTTAATTTATTTATTTATTTATTTTTCTACGTGGGTCCCAATTTGTAAAGGAGGAGGAAGAGTGAGTGAAGTGAACTAGTTGAGGTGGACGACTATTTCCAGGTTCCAAGTCAAATACAGAAACCCCTTCTTCCCTTCCCTTTCTTTTCAAAATTAACGCGGTTATATTATAATTTGATAATAGAAATTAGAGAGGACTCGGTGGCTCCACCTTTCTACAAGTAGCAGCCGGCAGCCAAACAGAGTTTCCCTTTTCAACTTGTAGCCGACGGTTCATGCATTTACGCACACGCGGCGTGCTTTTAGCGTCAAACAAAACAAGACAGGGAATTGAAATGTGAATTGTAAATTTGTTAGGAGCCAAATCACATGGAAGCTTTTTGTTGGTGTGGTGGAGAACCTACTATCTAACCAAAGTGGAAGAATGGCATTAACTTTCATTTAGGGGTACCGCACACGTGTGCATGTGGGTGAGTTTGTTCAACTGTGTGCCATATAAATTAGATGGGATTCTTGCTTTCACTTAAGAAGTTGCGACTTGTATATTAAATTTTGAATCGATAGATTATTATTGTAATTTTGTTTATTTCTTGTAAAGTTAAATTTGGACACGACTTAGATAAAGCAACCCAAACAGTACAATTATTAGGATAGAAAGAGAAAATTATTATTACTTGCTAAAGCATATTTTGATGCTATCCTATCATAAAATAAATTATTAAAAAAATTTAAATAATTCATAAAATTTTCTAATTGGATAAGAACAATCTTTTATGCGATTGTCATATCAATATTTTTATCACGATCCTATGGATCATTTTCATTTCCTTTATGAAAAATACATGTGCAATTTTTACTTTTCGATAATTTAATTTCCGATAATTAGATTTTTTTTTATATAATTTATATACATAATTTCATGTTTACACTGAAAATTGTATTTGTGTAAAACCTTAACTGATTGATCTTTTTAAGTTAAGTCGGTGACTTAAAAATTTTACACTATGCAAAAATTTGAAAAATTAGGAAAGCAAATTAAAAAATATATATATTTCATAGAAAATTAAAAAAAAAAAAAAAAAATTGGTAAGTCCGGGTGAGCTTAAAAAAATTTAGAGTACAGACTATGCAAAATTTGAAAAATTAGGAAAAGCCAATATAAAAAGAATATAGATATTTCATAGAAAAAGATTAAAAAAAAAAAAAAAAAAAAAAAAATTGAATTAAGAGTAGGACACATGCTTCGCCCACCCTCCCTTTGTCGCTTTTCTAAGTCTGCTCCTAGCAATGCGTCTGAAATTCTTTAAACCCTTAGAACTGCTAGATAAAATTTTGAGGCCTATGAATACAATTCAGATGATACGCTGAATTATGAGAGGTTGGGACAGATTAGGTATGTTATTACAGAAACGTAATAGATTTGTCCTTTTAGTTTTAATTAAATTTTATAGTATATTGATTCTTCGTTTTGTAGTTACTTCCTAGTTTTACACCATTCCAAGAGCACTGAAATATTAAAATCACCATGAAAATTAGAGGTTAGATTACTTGTCTGAAAAATGAAGAATAGTAGTAAGTAGCAAAAGCTATCCAATAGGCTAAGGCGTTGGCTATAGTCCAAGAAAGACGGGTGAGGTACATATGGACTTTGCCTTGCTGTTTCATAACTTGCCACGTATTTTTGATCTGCTGATCGCCCAAAAAATTCGAGACTTGAGGATTTATTCACAGATAGTCAAGAAAAGAGCATTCTAGATAAATCCAGATAATTACATGTGGGTGCAGCGACTTTAGAGCTTTTAGAGAAGTTATAATTAGGTCCACAAGTTGACATAGATACCAGCAGTCCAACGTATAGATGCAAATAATGTATTTATAGGTTCACGAAAATTAGATTAGAAGCAAGTTTAATTAATTGAAGTGCCAACAATATTTCAAAATTCAAACTAATCTTATTTAACTTGAAAGTTTTGCGTTATGTCAGTCATTCTTATTATATGAAATTAGTAAACTGTCTAATTGTATTTTTTTCGTTATCGTTTAATTAACTAAAATTACAATAGATTTCAATTTGAGCTAAAAAAAAAAAAAAAAAATTGGATTTAAGTAGGACCATGGCTCCCACCCTCCCTTTGTCGTCTTTTCTTCTTGCTCCTAGCATACTCTAAATTTTAAACCCTTAGAACTGTAGATAAATTTTGCCTATGAATACAATTCATATACGCTGATATTATGCAGTTGGACAATTAGGTATTATACAAACGTAATGTATTTGTCTTTTTTTTATTAAATTTTATTTATTTATTCTCTTTTTTACTTCTATTTACACATTCAAAGCACTGAAATATAAAATCACCATTGAAATTAGGTTGTTTACTTTCTGGAAATGAAATAGTAGTAAGTAGCAAAGCTTCCAATAGGCTAAGGTTGCTTAATCAAGAAAGACGGTTGCTACATATGGACTTTCCTTTCTGTTTCATAACTTGCACTATTTGATCTGTGATCGCAAAAATTCGAACTGAGGTTTATTCACAGCTAGTCAAGAAAAAGCATTCTAGATAAATCCAGATAATTACATGTGTCAGCGACTCTTATCTTTTTAGAATATATAGGTCACTTTGACATAGATAACAGCAGTCCAACTATAAGCAATAATTATTTAGTCACGAAATTAGATTAGAAGGCAAATTTATTTAATTGAGGTTGGCAAAATATCAAAATCAACTAATCTTATTTGACTTGAAAGTTTGCGGTTCTCATATTCTTTATTATATGAATTTAAACTGTTAATTGTATTTATTTCGTCGTTTAATAACTAAAATACAATGATTTCAATTTGCAACTGGAAATGATTCTTATCTAAATGGTTAAAATTAATGTCCTGAAATTTAACGTTTGAGGTTTGATTTTGATGTTGGCCATAAATTGTTTTTTAAAGGAAATTTTGTAAAGCTAGATAAGCATGTAGAATAAGGATCCGATTGTTTAAATAGGGTTTGAGAATTAGAATATGCTACCTCAGCCTTATTAAGTGATAAGTATGGGTCATTGCTTACATAATCAAGTCATTTTTAAGTTGCAGGTGCAAGGCCCCCGGCCCCTGGTACCGAGAAAACTGAGTGCCAAATAGTGACCCGAAACGACTTGCATTTTTTTTTTTTTTTCCTTTTACAAGTGGTCCTCATTTAACCGATAAGGTTATAACATAGCCAAACTTTTATCTGTAATTTTTAAATACTTTACCTAGCTAGCAGCAGTTTTTGAAAATGAAAACATGCGTTTTTTGTTTTATTTTTAATAATAATAATAATAATAATAATATGGATAACTCCAATGGTAGAGCACGAGAATCAGCTTTCAATAATCATGTAATAAAATATTATATTAGTTTGGAGTTGCTTATTAGATCACCTCATCAATGTAATTATTTATTTCTTTCATTGTCGAAGAGAATGCTTTTTTTTTTTTCTATGTACGAAAATTAAAAAAGAAAAAAAAAAGAGAGAGAGAGAGAATTAGCCCATTTCATATTTTCTCGTTTTGATGGATCCTACTTGTGTTGGTCCTATCTAGGCTGGGTTATTAGCCCAATTATGTAAATGGGAAAAAATGTAAATCCATAGAGCCCAAACAAAAATGGAAATAAGCCCAAACAATTGAAGATGGGGTGTTTGACATTGAATTGAAATTATTGGATTTAAATTTTCATAATTGGATTTAAAATAATAAATATAGTCATAAGTATAGAAAGTAATGTTTTCATTATTTGTATAACACTAAATATAGTAATAATATCATTAATACAAATCAATGATGATGATGGATTATCAAATCTTTCCAATATGATAATAAAATATAAATGGAAAACAACATTCTAATTTTATGCGTAAATAATATAATTGAATACGTATATGAATTCACAAGGTAAACAGTTGAGTGAAAACTATAAATTTCACTTAAATTCACAGATGAATTGAAGATTTTATAAGATAAAATATAACATAATATCCTAAAAAATATTTATAATTTTTTTTTTGCCGCTCAAATTTTTTTTTAGAAAAATCATTCATCCTCCGACTATTTTTTTCTATTTCCTCATCAGAACTAATGCTTATATATTCTATTTCAAAATTTAATATTTGTTGAATGGATTATTTTGTGAACAAGTCTCGTATATGTCAAATATAAAAAAAAAAAAAATTCAATGTAGTTATTTTTTTTTTGTTATTATTTTTTTTATAATTGTTTCACAATTGAATTAATTATGTTAATGTCACGCTTGATTAGAAGTTGAAACTACTGAATTAAAATTAATGAAGACGCATTCAATTATTATTGAAAGAAAAAAAAAAAGTGTCATGCGTAATTTTGAAACAGAGAACTTATGCTTTTCACATAGACAAATCATAAAAAACGTGTACAGCCATGGTTCATGCGTATGAGAGTTTAGGCACTTGCACAAGCAATGAAGCCGACAATATTAATAACATACTTTTTGTTATTTGAAATTCATTTAACTCCTTGTTTGGATAGGAGAAAATAAGAGGAAAAAGGCGAAAAGAAAAAGCAAAAGTTGTTTGGAAAAGAAAAGAAAAGAAAAGAAAAGAAAGAGATAGAAATTTTTTTTTTCCCTTGAAACCACTTTATTTGAACCATTTTAATTTTGAGAGAGAAAAAAAAAAAAGGAATGAAAGTAAAATAAAAGAGAGAATTTCCTGTAGAAATACTTCATTAAGTTTTATTTGTTTTTAGTTGTTCATATACGTACTAAGTTGTTCTGTTAATAATTAATTGTTATTTTAAAAATTTATTAATATTTTATCATAGAGCTGGTGTAAAGAAATAAAGGAATTACAAAGATTGCCATGCCGCCACACTAATAGCCCACCTCATGTATATATTGCAGCTGGGTAACCAATTACCCATCACTTTGACCCTTGACTGAATGAGCACGCTCCGAACACTGCTTCTCTCCGGTCCGAATTCGATTGCGCTCTCTCACCAGAAGGAAATTTTAGCTCCGTCTCCAAATCGCCTATCTGCTTGGATCGCTGCTCCCTCGAAAAATTCCCGATCTGCCGGCCGATCTCTCCGCTGTAACAGAGGCCGATACGGTGTCGGTAAGTTACTTCCTTCTCGAACCGAGTAAGTAAAATTGATTTGGCTAAAAATGTTAACGACGCGATATATATAGTCAGAGGGTAATCTAGTCCCAAAAACAAAAAATTTGTATCCTCATTGGTGAAATCTTTCTTTTTCGCTGGGTTTACGCGTCGATAATTTATTGGCCTCTTCTCTTTTCTGTTTCTCTTCCCTCTCTCTGTCTCTGTGATAATCTCCCACTTGTTGTTGAGCAGACAGCAAGTCGCAGCCGCTGCAAGTTCGGGGAATGGCTGGTCAAGACGAGAAAGATCCTCGCATAGAGAGAATTTCCTCTTCAATTAGAGTTATTCCTGACTTCCCTAAAAAAGGTTTTTGTTCTCTCTTCTACTTTGTTCACTCTTTACTTGGTGATTTTAGCACTAAGCAGAGACTTCTTTTTGGGGAGACTAGGAATCTTGTTTCAGGATATAACAACGTTGCTTCTCGATACAAGGGCGTTCAAGGACACAATTGATTTGTTTGTAGAGAGATACAAAGGGAAAGATATATCTGTTGTTGCAGGTTATTTTGTGCTTTGCTTTTTAAGTACTTCTGATTGCTGCTTTATATTACTTCATTTCGGTATTGTTTGTTTACACGATACTAAGCTTTCGTAATTTTTGTTGTTTATTTAACGCTGGACTAACTCGCACAAACTTAACATGTTCTCCATGTGCTTATAAAATCTTTTTTTCATGGAAAACAAAGTATTGTCATTTCATTTCATTTTATAAGGATTTGTTTTGATCATTACTAACTCAACATTGTTCTTGTTGCTGTTTTTTTGTCTTTAATATTAAGATCTTCATAGCCCTCTCACCACCGATTTTGGTTATTTTTTGTTTACCATTTTCTCTAAAAAAGCATGCTTGTCTTTCAGTTTTGTTGTCGAATGAGAATGCTTATGGGTCTTACTTTTAAGCCCATTGTGGGATGCATATCAGTGGTGGCAGGAAAAGGTGGTGGGTTTAATTATGCTTGAGAGTATTAACCCGATCAATTATGATTCTACAAAAATAATTGTTGAAAAATATGTTTTAATTTGAATGGCTGGTGCGAAAATGTATTGCCTAATGCATCTAAAGCAAGTGAACAAGTTAGAAAATTAGCCACTCTGCAGTGAAGTGTATTTCTCAAAAGTAAAGTGAATGCATATTTCTTTGACCTTGGTGAAATAAGTGAAGAATTTAGAAAAGCAGACGCTATTAGTGATTGACTTTTCTTTTATTTGCTAAAAACTACTTATAATTTTTCTTTCATGTTTTCTGACTTTGGTATATCTTTAGGAATTGAAGCAAGAGGTTTTATATTTGGCCCTCCTATTGCATTGGCTATTGGGGCAAAATTTGTTCCCATGAGGAAACCTAATAAGTTGCCTGGTATGTCTTTTAAATCTTATTTTTTTTCTATTTTCATAAATTATATACTTCCTGGACTTTCTGAAAGTAATTGATAGCCTATAATCCTGGATTGATCACTGCAGGAACTTGGTAGTGTTTACTTTATTATTCCAATTCATGAATGGAATGATTAGATGATTTGTTATAATCTACTCTAATGACAATGGAGCTAATTTTAAATTCATCTTGTGAAAAGTTATACTTTTCATCATTGACGTTTGATTATCTTTTCCAGGAGAAGTTATCTCAGAGGAGTACTCGTTGGAATATGGGAAAGATGTGATGGAGATGCATGTAGGTGCAGTACAAGAAGGAGAGCGAGCTTTGGTTATAGATGATCTAATTGCAACCGGTGGCACCTTATGTGCAGCAATCAGGCTACTAGGTAGTGTTTTAACGCTTAAACTCTAGTGTAATTTATGTATCTGTGTTTTCTGCCTGTTTATTCTTCAATGTTTTTTCCTTTGACTTGAGCGGAGGGGCTGCAGTTACTATTATTTTTCTTTTCAAGTGGAAAGGGTTTCGGGGAGCAAGGGAGGAAGTGTATTGTTGGACTTGGGCATTTTACCAATCAAACTAGGGCTATCTATTTTGTAAAACATTTTTATGCACAAAGATTATGTTCACATATCACTGATTAAAGGAATGGCTCATCTTTTATTTTTTTTTCAATCTTTAGAAATGATCTCCTTCCCTCCCAGGGGAAAAAATTGGAGTTTTGATATGGAGGTAATTGAAGCTTTCATTTAGGTTTAATGACAAATTTCACTGACCTTGAGGTCTGCCGACTCATAAATTTGCCAAAAACATGTGCACCTCCCCCCTCCTCTTTTTATGTAGCTATTCTTCTTTCTGATGCTAATATGTGCATCTTAACATACTTTTATTATTTTTCATTTTCTATGGCAGAGCGTGTCGGGGTAGATGTTGTTGAGTGTGCTTGTGTCATTGAATTGCCAGAGCTAAAGGTATGTCCATAATTTATCATACATAAATATTTGATAATCTGCTTGTATGCACCTAGTAGCTGCGAACCTAAGATCAAAGGCTGTTCGAAAAGCCTCTGTACCAGATCAGAGTTTCACTTCTTCCATTTCATTTTTGGCATTGTTTTTTTAAATGTCTATTTTTGCAAAAATGTCATATCATTCTATTTATGAGTTAATTCTTCTCTTCAATATTCTCATTTCTATCAAAAAGTTACATACAGCTGTGAGTTGTCTCTTTATCAATGCGGTTTTTCAACATGACCTTGATATTTTCATAGCCTGGGGATTAACAGTTATGACCTTTGATGTTCCAAGGACATCATTTGTGTTATTTCAACAATTATTACAACTTGCTGTTAATTGTTTCTGGGGTCTGATGAGTGATATTACTTCATCTACATAATTGATGTATAGAGAAGTGGGGTTAAGCATTGTTAAATTTAAATCAAATTATCAAACTGAATATCATTTCTTTAGTGTTGTCATTCACCTTTAAAAACTGAAATAACCAAATTTCATCCTCCAGCGATTTTATGAATATATCTAAGCTCAAAATTGATTAAGTTGATAAAAATCAGATTACTATTATTTGGTTTATCAGCAACCAGTTTGGTTTGTTTATGTTGGTGGTAGAAATCTTTTTTACCAAACAAAGATTGCTCAGTCGTACAAAGAAGCATTCCCCCATGTCTAGAAAATTTCATATATTAATATAGAAAGTTTAGATTTAACTTCTTTGAATTCACATGTTTTTATAAGTTTCCTTCATTTCCTTGTATTTGAAAATTATTTGCATCCGTTTTTTGAATATATGTTTTCATCTTATTTTAAGAAGCAATTGATTTTACAAATAGATTTTGTAATTTAAATCAAATGAGTTAATAATCTACTTGATTGCTTGTATCATTAGTAAATATGTAGAATCAGAATGCTTCCTGTAGAATATTTATAAATCCAAGTGGATTTGCTAAGCCTGCTTCAACAACTTCTATTTGCTGCATTTCATTCCCTTGATTTCATTGTCAATTAGAAAAGCTACCAAGTTGCATGTGAGATTATTACATAAGAGTAGGTTTACTATGCCAGCCATAGAATCTGACAAGAAAGGTCATGTCAACTTTGGAGTGGATTCCATCCATCTTATCTCCGATCCACTTTGTTTGCTAATGCTGACATCCTAGATTATCAAGCAACTTGGTCTATGGCTAATGTTGTGGACTAAACTTGTCAGTTATATAGAGCCAGTCACTTTCTCTCACTTGCATTTTGTCACTAGTTACATTGAAGCATATCTTGTTTATTAGTTTCATCTGTGTTTGCTTTTCCCGTTTGTTTCAGGGTCGGGAACGCCTAGGAGACAAACCACTGTTTGTTCTTGTAAGTCCTTCCGAGTAGTCTGTTGTTTCTGTTGTAGCAGAATGAGAATAGATGACTTGATTCAGGTGAAGGAGCTTCGTTGGTAATAAAGGATTGGATACACTCAGCAGTCTCTTCTTTTCACCTTTTTTTTTTTTCAGTAGATTGCATAAACCTCTAATTTTATTGTCAGTTTTGTATCTGTGTGGGCGTGCGGTGGGGGAATGACCACCATTGGTGTCTATTTTTGGGGTAGGAGATGGATGTGGTACACCGCACGTCAATTTCATTTGCATCTCAACCAGTCATTTAATATTGGTGAGTGGATTAGTGGGAGCACTAGCATTGTTCCCAGAAAAATAGACGTCCGCCCACTTTTGCCCGTCTGCCTGTGTGCTTTTCTGTGTCAAATTCTACAATTATGGTTGGTGTGAATGCTTTTCAAAGATTTAATGTGCTTGAAGCTGAATCAGTCTCTTTGCTTAGTGATACTGTTTGTTTACCTGTTTTAGCTTGGATGGCAAAATTATAAGAGCAGATTAAAGTGGGTTTCAGGGTGAATGAGAAAATAGTTTCTCCATTTCTGGAGTATATATTACATAAGGGAGGTTTACTGACAAAATATTCGTGGAGGTGTAAAATTGTAGCTGAACTGATACCTGTTTATAACTCCATAAGTGGAGCTTAAACAGCTAATTAGAGCTGCAAGGAGTCTACTTGTTGAGTTCAGGTATCATGTTATTTTGTGTTAACATCTGTGGTAATAAGCTTCTGAATTCTATCAGTCATTTGCAGGTAAGCCTTGCAGGAAAAAATAAAGAGGAAAAAGGCTTTGCCGTTTGATGTGATGTCTGTCGTCCTCATGCGGACTGGTTGGTCGTGTGTGTTGGACGACAGAAGTCACAAAACCTTGCCAAAATCCTGCTTTGCTTCCAAGAATGGAAAAGGAAAAGGCAGTTGGTAAGGCTGAGTACAGATTGGTTAAAACCGATTTAATTCAGTTTTATACAATAACAATAACTAATCCTTAGTTCTAAATTAATTGGGGTTGTCCACATAGAGTTTATACTCGTATGTTCAAAAAAATAGCAATTAATAAACGGAATATGCAGCAGCATTTAACTATTTATTGAATATCGTTTTCATTTAACCAAGCGGTTAAAAAGAGCCGATCCTCCTACCAGAGGATTGATCATCAAAATGTCGACCTTCAGAACGTTTATTTATTTATTCAGAAATTTAACGATTTGGTCTTTTTTTTTTCTTCTTGAGGATAGAAATTTAATGACTTTGTTAATAATATTTTAAAAAACACAAAAAAATAAGGCTTTTGGTAAAATAGGTAAAAATTTAATGGTATATGTTAAAATTGTTAAATTATAAAATGTTAAAAGCAAAAATTTATTGCTTTTCATGTATTATTCTGTTTTATAATATTTGTTATATTTTGAATTTTACATCATTTAAGAAAACTATTAAATTTACTTGGTTATAATAAATTATTGAGTAAATTGATTATATTATTCTTAATTTAATATTAATTCTCGAACAAAATTATTAAGAGGAATTAATAATTATTGATCATATGAAAGGATAAATATGAAAAAGAATATTTATTATTTATTGAAACTATAAATATAATAAGTATTTTTAAACAAATTATTTTCTCAAATGTTATAAGTATTATACGACGAAAATAGTACTTTAAGTATTAAATTGCCAAAGAGAGGTATTAATTTAATTTTAAATGACTACTAAACAATTTATAAGAACATACTTTGGCTTGTACTGAATTATTCTAGCAAATAATGCCTAATTTCAAGTGCAAGGACAATACCGACATTAATAATTTGTAACATTATATTCATGTCTTTTACATTGTTGTAAAAGTTGCTGATAATATACATTGACATAATACTCTTTGTACATAATATCAAAATTAAAAAAGAATTCTATGCTGAAACTTTTTTCTTTCTTTTGAGAAGATTCTACTCTGAAACTTAAAAACGAAGAAAAACAGAGGTAAGAGAAACATTATATTGTCTATTTACACATAGACTGGACTTCCAAAATTCAATTCTGGAGAAAGTACCTATAACTCTGTTATTTAATCTGTACGATTCATATTCATATTTATTTGTTAGTAAAGCCGACGGCTTTAACAAGGAAACAACGTTTGCGCAGCCTGTTTGACTTGCTGTTTGAATATTTATTTAAATAAATTTTCATGCTTCCATAAAATAATGATATATTATGACCGTCACCTAAAAAAAGAGGGTTTACTTTTTATCAGGAACCTTTTCTTTTAAGAAAAGTTTGACATTTTTATTATTTTATTTATATAATTTATATGCCAATGTTACAAAATATCAGAAAAGCTTTGACTTCGGCTAAAAAATAAATAAAAAAGACATTGACTTAGGACTAGAATTATTGTTTAAATAATTAGCAGCAACACTTTTTCTTTTTCGATATAGATGATAACATTCCCTTTTAAATATATGTTTATGTATATATATATATATATATATATACAGATGATAACATTTCATTATTTGGTCAATTTTGGGTATAGCTTTTTTTTTTTTTTTTTTTTTTTTTTTTACTCGTGAAAACATTGAAAAAAACACGAGAAAAAACGAAGGTAAAGAAAAGAAACAAGTAAGAATATAATTGTCAGTTTACACAAGCTGGGACTTCCAAAATTACGAATTTGAGAGAAGGTACAGTAACTCTCGTTATGTTAATCGGTACGATTCAAGATATTCATATTTAATCTTGTTAGTAAAGAGCCCGACGGCAATTTTACAAGGAAACCAACGTTGCGCAGCCTGTGTTGACTTGTGTTTTAGAAGAGTTAAGATATTTAAATACAATTTCATGCTTCCATAAATAATGAATATATTATGACCCGTCACCTTAAAAGAAGGGTTTAACTAGATGTATTCAGGGAACCACTTGTTCTTTTTAAGAAAAGTTTGACATTTTTATAGATCTTGTATTTATGATAAACTTTTATTGCCAATGCTTACAAAAGGAATATTCAGAAAAGCTTTGACTTTCGGGCTATAAGAAAATAAATAAAAAAAGACCATTGACTTAGCATAGAATTATTGTTTTAAACAATAATTAAGCCAGCAAACCACTTTTTCGTTTTCGATGATAGAGATAACATTCACCCTTTGTAAATATATGTTATGAAGAGATATAAATAGTATAGTATAGTAATAAGTGATATACAGATGAATTAAACATTTTCATTATTGGAGTCAATTTTGAGGCAAAGATATTAGCTTTTTTTTTTTTTTTCTTTTTTGTTTTTTTTTGTGATTACGAGGTGAGCAAATTTTCTGTAAGCTATGTTGAAAATGAAAATGTCAGGGTTCATAAAAGTAGGGAATATTGAGCAGTATTTTAAAAAAAAATATTTCCAATGTAGGTTTCTCTTTCATTTAACACAACAAGAAAAATAAAAAATTGGGACTTTGAACTGCGTTAAAGAAATATAAATAAATTAATGCTAGAAAAAAAAAAAAAAAAAAAAAGACTATCTGCCTTATAATTTAACACGACAGGGAAAGGAGGAGCCTTAGAAAGATGAATTTCCTTGTTAATCATTGTTGAAATACTGGAATTCCATTGAAATTTTGTGGGAAGTGTCAATTTAGAAAATTTACATATTTAGTTGAATTTGGGAATGAAAAAAAAAAAAATATAGATCAAAGTTCTATTCACATGTCTATGGAAGAATTAATATAGACATACAACGTAAAATTTCACAAAAATAATATGCGAATTTTCAATAGAGATATATACAGAGATTAAGCAATCTAATTTTTTTATGAAGCAAAGAACTACCATTCTTCTTTATTATAAATTAATTTTCCAATTGATTTAAGCTGTATTGTAAACTTATTATTTTAGTAAAATCTGACAAAGATCACTCAAAAGTGTTATTTTGTTAGATAGAATAATAGGTTCTTATTATTGAGCGTTTATTTTATTAATACTTTCATCTATTGTATTTTATTATTTTTTAAAAAAAAAAAAAAAAAAAAAGACTTCTCTTAATTTAACACGACAGAAAGGAGCCTTAGAAAATGATTTCCTTTAATCTTGTTTGGAATAAATGAATTCCATGAAATTTTGTGGGATTCATTTAGAAATTCATATTTTTGAATTTGGAATGAAAAAAAAAAATATAGATCAAAGTTCTAGGAATTCAATTCTATGGAATTAAATATAACTACACTAAATTTCACAAAAATATATGCAATTTTCAAATGAATTATACAGAATTAAGCAATCTAATTTTTTATGACAAAACTACCATTCTTCTTTTATAAATTTAATTTTTCAATTTTTTACTTATTTAACTTATTTATTTTAGTAAATCTGACCAAAATCACTCAAAAGTTTTATTTTTTTAGAATAATATTTTCTTATTATTGTGTTTTTTTATTTTAATACTTTCATCTTTTATTTTATTATTTTTCAATATTTTTTTTACTATCGATGAGAGAGATTTAGGTTAAATATATATTTATTACCAAATTAAATGCAATAATTTTATTAATATTATTTTTATATTATATGTTTATTTTAATAAAATAAACATATTAAAACGTTATATAGCATAACATAAATATAGTTGGTACTTATTACTTATTTGTGAAATTGATATTTGAAAGATATTTTAGGAAATAAAAGCAAATGAATTTTAAATTATAAACTTAATCCATATATGATTATGTGAAATTGAATTGAATTATATGTTTTAAATTAATTATACTAAACATTAACAAATAAATCCTATTAATTATACCAAACACTTATAATTGAATTCAATTAAAATTCATTTATAATTGAATTTCATATTTTGAATTCATTTATACTAAATGAAGCATAGATATGGAAAACTTTAGATATTTTAACTGATTTTGGAGTAAACTCTGTCTTTGCTTCGTTATATAAGTCATCATTGTTAGAACTTCAAATAGAATTGATTAAATTTAAAATTTGTATATGTTTATATTTTTGGTGACAAATTTTAGTATATATTAATTTACACAGTTATATATATATATAAATCATTCAGTATCCGAAGTTTAACAATCAATCCGGATTCGATCTACAAAAGAAGTAAAGCATCGCTCCCTATTAAATTTTAAAGATTTTCCATATTCAGAATTTGAATTCGAAACTCTCGATTAAGAGAGAAAGCACCCTTGCCATTCATAGTATACTCAAAATTTATTTATATGAACAAAATTCTATTTATATACTAAATTTGAGAGTTGAAATGTGAATTTGTGATAATATATATTCTCGTATATCATGATTAAAGAAAATTATCTTTAAAAGCAATTATATATTTATATTTGTATGCTAGTTAAGACATTGAGTGTTGAGAGAGACTAATTAATTGTGTTATTTAGCCAATGAAAGTAGCAAGACTATGTCTCCTTGCGCTCCAATTGACTTGGAATTTGGGAGTGGTCCCTTTTCAATTATTATTTTTTTATTAAGCAAAGTAATTATTTTATGTCTTCATAATAATAATGTAACCGACAATAATTAGCGTCTGCTTTCCATGAATTAATAGTAATAAAACGATTTGGTCTCTGTTGATAAAATAAATTAATTTCGAGGAAATTAATTAATTAATTAACAAGGCCATTCTCGCAGGAAGTAGCATTTGGCACTTCACTATTTTAAAAATAAATAAACAAGTAAAAAGATTAAGATATTCATATTCTGAACATAACTTTATGCGTGGATGGCAATATATAGTTTTTTTAATATCAAGTCATTAATTTATCTCTTAAGCAAATAATTAACGCGTACAAGATAAGGCATTTTCGCAAATAATATTTTTTTTTTTCTTTCCTTGTAAAATAATTTCTTTAAGGATTTTTTAATCATTAAAGCTGTTTAATTAAAACTAGCATCTTTAATTTCCAATCACAATATTGTGTGTGTGTGAACAAAAAAGCCGTAATTGAATACTTCTCTTGGTACACATTAATAAATATTTTCAATAATCACATTTATTAACAACCTACCTTTTGATTTTAATCTTGCTTACGTTATATTTTGCTTCCAAATTAAAATTAAGTAGCTCTTCCATAGTCTCTAATTAATATAAATAAAGTTCCAAATTAATATATTTTTAATTATTCTCATTTAATTTTATTGCATTCCTATAACTCTAGGAGTATGCATATTTTCAATATTATCCAATTTGTTTCTTTACTTATTATTTTAATATATATTCTTTTTATTGTCATATTGGTTGTATAAAATTTATCTTATTCATTTTTTATATGCACAAACCCAATAAGTTGGAGAACAATCTTTTTTTTTTTTTTTTTAACATTCCATTTATCATCTAATACAGCACTTAATTAATATTTACCCCAAACATTTTGAGACATAATGTACTATATCTACATATAAAATCAGCAGAAAAAAAAAAAACATATATAATTTTTTATATGGACAATAATAAGGATTTAAAGGGAGAGAAATTTATTATTTAAATCTAAATGGAGTTATGCTAGGGGCAAATTAGGAGCCCTATACTGTTTTCTCAGGCACGATCAACCTCTATGTTTAGAGGAAATGTCTCCACAATCTTTCGAATATTAGAAATCAGATAATACACTTAATCTTTAAGTTGGTGTACTCAATGTCTGAAATGCAGGCAATTCCTATTTTCAAGCTATGAACTAGCTAAAAACAAAATCTCTATTTGAACGTTTGGTGTAAGAAAACCATCTTCAATTATTTGGCTTCTGTACTGTGAGAAAAGCTGTTCTCTGTATATTGACTGACGCTTCATCGTCTTAAACGATATATTTATTTTATTCTAGGAAGGGCCTTTCGTTTTCATATTCATTCTTTCTCTGATGAGTAAGAATAGAACCTTCCACTTCTTATACTATCAATTATTATCATCATAATGCATATACAAAAGACGAAAAAAGTGTTTGAGGATAACAAAATATATTAAAAAATTTATTTGTGGCCTTTTGTTTTCTTCAAAAAACAATAATAACAAATAAATAAATGAAACTGTTTTAAAAATGAACTCAATCACGTCTTTAGTTTCAAAGCATGTCAAGTCTCTTCATATATATTATATATAGAACAATGAAACAATAGTTTTAAATGTATCAAGCTAAGATAAGTAAATAGTACGCAGTTAAACTATTGATGCTCAAGAATTGCTTCATGCACTTCAGTCCGAGAAAGAAGATAGGTCGGAATGGGGTGTTAGTGTATTTGATTCTAAAACAATACTTGGTCATAGAAATGGGATTTTTCTTTAGTAATGGCTCTATCAAGTAAATATGGAGGCTCACTGGTTAGCTCGATCGGCTTCCCTAGTTTTATGCTAGTTTGGGATTGTCTGAAATTTTTAAATATACCACTAAATACATGATAAAAGAAGAAACGAAGAAGAAAAAGGTATACGTGGCCGTATATAAGAGGCTCACGTGGCAGTAGTTGAATGGTTGGGTGGGAATTATATAAGTTTAGGTTGGTGGTAGTAGTTTGATAAGACAGAAATAGCTGTCATTCTATCTATTTATCTTATTGTTAAATTAAATGTTAACGAAATGAATGGTTTAATATGATGATAAGGCATGAACTGGACGAGTGCAAGAAGTAAACCCCAACCCAAATCGTGCAAGCCGGCTTAACTTTCAATACCTCGAATAAAATCTGATTTCTGTATGGTTTTTAATCCTGCTTTTCTAGATTTTATTCTCCTTTAAATTCCATTTTAGGGTTTTTAAAGGTCGTGCAATGGCCGGTGCAATTTATTTAGTAAATTAATGTTAATACAACTAAGAACTAAGACTCCTCTGTAGTCTGTACAGTATTAGAGACAAACTTTTTGAGGAAAAAAAAAATGGAGTTCATGAAAAAGCTGTCGTTATCTGACGCGTGGAAAAGAAACGAAAGAATCGGCGGCATCTAAGGGCGAAGAAGGTATGTGTTTATGTCCTAGTTCAGGTAATCTCAGTTGATTTACTGTGTAAGAAGACTTTCTGGTTTCTGAGGTTTTTGTTCGTGATCAAAGATGTATAGTACTATATTATATATCAAGATTATTTAAAATGTTGTTTACTGAACTCGAAGAAGCTAATTAATATGTTATATCGGCTTAATATATATAGGTAAGTGCATTGTTAACGAGGGTGTAATTTTAGGTTATTACGTTACTATCAAGATTACTCAATTAAGGTGCTGTGAGCTACTGTTAAATCACTACAAAACCAAACAAACAAGTAGTAGAAAAGTGAGAAACACAGATTAGGTTAAGGACCGTAACTAAGGAGACAAGGAACGAAAATGTCGGCCTTTGTTTAACAATTTAATGTCAGACTCATCTCCACGTTCATGCCGTCCCAGTCTTCTGGCCTTTTATTTATTTATAAGAATAAGAATTCTCTCTACCTTTTTTTTATTCAATAACTGTAAGGCTCTTTACACGTTTTCACATTTTCAATACAAAAAAACCCATGCTCTCACTCTGCTTCTCTCCATAATTATCAAAATGTAATTGTCATTAAGAGTCTAATTAATCACACAATTAGTCTCCTCTCAATGATTGTTCTTAGACCCTCTTTTGCACTTTTAATTTCAAAAATTATCTATCTTTCTACATTTAAATATATATATACTATCTTTCTACATTTAAATATAATATATATATATATATATATATATAAATATTTGTTTAAATACACTATATATAAATTATTTGTTTAATAGCACTGAGCATTTTTAATCTATCATCTTAGTTGTACTCTGCCTGTTCTTGGCCCCACATTAGACTCCTGAGTTCAGTTACAGAGAATCAGGACTTACATCACAGTCTTGATTAATTTTTAATGCTAATATACTAATCAAGTCAATACTTACTAACATTCTTTGTTTGGACTGGGTATAAATATGTTCTTCTATTTTGGTTTCTTATCAAGCTTCAAATAGCAGCAACTATCACTAGAGAACGCAGGAGCTTCTCTTTCTCCACAGGCCTACTAACTGATTAGAAAATGAATATGGAGTCTTTGGCAGCTTTTCCTGATGGAGAATGGGACTTTAGCAGAATGTTCTCAACAGAAGATCAGCTTGATTTCACTTCAGAATTGCACTTTACTAACCCATCAGGATTTCCCTTATCAAATCCTGAAGCTAATGAGAGTCTGTTTTATTCTTGGAATACTCTCAATCCTTATTTGCATTTTATTTCTCAGGAAAATAGTAGCAGCAGTAACTCTAGCAGTACTAGTATTTTGCCTTCTCCCAACCATCAAAATCACTTGTTTAACAATTTTCCAGCAACAAACGATATCTCTACGTCCATGGATTTTTGTATCATGGATGAGAGGAATCCAGGCTCATTTCTCGCTATGTATCCTGAAGTTGCAATGGCAGAAATGGGAAATTTAGATGAGAATCAGCCACCAGGAGCTGATGCTGTTTCTGCAAAGGAATCGCAGCTGAAAAGAAAATTTGATGTCTCAGAATTAGAAGTTAATCCATCAGATAGCGCAAAGAAAAAAACCCGGGTTACGAAAGATGTAAATACATAATTCAATGTTTTGAAAATCTAAGATAGGACAATAGATGGTACTTTATCTAAACAATAACTTTCTTATCATAATTTCTGAATGCAGGTTCAGAAGAGTAACAGAAATGTAAAATCGAACAAAAACCGAAAATTGATCACTCCGAATTGCAATCCTGAAGAAGAGATTAATGCTGGACCAGATGTACAGGCCTCTAGCAGTTGCAGTTCAGACGGAGAGAATGCCTCTCAGGATTCTAATGATTGCAAAACTCTCAATTCCAATGGCAAAACAAGAGCAAGTCGTGGATCTGCTACCGATCCCCAGAGCCTTTATGCACGGGTAAGGGACTAATGCCACTACATTGAAGCTTTTCTTTTTATTTTTTTCAATGTCAATTCAGTTTATATTGATTTCAGAATTTAATTAAATCCTACAGAAAAGAAGGGAGAGGATAAATGAGCGATTGAGAATTTTACAGACTCTTGTTCCTAATGGAACAAAAGTTGATATTAGTACAATGCTAGAGGAGGCAGTACATTACGTAAAGTTTTTGCAGCTCCAGATCAAGGTAATTAATTCAGAGCAACTGTGGTTTTTTTTAATACTTTCTCAGCAAAAAAAAAAAAAAAAAAAAAAAAAAAAAAAAAAAAAAAAAAAAGTTCATGACGCATAACTTGGTCTTTTATTTAATACCTTCTACAGCAAAAAAAAAAAAAAAAAAAAAAAATAAAAAAAAAAAAAAAAAAAAAAAAATGTACTTGTATTCTTGATCATAACACATTTGCTTATTTGTTCCTCTCTTCTCCTTTGGGTTCATAGCTTTTGAGCTCCAGAGATCACCTGTTGTGATGTAATGCTACGATTGCTTAATAAAATGTGGCGCCATGGGACATTAGACCTTGAGAGCATGAAGATTCTCAGTGCTTGCTATAATTAATGTGAATAGGAGCTGCATAACTTTTGAATTAATTGTTTCTGACTATTCTTCATTGTCTCTTTCACTCTAATCACTATACATTAATCACCACGTGTACAACTCGTATTAATCCTCTACATGATTAATATAATATTATATATTGACATGCAGATTCATGCCTTGGGGCAAAGATCATTTTTCAGTATATCTTCAATTCATTTTTTCAGATAGTGTACTTATTTCATCATCTTTTTCTGATCAATCGTAAGGACAATAATAAAAAAGCCCAAATATTGCATATTAATGTTTCTATCAATATAGAGAGTATTCTTCTTATATATATATATTGCCATAGAACATAATGAAATGTATGCGTGGAACTTTGAATTTATTATATAACTTGTATATCAATGACAATTCTTAACTTGATCAATATATTATAACCGTAGTCATGATATTTATTATTAATGTTTTTTATATTTGCTCTTCATTCACTATATTCTATTATTCGTATAAACTATTACTATGAACTAGCTGTGCCCACAAGTAAGGGATAGACATCGGAAGTACGACTTTGGATATATCAAAAAAAAAAAAAAAAAAAAAAAAAAAAAAAAAAAAAAAAAAAAAAATCTTATTCTTGGTATAACACATTTGCTTATTTGTCTTCTTCTTCCTTTTGGTTCATAGCTTTTGAGCTCAGATGACCTGTGGATGTATGCTCCGATTGCTTACAATGGCATGGACATTGGCCTTAACCAGAAGATCTCCATGCTGCTATAATTAATGTTGAAGGAAGCTGCCATAACTTTGAATTAATGTTTCTGATATTCTTATTGTCCTTTCACTTATCATACATAAATGTATATATATACATATATATATATATATGAAGCAATTATGCCTTGGGCAAAGATCTTTTCTATTCTTATTATATTCAGATAGTGTATTATTCATCATCTTTTTCTTGATCAATGTAAGCAATAATAAAAAAGCCCCAAATATTGCATTATATGTTTCTTTCACATTCATCTGATATTCCTTTCTAATGAGATTTTTCCCATAAAATAAAATGTTGCCAGGAATTTTAATTTTATTTTCATGAAATTCTAATTGATCAATAATATATACGTGTCATGATATTTTATTAATGTTTTTTTTATTGCTTTCATCAATATTCTATTATTCGAAAATATTTAATATGAACATTGGCCACAAAAGGAGACATGGGATACGACTTTGATAATTATGAAAATTAACATACAATAAAACCATGTTGCGACTTATCAAAAAAGTGTTGAAAAAATCTACAGGTTGTGGCTCAGTTGGTAATTTAGGTTGAACATATGGAAAGAGCTCTCAGATTTAATTCCCACTAAATATACCTGTAGAAAAGGGCAAATAGACTTAATTGTGACTATGTCCCCAGATGGATTAGGTAGTCCCGCACCTGCAGGGAGAGACGAAGAGCCTTAACTTCTAAATTGGATTAGGCAGTTCGGCACCTATAAAGAAAGGCAAAGAGCCTAACTGTGACTAAGCCTCCAGTTGGATTAGGCGGTCTTGGTAATTGAGTCTGGTATTTTAAAAAAAAAGTGTTAGAAAAAGTTAAATACAAATATATATTTCATAATTAATGCATGAAAGCTAATATAGTAAAAAAAAAAGCAATTATGTATTTGATTTTTCATCCTTATTATAGATCTTTGTGATTTTCTATTTATATTTCGACAGAAAACTTCAGTAGCAAAATTCCATCCTCCAAAAATTAGGAATAATTAATAACTATTCTAATATTTTTTTAAAGAAACAAATAAATAAATTACAAAAATACAAAGAGAAAAATATATTTAAAGAAATATTTATTCTAAGAAAAGCAAAGAATGTATTATCATAATTGCTCGTATGCTTAGAAATTAGAAGCATTCAGTTACTGAAAGTGAGATTTCGGTGTTTGGTTGGTGTAAAAGTGTTACATTTTAGAAAAATCTAATTTCTAAATGAATAAAACATATTCCTATTTGAAAGAGTGAGAAAATTTAATTTCTATAAGAAATAAGATGATTTAAAAAAAATAAAATTATATTAATATTCTTAATTACCTTTTTTTTTTTAAAAAAATTGCCCCTAGGATAATTTAATATTTCTAAATTACTTTATTAGCAAAAAAAGAGTAAAAGTTACAGATCCAGAAGAGCAAGCCCAGTTACAAATCCGTAATGCCACGTTGTTTATAAGGGCCTGTTCTGTCAACTGAAAATAAAAAATTCTAACCCACGAATTCCAGCCCATTCAGTTTTGTGTGGACTACTGCCAGCGCTACTAGAGTAATTTCAACAATCAGACTTCGTCGTGTGGCTCCATAATCGAACCACTGAGAATAGAGGGGCGCCCTCTCTGTGCCGTTTCGAGCCATGGCTTCGTCAGAGCAGCCCCTCAAGAAGCGAAAGCTTTACGAGACTCGACCGGAAACACCGCCACCAGAGAAACCGCCGGAAACCTCAGCGCATAGCACTCTAGCTCCACCACCAACACCGCCACCACTGTCCCAAGAGGAAATTCTCGCTAGACGGAGAAACAGAGATGAGATTAAAAATGTGTACGATATTTACAAGCGCCTCAAGTTCTGCGTTGCTCAGAAAGAGGGGCGCCACATGCCAGACCTCGAACAATCTTATCTTTCTCTCGTTACTGCTTCGAGAGGTAGGTCATTTCGTTTTAGTTTTTATGTTTTAGAAAATTTTCCCTGTTTTCCGTTTAAACATTGGGAAATTTCTGTGTTCTAGTATGTTTATTATAATTGGTTGAATTGTGTTCGAGTTTGTAATTTCATCTGCTATTGGCACAAGTTAATGCTCATTTTCATTGCTGAAATCCTACCTAAGGAACTAGTAGATAAAAATTTTGGATCCATATTGATATTGAAATTGCTGAAAAAATTTGAATTTTGTAAACTAGGAAAGTGAAAATGAATCTATTTAAATATGATAAGTTGATTGCTTTTAAAGACAAAATTGAAAATGCATTTAGGAACAGAAGCTGGAGCCTGTTTCTTGGTGCATGGTTAGATGCAATAATACATGTTGGTTAGCTGGAATACTAGGAGAGCATCACTAAACTTTGTGAACTAAACACTAACCAGTCATGTTGGCAGACAAGACAACGGACAACCATTGCACTGCAAAGGTGTGCTGGCCTCAAAGCCTCGACATGACAAAATGACAATATTCTTGTCCATAATGTAAAATAATTCCTTATTTGTCATTGAGAAACAGGCGATCTGACATTTCAACTGAGAATTCTTCTTTTTATGTTATTTTTTAAATTGATTGGAGGGACAATGATTTGATCTCTTTACTGCCTATATTGAGATGTGAACGACCTATAAAATGCTTAGGCAACCAAGTCATTCACTTAGGACTTAAGAAACCTTACCTATTGGTATGGCCTCTTATACTTTGAAAATTTAAGATTTGGGCCTAATAAGTAGATGATTGAGTAGTTGCACATGTGGAGTAGTGAAATTCGTTTTTGTTTGCCTTGTACAATGAAAATATGAATTCCTTGTCTGATATGTTGGCTTGTTGATGCATGAGTTCAATCCTCTTGAAATTTTTTTTGTGTGCTTGTGGAGTCGTGTGTGCTATGTTTGCATTAGTTGACATAAATGAGTTTCATGATGACTAGTTTATATTAATTACATATTCCACAAAGTCTATTCTGTCTTTCAGCGTTTGCTTTTTGCCAACTATGTATTTTTGTGTATCAATTTACCAAACTTTTTTCTGGATAAGAATGTTGGGCCTGTTGCAAATAAATGAAATGTCTAGTATAGAGCACTTTATGAATAACATTGTTTTCTGCTTAAGAGTTAAGACCATGTGTGCAACCTTTGCTTCACTAGAGCTTCACCTGAATTGATAGAATTGACTCCCGTAACAAGAGGTATTGAAATCTTCATATCTTGAGATCCCCTGATGTTCATTCACATACCAAAAGGAAAGTGAAAAAGGGGGAAAACAGGAGGAAGAAATTTAACGACATACATGCTGCTAGTGTTGCAGGTTGTACTAGCGCACAACGTATTGTAGCTGATCTCATTCCTCGATATGCATCGTACTGTCCAACTGCTCTTGAAGCTGGTGCTAAAGTTGTTATCAATATGCATAACTGGAGCATGGCAATAGTCAATAGAGGAGAGGATTTTGATGGTATGGCAATGGAAACTGCTAAAGCCTGTATTTTTGGTTTAGCTGATATCTGCCACACTGCTTCTTCGGAGTCTCGAACATCATCTGTAATCCGAGGCATCTGCTCTGCCGTGTTTCAGAATGTGCTCTCCTTTTTCATCTCCTCCTTTCAGGGAAAGGACATCTTTCAGATTGTTGATAAGGAAATATTGGAGATGCAGAGTTCTCGTGAGGTCTTCTCTGAGCTAAAGCAAAAGTTTTCTGGGGAAGATAGATCTTCAATGGTTAAGTTATCCAAGTTTCACGCATTAACTATGCTTTGGATATTCTTTTCTTGTCCGAAAAATATGCTTGCCGCATGTTTTGAACTCTTCAAATCTGCTTCTCCTGAAGGCATACATGAAGCACAGTGCTTTCTTAATTGGGTGACCAGCAGGCTTGATGATGATGATGATGTTGTACCTCATCCATTAAATGAAGCATGTGATAGATCAGCATCATGCAAAAGCAGTAATGAAACAAGTGTGAGAGGCAGTGAAGGTAATGGTGAGGAACTACTATCTGATGGCAACCATGTTTCAGCTGATTCCCATTCTGTCCCACGGAACTGCTTGTTGCACATGGTAATTTTTTACATTTCTCCGTACCTTAAACAGTTCTTTTATGACTCTATTGTTCTTATGATGTATGCTAGGTTAATTAGGTACTTATTTATGCATATGATTAAAGATTGAAAAACCGTTTTTCTGATGTTTTTAGTACTGCTAATTTAATCCAGGCTTATGATAGATTTAAGATCTAACGATTTTGGGCTTATGACAAGACACGTGGAAGTTGTTGTACCTGATGCCTACTCTAGATGTAATATTACTCTTTTTTCATCGTTTATAAAAGTGGTAATTGGTTGAAAATAAACTTGCAGCTTTAGAAACTAGGAAATATTATTGCATAATTCATATTAGTCGAAGTGAGGTATGCCTGACAAGCAATACTGACTCAGAAATTATTGGTCTGACTTTTCATACTTTTTGTTCATAAAAGATTGCCGGTCAATTTGGTGGGCTTTTTTTATGAATATCTACTTGTATAATATGATGCAAGTGTGACCCTTATTGAGTGCATACTGTTCTTTCTTGATTTATTTAACTGGTAAGAGCACTGAATAAACTTCCCACCTAGTTGATGTTGGTAACTAATGGATTCATTTAGTTAATTACATATTTTCTTGGTTTATCTAAAGTATGCAGGCATATATGTTAATTTTATTGCTCCTAATTATATTTTCTCATACTGAGATTTCTTTACGCAGGTTCTTGGTAACAATGCATCGTTGAGAAGTTGGATGTTTTTAAAATATAAAAATCTATGTAACATGCAATCTTCCGTAGATGCATCAGAAATTAGATCTTCTCTAGAAGGGATCTTTGACTCATATACAGAACTTAGTAAACTAGAAGGCAGCCAAATGGACAGCGATGAGGATGATTCTGATACCTCAAAACTTGTCAGCTGGCAACACATGGTATCTAAGATCTCTAATCAACATGAAATCTTGGCTGAACTACCTGGTAAAGATGGTAAGTTAAAATCTCAGGATAGATCCAGCAATTACGGTGTTGCTGGTGAATTTTCAGGTCAATGTCCAAATGCATGCTGCTCAATGTTTCTCCTTGAAACTGATCTATACTTAAATGCAGGCACTTCTCATGATAATGGAGGGTCAAGGTCCATGGATTTTGAGATGAGTGATCCTGCAGATTCTTCACATGTCAGGTCTTCCCTGCGCAGAGACTTATTCAACCAACAGATGCTTTCACCTGTATCAAGAACCGCATTAGACTCCAGGAGCAATTCATTTGAAGGTAGAAACCACAATGTTCATGTTGACAAGAATTCATTTCCAAACATGGATTTCAGCTCATCTGCCTTAAGATCTGCTAGCGGAACCATAAATAATGCTTTTGCTTCTCCTAAACATCATTTGGGGGCAACACATGCTTCAATGCCTCAAAGTGTCTGGTTCTGTGATGGGGACCCTGCTGCAGTGGATATTTTCTCTGCTTCTAGACAGCTCTGGTTGGGTTCTTTAGGCCCTGATACATCTGAAGCCCATCTGAGGTTTCAACTTGAGAGGTTTGGTCCTATAGAACAGTTTTTCATGTTTCCAATGAAAGGATTTGCCATGGTGGAGTACAGGAGCATGATTGATTCCATAAGGGCCCGGGAATATATGCGTTGCCATTTTCCTTGGCAGATAAAGTTCATGGATATAGGATTGGGAACTAGGGGTGCCATGAATGGTGTTGCAATTGGTTCTAGTTGTCACGTTTATGTTGGAAATATATCTAGCCAGTGGGCTAGGGATGAGATTCTGCATGAATCAAGGAAAGTAATTTACAAGGGCCCTTACATGGTCACTGACCTTAGCAATGAAGGAGCATTATTAATGGAGTTTGAAACTCCTGAAGAAGCTACTGCTGTCATGGCACATCTCCGGCAGCATCGGAAGGAAAAAAGTAATCATCTGCCTCTTTTTAATGCCGGATCATCTAATGTTGCTTTGCCTCAATTTGATGGTGGAAGATCAATGACAGCCCCTATCCCTGCTGACATCAGAACCAATAATTCTGGAAGCATGTGCAAGATCGAATCTCCTCGTGCTCAAACTACAATTGAAAGCCCTGCTGACAGTTGTAGGACAAGGATGTCTCACTTGTCTTCTTTACTTGCATCATTACGTACGAAGTATAACATTAACCAAAACCCAAATTATTTTGACAATAATAAATCTGGAAGCAGCAATGTGGCTTCAGCAAGTGATGCAGACCGACTGCCATCTAGCACGCTTTGGATTTACATTCCAAATGTTAGCTCCCCTCTCATCACAGATGATGAACTAATGGCTGTTTGCAATCTTGCTATTGCTAATGTTGGATCTATAATTAGGTTGATGAGAGTAAACATGCAGATGGGATCTGGTTGGATTATTGATTGCAGCAACGTTGATGCCGCAAGCACTGTTTTGAAAAATCTTCGAAATTGTCCTGGAATGTTCTTGCAGATTGAATTCAGGTTTGGATTCTCTATTCTATTAACTCTAACAAAAGTTCTACAAACTATTTTAGCAAAATAGAATTTAGATTTTCATTTCTTAGTGGATGTTTTTACTTATCTACCGTTTCAATATCTGAGCTTGAGAAATTACTTTCATGATAATCCTCCATTGAACACAAGTGTGTATGAAGTGCTGATTCGCTGAATTGTTTTTGTGCAAGTTCTCTATCTGGGATTGGCTTTCAGTTTTCTTTCTATACTGATCTCTCTCTCTCTCTCTCTCTCTCACACACACACACACACACACATTAATTCCTCCTGAAATTGATGTTTTGCATTTTCATATAGATCTGAATTTTTAATTGGTAGAAGTTTGCTGTTTCTTATAAAGAAACTTAAAGTTTAGATATTTTCCCCCCTGGGTTCACTTACTCTCTTGACAAGAGAAAGATGGTTCGAGCATTAACTCAAGGCCATGTGTAGTTTCCTTTGGAAATAGAAACAGAATGCAGGTCCTAGACTAGGATCCAAATTTCTTCTGGTACAAAAAAATATCTTTTTTTTTTGGAGTAATAATTTTATTTTTAATAACCTGAATTTATATTTAGTAAAATTTCTATTTTAATTCAATCCCTAAGTTATATTTGATTTTCTGAAAAGTGAACTTGAGGTAGGAATAAGTGAGATCGATTTCCATTTCCAAAAGCAAAACAAAATTACCTCAATTTTTTTATCTCTTGTTTTAAATCATCCAAATAATCTCTCTCTCTTCCCCCACCTTGGTTTAGGCTTGAAATTCAACTTTTGATTGTGGTTTATCCAGCCAAACTCTCTTCTCTTCTCTCTCTCTCTCTCTCTTCTCCCCCCCCCCCCTTAATCACTCTTGTGTTAATATAAACTCACTCAACTATACTCTACTCTACTATTCCCCCCTTGGTGAGCATTGAAAATACTACTCAACTTTTGACAGTCTGTGTGTTTATTGCCATAGCACTGCAACTCTCTTCCTCTGTCTCATCTCTCTCCTCTTACTTACTTCTCCCCGCCACCACATAGCTTTATTGGTCCTGTGCAGTTTCTCACTGCGCATGTACTGATATGTGCTCTGAATACAATCTCCTTGAATACTTGACATGTCGATGCTCCACATCTTCAGTATATTTCACTCATTGAAGTGCACATTGAGTAGTTCGCATGTGCACAACAGTTGTCATACACTCGAGTTTACCTTCCTAACATTTGTTATTCAGTAGTTACTAATTTTTGCAGATTAACGTCTAGACAAAAAATTATTCGTTTTGTTCAATAAACGCACCGGGGACAAGAACACCACTATGTACTGTGCCTTATTCTCAATATAAAGGTTACTGAACTGTGAACGCCCCTATCTCGGAGTTGCATCATCACTCCCAGTGTTAAATACAATAGAGACGAAATCACTGGGACTGCCCCCCCCCCCCCCCAAGTTTATTGTCCTTGTGCATCTTCGTCATGTATGTATGTGCTTGATACAATCTCTTGAATATTGAAGTCATGTCCACTAGAGTATTTCATCATTGAAGTGCATGATAGTTCGATGTGCACAAAGTTGTCATCGGTTCTTTCCTAACATTGTTTCAGAGTTAATTTTTGCAGATTAACCTGACAAAAAATTATTTGTTTTGTCAGTCAACCGGGAAAGAACTATACTGTGCCATTCTCAATAAAGTCTGATGGAAGCCCTATGGAGCTTGTATCACCCAGAATGAAATCAGAGAATCATGGGACTGCAGTACAAGCCTCACGTTCATTTAGTGGGGTTGACCCTTCACAAGGAGGTAAATTTTCATTTTTCCTTTTGGTCTCTCTTTTTTTCCTAGTTTACTAAAACTCTTTATTTGTAGGTGGTCGTGCTGTTTCTAGTGCGACTGAGCAAATGTGGATGTACAAGAAAAATGAGATTGAGGTACATCCTGCACCTGGGATCATTCCAAGCATGCCAATAGGAACTCAGGGACGACCTATCCCCCCACCACAGCAGTTCCAGCCATCTCAATTTGTCAGACCTGTTTACCATCCTCCAAACAGTCCATGGGATCCACGAGGTTTAAATCATCATGTTCCTTTGAACCCAATTCCGCCGGTGATAATGCCTAATAGCTTTCAGGGCGCTACAGTTGCTCCTCCTTTTATACCTGCTTCTGTCACTCCATTGGCACAGCTACAACGACCCCCAATGCAGCATTTTGACCAAATGTTCTCCTTACCTGTTGCTCCACCGCCTTTGTCATCTATACCGCCTCAGCCTGACATACCCCCTCCACCTCCACTGCCCCCTCCACCTGTTGTATCGCTGTCTTTAGTGCCTCAGCCGGAAATACCCCCACCATTGCCACCATCCCCCCCTCCTGCTCCTCCTCCACCTAGTTCACCTCCACCGCCTCCACCTATTTCAGAATCAATTGATGTGGAAAGCTCTGGAAGATCCAAGCAACATCAGTGGCAGGGCACACTATGTAAAAGCGGGGTTCATTATTGCTCTATTTATGCATATAGAGTTGATTCTGATATTTGCAAATATTCAAATCCACTTTCTGAACCAGTGGAGTAAGAGCTTTTATTCCCTATTATTTTCCTTCTTGGTGACTCACTTTTATTGAAAATGGAAAAATTACAGTCTTGACTTTTACTGGTGCAGATGGCCCTCCAGACTAGATATGACCAAACGCACAGATTTTCGGCATGTGAAATCAACATTTATGAGTACTCCACCACATAAAGTGAGTTGATAAATATAACCCTCGTTCTCTCTCTCTCTCACGCACACACTCACACACACACATCTTGCGGGCATGCACCACATATGATTTTTAGGGGTTTCAATTCTTGATGCAGAGAGAGGTGTGCCAGTTGATCCCCTCTTCAATGAGTGACCAAAAAGGCGTAAGTTACTCTTTTTTTTTTTTTATGCTTTATATTCATTAATTTGTTATCTATTTTTCCTAGTAATGGTTCATTTAGTCCTGCACGTCAGAGCCCCAGGCTCCTCCCAAGCACGCTCCTCCCACTGCTTGGGAGCTTACGGTGATTTTTCCTTTGGTATTGTGACTAATGATAGTCTTCTTTAAACTTTATGGCTGACTTTAGAAATTTTTGTCCTTGTGAATAACCCAAAGAACGATCAAATGTGTTGCCAAGTAAAAATTTTCAATAACATTTTGAGAATTTGTTTCCTCTTAAATGTACAGGCTGTGATCTTAATCGCTGGCATTGTTGTTGAATCGAGAATCAAAATTTTTATTTTCAGAATTGAGAATCGAATCGAATCGAATCATAAGATTCAATATAACTTTTCAAAATCGATTAAAAATAAATACATATACATTTATGGATATATTTCCATTAATTTTATCAAAAGATACTAAAATTTTAATCGCAAATGATGTATTTATACAAGTTTCAATTTCAAATCATGTATTGAACACAAAGTGAAAGAGAACCTTATGACTTGTGCAGCTGCCAAGTTCAAAATATCACACTATTAAGTTAAAATTTCGAAACAAAAAAACAAAAAAACTATCAAGCCATTAAATTTCATATCCAAATCTATGTTCTTTCATTATTATTTCCAAACATCATTTTCATCATCTAATATAACTATATTTTCTAGCTCTTCTTTCTCTACATTGAATTTTCCACTTGTTCTGTGGGTGAGACAATTGTTTGACAAGAGAATCGACTTGAATTGTAAAAATTTGAATTGCATGAATCTTACCATTCATGCTCAATTCTGATTCAGCCATAAGATTCAAATCATGTAGCATGAAAAATCATACGATTCAAATTGTGAATGGTAAGATTCTGATAACACTTCCGCTGCATCTTTAGCTTTTACTTCTGTTGGTTAAAGAACATCAGTGGTGAGGGAAAATTCTTACCCCGGGTTGTGATGTTAAACCTACTCATCTCATAAGCAAAATGAGAAGTCGTAACCTAGATGGTGGGGTGATCATATCTCCATATACATGCATCCTACTATCAAATTTAGATAATATCTCTTTCCCCAATAAGATAACTGTGAATGTACATCCAGTTGCACTAAACTTTTCAGTCTGCAGTTTCAGGATTTCATATCATACTTGAAGCAAAGGGAATGTGCTGGAGTTATTAAAATCCCAGCTGTGAAATTCATATGGGCAAGGCTTCTCTTCATACTTCCTTACTCGCATGAAATATGTTCAATGCTCTCAATTAAGCCAGATTCATCCAACTGCCTGATAGCTTTGGTTTTGCCCAAAGAAACGAATTTTGAATGGGTTTGATCATATATGGTTGAAAGAAGCCTTGGAGTCTCCGTTCTACTGTATAAGTGTTCTTTGAAGTCTTTAGATTGGGAAATATGATCATTGTAAAGGCATGCCATCTATATGATAACAGTTGTGATGATGAGAAGAAACCAAACTGTTTCCAGTTACCAACTGCAGAATGGTTGCAAGACAAAAATCAATTTGATAGAATGCTGTTACCGAATTCTGCTACCTATCCAGTACGGTGGTTGGCACAAACAATGAAGTACTTCTATATCGCAGCATATTTTCAGAATAGGCAACAATATGAAATCCTGCTGCAATCTTTAGGGATTATAGGCAGGTTCAATTTTGTTTTGTGGTTGTTATTGTTAACTTGTGACTGTTTGCTGGAGTGTGGAACACGGTAAAAGTCATGAAGCTGACATGACAAGTTAGTGTAATAATCTAATTGAAGGTTGAAAGTTGAAACATGATCAAATACAGATCAGCATTTTGTACTCTATGGTGTATATATTTGTGTTAGTAATTTCATTTACTCTGTATATATTTGTGACTGTATGTATGGTTCAGTTTTCTTCTTCGTTTGAATGTGGACAAAGAAAACGTTTTTTGGTTCATGAACTATCACAGGGATGAGATAGTTATCGGACTTAAATTTGATTTTATGTAGATATTATTCTCTTTATTCGCTTTTAACGGTTTTTACTTAATTGTCTAGAATATAATAAGACCACGCATGCAAATTATATTTATAGCTTTTTCAAATTTTCTTTCAGGTAATTCCCCCATTTCAATGTAAAATATAAAATTACAAAATTTATATCATACTTTATTTATAAAAAAAGGTGATATTTCCTCTGCTCCATATTTTATTTTCCTTTTATGAGAGGATAATCTTTACATTTTATTTCTTGCTCCTGCCAAAAAAAAAAAAAGTATTATTGTTGTCATTAAAGTCAATTTAATAACTTTAATTCTTTGATTTTTGTCCTAAAAATTTATATTCTGATTAATTTTAAGAATAATTTAGCAAGAATTATTTAATTTTGATGAAATAATATAGATTAACTAATATTAACTGTAAGGATATATAAGAAAAATTAAGGAAAGATTATGATTTAATAAAACTAACCATATCTTCTTAATTTGTGTCGAAGTACCTCTCTTTACGTGGAGGAGGGAGCAGTGCAAAAAAAGCCCGTAACTCAGGAATCAAGCCTAGAAGGGGAGGATTCAGAGAGGCGTTTCTTGGCTTGTGTCAACTGCTTCAGCTTGGGAGCCAAACCTTCATATTTTACCCGCTATTGCTCTCTTCCTCGCTGTGTGTCCGTCTCATCTCTCATTTCTTTATTGCGAACTCAGAAAACATATTAACATGTCGCGCCGTAACTCTCACAATGAAAACAAGTCTCAGCATGACTGGAACAACAGCAACAACAGAAATTTCTCAAAAAACAACAAGAAATTTGTCCCTAAAAATCAAAATCAAAACCCTAATCCTAATCCTACGCTCTCAAATTCTCTTAGAGAATCGGTCTCAAAGCAATCCGAGGTCGTTGCTCCAACATCGACCGGCAATACTGGCGCAGCGTCATCCAGTAGGGTCCGGATGGGGGATAATGGAAAATGGGTGTCGAGCAGAGCAGTAGCTGGACCTCAGGACACTGGCAATTTCGTGAACTACTTGCCGCAAGATGAGGCGGTGGCAGCTGGACTTGGTGCCGAGGAAGGAGGATTGGATCCAGTGGAGTCGCAGCGAGTTGTGGACCTTTTGAACAGGGAGTTGTCTCGGTTGCTCAAGTTGAGCCCTAGAGAGTTCTGGAGAGAAGGTAGTTCATTTACTTGGTGTAATCATATTGTTGCTACTGGTTTTGGAGTTTTAGATGATATTAACAAGGTTTGATTGATAGTTTGATTGTAATGAAATGCATAAGAAAGTAAAACTAGATTGGAGATTATTGGTTTTGGGGATTCAAACCTAGCATTTTGTTGCCAACAGTTCAAGCAACATGAAATTTACTGCACGCACTAGTTTAGAAATGTGATTGTCTGTATTGTTGCTTTTACCATTAGTTTTAATGCACGAAAGTCATCACTACTGCCTTGTTTTTGTTGTTTTTCACTTCTTATTCTTATTACTATTACAGTTATCTCTCTGGTTTAATTAGAGCGTTTTGATGCCGACTTCTATTTTTTTACCTTTTGACACATTTCTCAGTGGCTAGTGACACTTCCTTGCATGAGTTTCTGGACAGTTTCCTAAAATTTAGGACTAGATGGTATGATTTCCCACATCGTGGAGCTAAGGGCATGATTGCAGGCATCATAGTCGGAGAGCACGAGTTATGTCGCCGTGTTTTCATGGTATTGTATCGCATGTAGGTTCCCATGCTCTATATAAAGCTTCTATGTCTCTTCATTCATTTTTATTATTTTATATAACTTGATTTTTGCCAATATATTGTTGCAGATCTTCCAACAGGGACCCAGGTGCACGTGCTGCTGATACCCTTACTTCAAGAGATCATGCAGGTGGACTGTCTCACTCCATCACTATAATGTGTGTCCATTTTCTTAATGAATGAAATGAAGGAATCTACCCCAGTTTGCTATTTACAAAATATTCACAAAAAGAAGAGAAAAACATTCGAAAAGATATACACAAAGTTTTTGCAAACAAAAAGCATAAAATTGGAAGCATAGGCCTGCTAGGATTCAACTGGCTTTTGAATTTTTGTTCTGCTAGTTGCTTCTCTGGTTGTATCTTTCCTTGTGCATTTTGTTCACTATTTTCTTCATGTAGTTCTTTTGCAGGAAAAAAGGTTGCTCGACTTGCCTAAATTGTTAGATATATGTGCTATATATGGTCATGAGAATGAAGAATTGACAAAATTGCTGGTATGCATGTCACAATTTGTCTCTATCATCACTTGGATATTCATTAGATGTTTTATTCAGTTCGGTGTACTATTACCAATTCTTAAAGCATGCTATAACATTTAGCCTATAACTGATTTTGTTATGTCTTAAATTGAATTTTAATGCTCTATAACTGTCACACATGAATACACTTAATTTTTCTCCAGGTTGAGAATGCTTTGCTAGCGCAGCCCGGGATCCATGGTAATTTAACTGCTGTAATGTCTCATTTTCTGGGCATCATTCACACAATGTATCAGCGTTGCATCTCATCTTTGGAGGTGATTTGTTGATCTATATAAAGATATCCTTTTCTTCCTTATGAATCACGTGCCGAATTGATATAGCTGTATGTTGAATTTTCACACAGTGTATCAGCATTGAATCTCATGTCTTGTTAAAGGAATATTGCCGCAATTTATTTAACTATGAAATTCTCTAGACAGATTTGAACATGTTGTGTCTTAATAATGTTTAACATTCATTAATTAAATTGTTTTCTACTTTTCTTGGGGCCTTCAATTGCTTTTGGCTTCTGTATGAACTGACGTGGTATATATATTAATCTGTTACTTTTGCTTGTTTATTTGGAACTGGTCTTTCATTTGTAGTATCACCCATGCAATAATCGGTACATCCTGTTTACTTACTGAATTCTCCCTTTTAATTCTGTTTTGTATTTCTAGTAGCCTCTTATTTCATAACTCGTATCTTTAGTTTTCCTCTTCATTTACTTGAAGGATAGTATGCTGTTTCTTGTGGGATGAAAAAGAGATTTTAGATACTGAAAGCCTTGCACTCAAATCCATGAGCACTAGTTTTGTGGAAACATTTAAGGATTAAAACCATAAATTTCTTGTTTTTGCAGAGTAAGATAAATGGGATTATGGCTTATTTTGTGCAACTGATGCTAAAATTTTCTGCATGATCTCTTAATAGGCGTTATTTTCCTCTGGAAGCCATGAAGACCTTGGATCTAGTTCTCTTCGTTATGATTTCTTAGAGGTGAGTTGTTCTCTATTGTTTCTATTGTGAAATTATGAAACTAGTTGCTGCCATCTTTTAGATTGAGTTCTATGTACCGTTTGTTGTTTAATCAGATATATCATTGTTATTTAAGCCCTATTGTTCTCTTTGCAGGTGATGGACTTTATAAATGATGCAATTGTTTCCATGGATGCTTTTGTTAATGCATACAAACCAGCAGCTGTATTCTTTTCATGCCCTATAGAAATGAGGTAACCTGTTTAGATCAGGAATTTTAAATTTATATAACCGGGAAGCCATAAACTGTTTTTAATGATCTGAAAATATTCTTGCATCTCATATAGAAGTACTAAGCTTTTACCATGGGGTTTGTCTTTTTTCTGCTTTTGCTGATGAAATTGCTTTATTGAGAATTATAAATCTGCTGGAGCAGTCTGTATGTGTATTGGAGCTATAATGCTGTGACTAGGTCTATCTTCTGCATATTTTCTTTTTCAATTTTAGAAAATTCTTCAAACTTTGGCTGGACGGCATTCCAATTTCTGTTGCCTTTGCAGTTATGGGAATGAGGAATTGTTGATCATGCTTGCGAAATTGCATGATACTCTAATTCCCTCCTTGCAGCGGGGCTTTCGCATCATCTTTGCGGGAGATGATGATGGAATTATATCAAATGTTGCTGTTAGTTTGAAGATGTTGTCTATTAGGATTGTCAAGTTTGGTTGGAAATTATTGGATTTTTGCTATTTAAGCAATGAAATGTCCTCAGATTGCCTTCCCATTCCAGCTATAACAAAAATGTTTCCAGCAAAAGTAGAGGACCCAGTCATAAGAGCAGATATATTGATTCAAACCTTTAGAGAGATCAGTGGAGTTCTATTGTACACTCAGGAGAACCAACACAGGGATACATTTCTGCAGAATATTGATAAGAATTACCATTTAATGAAGAGACTACAGAGCTTACAAAGTGCTGGTAAGTGCCCTTCTTACAAAGTTTATTCCATGTAAAATCATGTGGACTAAGATACACAGACGTTGACATCAGTTTATAGATAAGTTAAAGGGTGTCCCTGGTGCACCTGGCTCATTACTTTGCAAGGTTAGCCTTCCCCTGTGCATTTATAATTTTAGAGATAAGTTAAAAATAAATATCCTTTTATCTGTTTTCAAATGCAATAACATTTTCCTGGATAAAAAATTATCAATATCTTAGAACTAATGTAAATGGGAGGGGTTGGCTCCACATCATTACTGGTAATGATCTTGTTTGCACGTTTCATGGGGATGATTCATGCGTAGGATGAAATTGCCCCATAGTTCAAGGTATCTTGACATTGGCTCACGGTTAAGCAAATACTGAAATTGTATTTTCTTTCTAATGACCACGTTGCTATGCAGCTCAAATCTACTATAAGGTATAAGTCAATGGATGGTCAGTCTTTGTACCATACAACTGAATCTTGTAATGCTGACAAAAGCATATTGATGCTTATTGTTCAACTTGTTTCCTCCAGGATGGATATTCATGGATGATGAACACTTCCACTTTTTATTGGGGATAATAACATCTTCTCTAAAAGGTACTGTTAAGGAGCAACTGATTTTGCCAACCCCTGTTCCAAACAGCAAAGTTGAGATGGATGAAGATACAGCCATCAAGGAGTCCAAAATCAGTCAAATAAAGGACCTATTTCCTGATTACGGGAAGGGATACTTAGCTGCCTGTCTTGAAGTCTATAACCAGGATCCAGAAGAAGTTATTCAGAGGATACTTGAGGGGACTCTCCATGATGATCTGAAATGCTTGGATACATCGTTGGAAACGATGCCAATTGCTAAGTCAGCTTCAACCATGAGCAAAAAGGATAAAGGGAAAGGAAAATTAGTTGAATCTACACCAGCCCCCTCAGCAAATCCAATTGACTCTACTAATACAGTGGTGGCCAGAGGGAGGGAATCTGAGAGTCCCTTTGTTTCATCGTCATCTACAGTGGGGAGGTTTGTTAGAAAATCTAATGATGAGCCAAGTTATACCCTTGATAATAAAGATGACATGGATGCTGCCAGGACTATGGCCATGACTCAACAGTATGAGTATGAGGATGAATATGATGACTCCTTTGATGACCTAGGTCTGAGTGTTGCAGAATCAGGGTTTGAGGAGAACGGATTGTTAAGTGACAAAATCAGCTATAATTTGGGGAAATCTACAAGCTCCGAAACAGAAAATTCAGCTCAAGCTGCTCCTAATACAAAATGGGGATCGAGGAAAAAGCCGCAATATTATGTCAAAGATGGAAAGAATTACAGTTACAAGGTTGCAGGTTCAGTTGCGGTTGCAAATTACAATGAAGCTTCACTAGTTAGCCAAGCACAGGGAGAATTAATTTATGGTCTTGGGCAAGGTGGTAACATTCCTATAGGTGCAGTGAAGAAGTTGACAGAGTATCAGGAGCAGGAAGCACAAAAGGAATCTGATGAACCTGAGATGGGAGGCAGGGGGAATGCAAGGAATCCCACGGGTAGAGGTTGGAGGGGTGGAGGACGAGGAGGTGGAAGGCTGAAGGAGTCACATGAAGAGCAAGATAACCAATCTGAGGGTTCTGAAGTGGAAGGGAGAGGAAATGCAGGAAATTCCAGGGGCAGAGGAAGAAGAGGAAGAGGAAATAACCATTACAGGAAGGACAGAGCCATAAATAAGCATTTTTCTGGGTTATCTGGATTTTAGGTCTCTTGGAGAGTGTATCCTACGAGCAAAGTTTTCAATTTTAGCAAAGACCTATTACCTCAGATATAAACACAACTGTATAGTTTGGTTACCATTACACTAAGTAGGGATTTTGATTCAAAAGCAAAGCACTGTTCCTATTTACCAAGTTTTAGTGCGTCCTTGAAAGGAAATGAAGAAGAGGGTGCCAGTGCCGGTGTTGGTGCCCAGCGCGTGCAAATTTGCTTTCCCCCTTCCTTTTTTGTCATGCGCATGGTTGACACCCTGAAATTTTTTTTTTTAAGTTGACATGCCATACGTTAAATTATTTTTTCCTCTTTTGGCGGATTGTTTACATGTGGTTCTTCATATGAACCTGTTTCAAACGCCAAATGTTCAGATTTGCGAATAATCCGCGCAGTGGCTGCGTGAATTCTTGAGTTGTTTTTCAACGGTCGACTCGGAATTTTACTCAAATTACCATCCTGCCATTCTCTGTTTTATGTTCCTGCCATTTTTTTAACTATCATAAAATTAGAAATTCGTGCATCGCAAGATGCAGTTACAAGTAAGCAAATATAATGATCTTTGACAATATAGCTGTTGTGTTTTTCTTTTCCCACAGCCCAATCTACCCCACCAACAGCCAACGAGGACAACATATTGCCATCATCAACGCATTAAGAGAGATTCAAAGTGAGCCAGTTTTGAAAAAACTCAGTCCATCACATTCTATCTTTAGCACAATAACCAATAGCATTACAAATACAATATTCTCATTTGTGCTCATAATCTAACCAGATGATAATAAAACTTAATCCAGGTATAATTTGGACAACCCAGCCTTGCCCCCGAAGGGTACCCTTGTCCACAAGAACACAAAAATGAAATTCTAGGAGGCTAAACCCATAATCCTATAAACTATTACTGCAGATGTTTATTCAGCAGCCTATCTTGGAGACCTCACGCCTCTTCATCACCATTATTGACTGCAAAATGCCCAACATTTTTATCCTGTAAATTGGGAAAAACAACTGAACAACGTTAGATGACAGAGTAATTGATGATCAAACCATCAAAAGCAATAGCTGCACCTAAGAACATCTTAAGTTTATATCTAATCAAAATGACCAATAAAGCCAATTCAGTGGAGAAGCAACCACCTTAGATAACATCCGCTGCTTGTTCAGATACTGAGTCCTTGCTTTATTGAGAACTGAGTTTGGGGACCGGAACATCCTCTGCAACAAAGAATATGTATCACTAATATGGAAAAGATAAATTCAAAGGTAGGAAAATTTTATTGGCAATACATCCAAGGAATGACCAACTAACATAAAGCATTGAAAAGTGGACCAATGAGGATTGCCTCAATGGTATTTGAGTTGTTTGACACTCCAGCCTGTGAGATCACATCGCACAAGTTCAAACCCACTACAAAGTTTTTAAGTTCACATGCCAAAAACACAAGTTTTGTTTATTTTCACCAGGTCCTTCTCCTTATCATTTTTTCCAGACTCTCTTCCCAAAGAAATTTATATTCCAATTAAAAATATAATAGTGGGCAATATGAAACTGGTCCAGCGGACCCAAGAGAACCATAAATTCTGACTGCACGCATATCACATTAAAAAGCCACTGAATCACAAGGGCACAAGAACTAAATGTAGGAAGTGAGATACTTGCAAAAGCTCTTATCATCCTATTGAAAGGATACACAAAAACACACCTCATATCAGTCAATATCTATAAAATCTTTCAGATAAGGAAATAAAAGCCTAAACTTCTGTAAGAAGTAAGCATCAGAACATGTTGCTGATGAGATATTAAAGCAGTAGGTCAGAGAAAGGCACGAAAGTTGTGTGAATTTTAAAAAGTTCAAAAGATAAAGCATCAGAAATTTTTATCTTTATTTTTATTTTTATGGTTTTTTTTTTTTTTTTTTTTTTTTTTTTTTTTTTTTTTTTTTTTTTTTTTTTTTTTTTTGGGACTTGTGTCTGTTGTTGAAGAAGTAAAGGTAAGAAACCTCAACTTTTCACATAACTAAGACAATTTGATGTTCAGACACCTCTTGAAGATAGTTTTTATTCTTTGGCGGTGAAACCAAAGACTTCATGAAGGAGTTTTCATGTGTCCTGTTGTTCAACAAGAAGCATGATGTCAAAAGAGTCAGACAAGAAATACGGTAGCAACCAGTAGAAAACTTAAATCTTGATGACAGAAGCCAAATGATTGACAGAACTGAGGGTGAACAAAACCAACCTGCATGTGCTTTACAAAACCCACCACCAAAAGTTAAATTTTTTTTTTTTTTTTTTTTTTTTTTGGGACTGTGTCTGTGTTGAAGAATAAAGGTAAGAAACTCACCTTTTCACTACTAGACATTTGATGTTCAACACCTTGAAGATATTTTTTCTTTGGCGTGAAACCAAAGACTTCATGAAGGAGTTCATTGTCCTGTTTCAACAAAAGCATATGTCAAAAAGTCAGACAAGAATACAGTACAACCAGTAGAAAACTTAAATCTTGATACAGAAGCCAATGATGACAGAACTGAGGGTAACAAAACCAACCTGCATGTGCTTTACAAAACCACCACCAAGAAAGTGCTTTAAAAAGTTCAACTGTCAAAGAATTAAAATTGAAGGGTTTAAGTACCATTCGCACACATCAAAATCACTGATAAAAAGTAAATGAAGATGAGATTAACAACCCGTATAAGCTGAGACCATGAAGAAGTCTGTAGCGAATCTCCTCCAATCTTCATCGACACTTCAGGGGAATAACCATACTGAGAAGATAAGATGTAAAGTAATCACAATCCCAAAGAAAGAATGGATCTCATAAATGAAGAAGAATAAATTTGTACCTCAAGAAACTCCAAGACATCCTTAAATAAGTTCCGCTGGCTATTAAGATCTTTCTTAATAGATCCCTTGCCACCTGCCTCTGCAGAAAGATCTCTCACTTGATTGAGAATTTTTGCTTTCAATCCATGGATATGCATTAATCTATCCCGAGATTTGTTTCCTTCTGGAGCTAAGCTATCACTAGAATCTTTAGCTTCAGTAGTGAACTTTTCAAGATTTCCCATCTCAAAAATTAAAGCTAGTGCTTCGCCAGCTGCAATGCGTACAGTCCGGTCATCCTTATCAAGAAGACCAGAAAAATAAGAAATGCACCTGCATCAAATGCCAAAGGTAAGTAACAACAATTATGATTTGAATTTCTTAGTTCAAGCAGAGGCTATTACAATGCTGTTTAGCCTTCTAGTCAAAGATAAATCCATCATATGAACACCGAAAAATTATGGGACAACAACAAAACCTCCACTGGTATTTAAAAAAAGGACAAATACATGGAACACATGGATGATTTAGTATGCAGGAAACCAAGTCCAATAAATTTCTAGAGACCAAAAGCAGAGTCAACCTAAAGGCAAAAACACAATAAATGAGGGCAAAATTTTCAGATAAAAATTTCCTCACTCTTGCCAGTTTTTGGGATCAAGATTCCATCCATCCATGGTTGTTAAAAGAAATGCCCAAGCAGACACTACTGCTGTTATCACAGGTGCAGAAGGCTTGACAGCAACGACCTAAAGTAAATGATATTGATTATTTTCTGAAGCAAGAAAAATAAACATGCACCACTGAAATTAATAGGTAGGCACATCGACCATAAGTGTAATTGTAATGAAAAAATTACAAAAATATGTATGCTCCATGCTATATGAACTTGATATGATTTAACAATTACCAAAAGCTAAACAACATAAATTGGAAGCAGATACATACATTAGAGCCCAATTTAGGATGAACCAATTGCCACATGATTTGCATGGACCGTTCTGTTTCTGCTGGTTCATTTCCACCCACAAAAGTGACAACAGCCAAACTCTCCAATAGCTTTCATTGTAGTAGTGAATCAAAAAAAAAAAAAAATTATAGAACATAAGAATAATTCTCACAAATTCGGAAAATAATTTGTTGTTTTATCCATACCGATATCTTTGTGGATTCAGATCCAGATTTAAGAGCCTGAGAAATAGGAGTAACCGAATCCTCCAATATTTCACGGGAACTATCCCCACAGCCCACTGTCAAAGCCAACAATCCTACAAGAAAGTGCATATTATAATGCAAAGTCATTTCTACAGATTTAAAAATAAAGAAGGATAAGCAAAACGGGTGGAGCACTAACCAATTGTGTGCGATGCAAGAGCTACCTCTTTGCTAGACCCTTTTTTGATGCAACTAAGACACTGATGTAGTAAAGTAGCAAATCTGAAAGAACATAAGAAAAAAAAAATGAGGACCATTCAACATACAAATTTGTGTAGATAATGCATGACGACTAGTAAGTTGAACAAAATTTTTATATAAAAATATGAGTCACCATTCAACATACAAGTTTGTGTAGATAATGCATGATGACTAGAACTTGAACAAAATTTTTATATAAAAATGCGTCAATAGGAAACCCACATCAATGCAATTGATAGATTAAAAAAATATAAAAGCTGTTTATTGAGAAAGTATGACAACAAAATATCCGGGCGCATATATCTCAGTCCAGAAGAGGCTTGATGCCTAACGGAATGAATATAGAAAACAAAAATGTATGTATTATTACTTCTTCTCCACAAATTGATGCTGCAAATTGCTATTGAAAGCCTCAATAATTGATGCCAACGCCTTCTCTCTCGTAGCACCCCTGTATCCACAAAATTAAAAAGCAATTAATTAAGTATAATTCACTGCTAAAGCTCCAAATTTACCAAAATAAGCTGGAAAACATTAATTATGACCAAAAAGGGCGATTAGTTGACCTCTTCTCATATAAAGCATCGAGAGCTTGTTCTAGTATACTATCTTTATCAAGCTGAACTTCTTCGGTGCCGGACACAGACATACGATCCGTATTAGTCGATGACGAACTGACACTACTATTATCATCGTCATCGGTATCCAAAATCGCAATGTTTCTACGCTGAGCATTCCCTGCCAAATTTACCACAAAGCCACTATCAAAACCTAAACATCCTCCAAGAATTAGATAAAGTCAGGTCTCCAAGTCAACTTCAAACATCCAAATTATCAATATTAAGGTATAATTTCCTAATTATTCAAATAAATAGAAATCAGAATCTCTCTAGCGGATGTGCATACATAAAACACCTTGTTTTTGAGCAAAAAATACAATTAATTGAATTGAACTCGAATTCTAAGAAAAAATAAATAAATAAAATACAACTTACGCCGTCCCATCTTTAGATGCTGCTCCGATTATTGACTAATTCTATGTCAAAAAACGATACAAGGTCGACTACGAATCTGAAAACAATAGAACTCTGAAGAGAATAAACGATGGACAAAATCAAACTGAACCGAATTAAGGAAAGAAGACGACGATAATGACGACAAAGTTGAACCGAAAGAGGAAATAGCCATTAAAATTCCTGAGGTTACTAAAAGAAATCGTTTTGGAAGAGAAATTGGCATAAATAGAATCAGCACGCCAATATAAAAGAGGGCTTCCAATTTAAATTGGTAAAAAAATATAATAAAAAAAAATTTTTTTTTCCAGGCGAGAGGTATAGAAGGGTCAAGGGTTTATTCAGATCGAGTGGTGTGGAATATTCGGTGATTGTGTAATCGCGAATACTCGAGTTTAATGTGTTCTCTACTACGTGGCATGTTATAGACCGTAGATTTTTTGTTCGGATCCATGTAGTCTGGAGACTCGCACGTGGAAGTGAATGAGACACATCTGATTTAGTTCGGTATTGGCTTTGGACCTTGCGTGATGGAGTTTTAGAGGCTGTAGCGTGTCGACGTGTGTTAATGCACGTGTTTATACGTGTAAAGAAAGAAGTTGACCGTAGAAAAAAAACGAGAGGAATGACCACGGAGAATGTAGGGAGAGAGCAAAGAAGAGAGGGGAAGATAAGGTGGTTGTAAAGTTAAAAGCCTTGAAGAGAATCCGAGCCTCGTCTGAGCCGAGAATCCTAAACTAAATTGGAAATTTAGCTGGCCCGTTCTTAGAATAAATGTTGGCCATTGATGGGCCTAATATTGGGCTTCTTTGTCTCTAGAAAGCAAATCTATTCTTTTTCACTGTAGCGCTCGAAAAGTCTATAGTTTCTGTTGTAATAGAGTGTGTGTTTATAGTGAGAAGTAGTGTCAAGTGTATAAATTCCTAAATATATATATAAATTCACTCATATATTTTATATAAAAAATTTTTATAGCACCATAAACTTTACGATGAATTATATACATTTAAAGTTATAAATTTTGATAACATTTCATATTTCTCTATACTAGTAACAATAAATTTTTTTGATATTTTTGGTTTTTATATTTAAATTTATGAATTTTGATAACATTGCATATTTATCTACACTAGAAATAATAATTTTTTAATATTTTTAATTTGTATATGCAAAACATTGATTGATGTTTATAATTTTCAGAATAATTAATTTTTATATTTTAACTGTTTAATTGATTTAAATTTAAAAATTAGACTGTTTGATAGTAAAAGTTTGCAAATTGAAGTTCAATACATGTAATTTTATGAGTTGAAATATTCAAAAGTAAAAGTAAAAAGTGCCACAAAATTTTTTGGATAAGGTATAAGGATGAGTTTATGTATTTGTACAATCAAGTTGTTATAATATAATGTTAAATGACCTTTTACATATTAAAACAGTACACTAATTTTCATAATTAAACAAAAAAGGATGAACCTAATTTTGCTTATTTTTTCTTTATTTTAATTTGATACTCATTTGTTTAATGCTTTTTGCAATAAAAAGTGGAGGAGGGATTATTTATAATGATGATAAGCTTAAATTCTAAGACTCAAAAGAATTACGAAACTCATAAACGTATATCAGTATTGACTTTGCTTTTAAAGAGTGAAATTTAATTATTCTTAAGAATTAATTTTGTTGTTGAAGTGAGTTTTTTTTCACCATTATGGACCGTGGTTTAGATTATTGAGATGTGCCTTTATACCCACTAAAGAAAAAGCTTTAAACTATAGGCTTAAGTATATAATCCAACCATAACAAATTAATTAAAAGAAATGTAATTAATTATTGAATTATAATATTATAAGGGGAAACTTTATGTTTGATATGCTCGTGGTGTTGTAGTTGTTGGAAGAATAATGAGCGCATGAATCCATTGTACTGAAATCTAGTTGTGAAAACAAAGAGTGGTTGAGGCTTGGATTGTATATACAAATAAGCCACGTAATGTACACAAAATTATTAATACTATTGGGTTAATTCAATAGGAAAAAACATTTACAGGGTTAATCACCACGATTTACGACATGGGTTTGATCTTCCGCATCGTAAATTCTCTCTGGATCAGTCTTTTTGCCTCTAAAAGCGAGTGAGAATTAATCAATTAAACCGTAACAACAGTCATTAGTAACAACAAGTTGCTACATAATCTAGTTATGAAAATAAAGAAAGAATATAATTTATTGGCTATAGAACTTGATGAAGGACAATAGTGTTAGTGTGTTTTTGGCTTTAACCAAAGACATGGTTAAAAAATTGATGAAATGATCATAACCCAACATTCAGATTCCAATGTCAGGAAGAGGGACCATGAGTCATAACTGAAATTGACTGATGATTATCCTATTCAAAGTTGAGTCCAAAACAAAGAATAATAACTGAATAATTATCAAGCATGGGAGGGGTACCATTCTAAATTAAATCCATCCTGTTAGTACTTTTTTTTATCTTCTTGTTGCCATTAATGGTATCAACTGTCAACAAAACTCCAAAAAAACAATTAATATTTGAGGCCCAAATAGTAGCTGAACACTCAGTTTGAAGCCCATAAACCCATATTATAAACATTTTAGGGTATCCTAACACTAACCCATGTGAGCACACTGCCCTAGTGGGTTTTGGAAGTATATATATAGAGGAACTGATTTCAAAAGGGATCTAAGGGAGTCAAAGCACAGTCAAACAATTGGGAATCCAACTCCTATTCCCTGACTAAATTTGTCTGTGGTAAGATTAGCGGGCACTTTTGTTGAAAGAAATGGGCATAGAAGTTAGTGAGTGATACTGTGAAGCGTTATTGTGGGGCAATAACCTCTCTTATGTGTCAGAAATTTTAAGGGCACCAACCACAATTATGCAGTGTGTTTGCTTGCTCTATCCCACTTATGTATTCTCTCTTCCCGCTAAAATTATTTCTTGGGGTGTTATTTCATGCCTGACAGAATTTTCAGTTTCCCAAATTCTATATATGTTGTTCACCGACCTTGCTGTTTTTGTGTCTCCACTTTATACTATCTTTTCCATTTCTCGTTTTGGCTTCTTACTTTGAGCAAAAACCTCCTCTTCAGATTGCACTACTGGGATTTAGACTACAGTTATGAAAGTAGATATGAATTTATGGACAAGATTATAGTTATAAAGAATGATAATAATTCGTGAGGTTCAGACCTAGCGTACTCCTGAATAGTTTCTTGATTTCTTATAAAAATGGTGGTCAATAGAAGTTTCATTTCTTTCTTTCATGTAGGGTTAAGCAGAAGGCATATATGCTTCGTTTGTTTTTTGAAATTTCTCTTTTCTTAGAGTTTTACATTTTCTTTCTTGCATTGCTATAATTGTGTTATGGACATGTGTATATTAGGTTCGTCTGAAATGCAATATATGCATATGGGACCTTAATTTCCACTTCTCCTCTCCCATGAATACAGGCTTTGAAAAAACAAGGCTAGTGGGGGCTGCCTCTCTACACAAGTAGACATAATTAATCGCAACAAAGGACCATCCAACTACTTTCGATTTACCGCAGGGTGAAACCTCGCTTTTTATTGCAAGGCTTTGATTTGACCAAAATTGTCAAGAAAATGTCTCCTGACAATTCGACAAACCACACTTATACCACCAGCTGTGAGGCTGAGCAAGCTCCATTTCAATATTAATTCCCATCCCTAACGTTATTTTAGATGATGTTTAAAATAACAGTTATGAAATGCAGGTACCAAACACATTGAATTCGATTGTTGTATAACTAATTAATGCGTTGGGTGTTGCTATTAGATGCTTGGGACCTCCATTTTTAAAAGTTTCTGAAACGCATTAGAGCATTACGCAGGTGGGAAAATTTGTCTAATTCTTGGACACTGTTTGTTGCTTTTGGCTTTGAGCGTTTATATAGTACCTACTGGCTACTGTTTTTTCACCTCCAAAAATGTTATTCTCTTTATTGCTATCTGATTCTAATCTAGCTAACTATACGTTTTTCTGAGCAGCAGAATTAAATTCATAAATTCAGCACTAATATTTTTTATTTTACGTACTCTCTATTTAGACAATTAATTACTGATTGGTGTTCTATGATTCCGTACATTTGAATTAAGTTTGTACAGACAGATTATTACTGTTGATATTCAAATTCATATTACTGAAATTCTTTAACTTAATCATTTAAAATACTATGAATTTAATTTTATTTTACATAGTAAATGTGTAGTCTAGCCTTTTGAAGCATGAAAAATCACTACCTTTAAGGTATTAATTATCTCACTTAACTGTTGCAAAGTTATAGCAATATGGACTGAAAATATAACAAAGTCTTGAAAATCTGCGGATGACAAATCTGAAAATTTGCTTTGGAACTTTCAAAAGAACTTTGATTTTAAAAGCTTAGAATTTTTTTTCTAAGATCTCTAGCGTAATATTTGCAAGCAAGCGACATAATTTAATTACACGTGTTCGTAAACAGATACGATCATTTATGAATAAAAATGACAATCGTGATTATCTATGAATAAATAAAACTGTTTGCGAAAGATATGATTGTTTATAAAAATAAAATAAATATCGTTCTCCAATTTTAGATTAAATGACAAAGGGATTTTCAAATTTGCAAATTGTAAATCTCTTATAATTTTATTATTCAACTATTCAAGAATTTTATATATATGCATTTCACAATTTTAATTTTCCTACATTCCCAACCAAATATTCAAGCTTTTATGAGAAATTGATTATGAGAGACTTACATAATTAGGGACTTGTACAAATTTTGTCATCTTAAATGTTTTTAGGTTTAACATACAAACCCTTTGTCGCTAATTAAAAATCAAAAGGAAAGAAAATGTATATATTAAAAACAAAAGAAGGAAAAGTGTTATATATATATATATATAGTGATATTATATATATATATATATATATATGCACCTCAACTAAAAAACTAGCTAGGAATTCCTTATCATAAAAAGGAAAAAAGTCGCTAAAAAGCTTTCCAAATACGCATTTACAAATTACCACTAGGATGTGATGGATCCACACCAGAGACTCATATAATTAGTGAGATGTTGAGGTCCCTAGGATGCATTTTGAATTATAGAATGTGGGATAAATGGCCCTTCTGCTACACTAATAATTACTTAGTTATCAATACATCGTGTATTGATAACTATTCCATATCTTAATGTTATTAATTAAGTATATGCACGTCAACTAAAAAACTAGCTAGAATTCCTTATCATAAAAAGGAAAAAGGAAAAAAAAAATAGAATTCCAACGACATAAGTGAGATGAGTTGGATGATTTGAAAAGAGAGTTCAATAATAATATTAGTTACAATAAGAGAATGAAGAAGAGGGACCAATTAATATGTGGGAAAAATATAGTTTGGGTCCCAATTGGGAAGAGCAAAAGGAAAAGGAAAATAAAAAAAAAAAAAAATGAATTGAGGAAAAGGTGATTAGATAAATAAGTTAGGTACGGTGGCAACGCACATAGGGCTCACTTTGCAGAGCAATTGTTGCCTCTTTCAACGACGATCTTGCTAAAGGTGCGGAATAGTTACTCGCCTGCACTTTCCGGCTTAACTGGACCATCTCTCCCTTCACATTTGTATCATATTGTTTTAGTATAACTAAGAGGTTAAATCCCTTTCGAATTTTAGAGTATAAAAATTTTCGACTCTCTCGGTAATATATATTTTTCAGAGATCGAATTTATATTCCCATCTTTACAGGAATCGAGATTGCTTACCATCCAGCCAATAACACCTATATAATTGATAAATTCATGTCAATCCATATTGGAATGAATAAAAAGTAAAAAAAAAAATTATGTTTTTTAATGTTATTAATAAGAGAAAAAAAAAATGCAGTTAAAGCCTTTTGTATTGATTTTAACGGGAAGTTTTATTATGATATTGATAATATTTATATAAGCTAGCGTCGGTCACCGTTTATATAAATATTTAATGCTTTATTTTGTTTCAATAGTCAGCAATTACAGAAATTAGTAACATCAAATTAAAATCTCTTAAACAGTCAATTGACGAACAACCATTGCCAATCAGAATGTATTTTTTCCAATTTAAAAAAAAATAAATAAATAATTAGGAGAAATTAATAGTATAATAAAGGATGGGATGGTAGGTAGATCATGCCTTTGGAGTTTGGATTAATGATTAACTAATGGGGCTTTAGTTTAATTTAAAGCTTTTTATTCCTTTACTTGGTGGCTATAAAGAAAACAAAGAGCACTGAGAAACGACGTCACTTCTGCTTTTTTTGTTAGGCTTTAGGAAAGGTAAAAGACAAGCACTCAACTCAAGCTTAGTATCGTCATTCATTGTTGCAGTGCATGCTGCATGCAGCTGTAAATTAAAAAGTGAGTCGCAGTAAATTTGACTCCATTACATCCATTTTTCTTCAGAGATATATCTCTATTTATTTATTTAGTAATATACAAAGACTAGTGGAAAAAAATATTTAATAATTTATTATACAAGACATGCATATATATATATATATATCATATTTTAAGGATAAATAAATAAATAAATAAACAAAAGTATGAAGTAAATTATTAGATTCTAAATCTCTTGGTATTTGATAATATGGAATGAAAAAAAAAAGGATTAATTAAAGATCCAATTAATAGAATTTGCAGAGGATATATTTCTTTTCTTTTCTTTTCTTTTTTCTTTTTTTTTTTTTTTTTCTTGTTTTTTTGTTTGTGAAAAGTTGCAAGAGGATTATATTTTCTTAAAGATAGATATAAGTACTGCAATATTGCATATATAGGCAAAGCATTTGAGACTGGAGTCAAGTCAATAATAATATTTCTTTTAATTAAATTACTTAGTCTGTATTGAAGATATATCTGCAATTATGAAATTTAATTCCATATTAAAAATTTTTTTTTTTTTTTTTTGAAAATTGCAGAGGATATATTTCTTAAAGATAGAGTATAGTACTTCAAAAATATATGCATATATAGGCAAAGCATGTGAGACTGTGAGTCAAGTCAATAATAAATATTTTCTTTTAATTAAATTTACATTATCTGTATTGAAGGATATATCTGCAATATGAAATTAATATTCCATATAAAAATTAGTTTATAATGACAAATGAGGTTCTACATTAGAAAATTATATTTATTTTGTTTTTTGTTAAATTATATTTATTTTGTTAGTTTATCAGTAGAATTTGGACAGATAGAAGAACTCACCATTTGGACCTCATATTTAGTCAGCCTAATACTTGGATCTACTGATGTGATTTAAGTTTCATTAAATCCTGTTTTCTGTCCTGCAAGGAAAGAGAAATAGCTAGGTGTCTGCAATACAATTATTGTTGAACAATAAATGAATGTGGAATTTAAAACATAAAATAAATATTAGAATAATTACAATTGGTCAATATTATAATTAGCTAGGGTACGTGGAATAATATATATTTATATATTATAGACTCATTTTTTCAAATACTCCAAGATTTAGACTTGATATATATATATATTTGAATTCTGACAGTCACACTTATTTAATTTAAATTGCGAGTATATGTATTATCAAAAATAACAAATTTTGATCTATAAGTTGAACAGATTTTATTTTAAGATAATCATTAATTTACTTATTCTTTATCAATTTATTCTTGAATTATATAAATACATTTTAATTTATAATTTAAATTTATTGTATTGGGTAGAAGAACTGTTTTTTTTTTTTTTTTAATTAACCTAGCTATATTGATGAGCTCAGCAGCTCCTAACAATCAATTCAAACAAAATGACTTAGAGATAAGAGCTAATAGGATTTTAAAATCATATAGGTGTGGACTTGCAACTGGAAAATAAAAGATGATGACTTTAGAAATGAAATTATGATCTGATCTACAGCTAAACAGTCAAAGCAGAACCAAGAAAAAAAAAAAGGTTATTAAAAATGAAAGCACACAGAGGCATGCATTTTTTAAACAATTGATAAAGACAAATAAAGATTCCTAGAGATGCATAAAGTAAGAGTTTAGCAAATAAAATATACCATAAAATAAAATTATCCTCTAATTGTAGTTCAACAATTAAACTATTAGAGTGGAATTCTGTTGGTTATTAAACATATGACATTTAATTAGCAAATGATATTATAAAAACATTACTAATCAATGTGTCATTAAATCTTTTGAAGTTGGCTTTTGGATCTTAATTGTGTAATCTTCTAATTTTATACTCCATAAACAGAAGTTGGAATCTCTAGATGGTTTTTTTATTTTATTTTTTTAATTAACACCAATGTTAAAAGAAGTTTCTTTTGGTAATTAATGATTAAAAGTTGATAAAACTACATTTTTTAATTTCTTTTATTTTAATTTCTATCTTTAATAGCAATTTTTATTCATCAACAAGAGTAGATTATATTTTTAATTAATTGAAATTAATGTTGTTAGGAGAATTTTATTTGAAAAACACTCTGTCTGAGCGGAGATACCATGTGACATAGAAAAAAAGAATTTTTTTTTTTCATTTACATTATTTTGCTTATAATAATAATGTAAATATTAGATATTTAAATACTGATTTTTTTAATTAAAGATTTTGTGATATATGAAGAAAAACCAATTAAAACGTAGTACTGTGATTGATTTTCCTCAACATAACGTGACATAATTTTGATTGACCCACAACGAGGTTGAACATGTAAGAAGCAAACCCTAACCAATAACCAATAATCCAGTAGAGAGTTCAGGTACGACCCCATGTACGGTACCCACCTAACAACCAGACATCCGCTTTTCATTGGACCGTGATTTCCACGTGCGATGAACTCGCGTGTATCTAACAAATCCCCCACCCGAACTGCTCGTGCCCTGGAACCAAGCACACAGTACTTCATACTCTTAACTCTTTTAGTCAAACTCAGTCCACAAAACTTAAATAGAAAATACTTAATTTCCGAAAATAATAAAATAAAAAAAATCCAAAAATAAAAATAAGGCTTAACATGCACAACACAGTCTCCACATTTAAAAGACAGTAGACATTATACATGTTACGCAATAGACCAAACCAAACCGCAAAAACCAAATCAAAACCCGTTCAGTTTATTTTCTTTCAATCTTTAAAATAAACCGTTAAAACAGTAAAGTAAATCCCATTGGCATTTCTTGCTCAACTTCATCTTCATCTTTTTCTTCATCTTCATCTTTTTCTTCTTGATCATCAATACTCATGTTGGTCAATTTCTTTCCCTCTCTATTAACATCATGGATTTAACAATTAATAAAATATCTGATTCAGTTCATATATAGAGAAATAAGAGAGAAGAGAAAGGGGATAAAAGAAAAGAAAATGAAAGGAGAGTCTTTTTCTGGGCTTCTTTGTCAAGAAAGTGAAACCTGTCTAGAAGAAGAAGAAGTGATGATAGATGAGGATGCTTTTATTGATATAAGCATGAGTTATGGCGGTGATTTAGGCAGAGAAGAAGATTATTTGGAAATGTTATTTGAGAGAGAGATCAATTTTAGACTCAAGAGGGATCAATCTATGGATATTGACAATTGGGTCAAATGTGCCCGTTTAGAAGCTATCACTTGGATTCTCAAAGTTAGTCTTCTTTTGTTTCATTAACCTATAAATGCTAAATTTTAATTGTCTTGATTATTTCATTAATATTTTTTGGTAATCAATACAGACCAGAGCATTCTTTGGTTTTCGCTTACAAACAGCTTATTTGTCTATGACCTACTTTGATCGATTCCTTTCAAGAAGGTCGATTGATGTAAGATAATTTATCAATTCTATTTTTAAGAATTACAAATATTTTCTGTTCATTTAATTGATTTTTTTCTGAAATTTCTGATTGCAGAGTGAGAAATCATGGGCAGTTAAATTACTATCAGTGGCATGTCTTTCTTTGGCAGCAAAAATGGAGGAGATAAAAGTACCTTCATTATCGGAGTTTCAGATTGAGGACTACAATTTTGAAAGCAGAGTGATTCAAAGAATGGAGCTTTTGGTATTGAACACAATGGAATGGAGAATGATTTCCATCACTCCTTTTGTTTTTCTTCATTATTTCATTATAAAATTCAGCGAGGAATCTCCACCAAGGCATATAGTATCAAGAACTGTTGGATTCATTTTGGATTTAATGAGAGGTAGCTATCTTTTTTATTCAACTCTTCCATATTCTTTTCATGAAGTTTGTTATGTATTGATTTAATCTTTCAAGTGCAGAGATTAATTTGATGGATCATAGACCATCAGTTATAGCAGTTGCAGCGACATTGATGGCATTGGATCAAAGCCTAACAAGACAAGCAATGGAGTGTAAGATGAATTCAATTTCTCATTCTGGGTTTCTTGAAATTGTGAGTGCTTCATATATTCATTTATGACTTAATTCTTTATGATTAGATTAAAAGATTATATTCTGATTAAAGGGAATTGGAATTTCTTGGCCTTATTGTAACAGGATGATGTGTTTCAATGCTACAGTATAATACAGAAATTGGAAATGGAGAATCTTAAAATTCCTAATCTCTCAAAATCATCGGCTGGCGAATTAAGACCGATTGATGTTTTAGAGAGTTCTTCTGTTACTTGTGATATTAACACTAAAAGGAAAAGATTTGCGTTCAATCAAAATTACGGGTTATCTACTGAAGAGAAACGACACCGGTAGAGAAATTTGTGGAAGGTTTTTTTCTTCATGGGTTGATTACAAAAGGATATTATTGATTTCATGTGTTTTTTTGATTATTAATTGATGATGGGTATAAGAGATTTGAGTTGGTTGAAAAAGTTTCCTCAAGGAAAGACCAAAAGAAAGGAGAAAACAAAGAAATAAAAGAGCTCATTATAGAAAAGCTGATTGCAAATAGACATTACAATGCCACCAGATGGGAGAAAAAGGAACAACTTAGATATCTTGAAGAAGGCTACTTATAAAACAGTCAGTTCATATATTGCTTACTCACATGTTCAATTTTTTTCTAATAATTTATTTTTTTGCACTTTTCTAAAAAATTTCTTTATTTTTATTTTTTTTTTATAAAAAAGAACTTTCTTTCTGGGTTTATAATGTCCCTTGCAACCTTACCTTTTGCTGAGATGCTTGGGATGGATGCTTTCTTGTGTCTTTAGAAAGGCTGGTAGTAATTGTGGAATGGGAGAGAAGGTCTGTTAGTGTGATTTGATAAATCTTGGCCATCCAAAAAGTAATGTAAAGGTGAATTTGATTGGATTTGTTTGAATGTCTGGGGTTTACCCTTTCAAAAGCGGGTCCTGCTTCCTTCTTTTCATCTTTTCCCTATAACACTTTGTTGTATATCTCAACAAACTCAAAATACTTTGCTTGCTTAATCAAAAGATAATTATTTCTTTATTATTGTTTATAATCAATAATCATTTCGTTGTAATCTCTTTTTCCTGGATTTGCTGAGATAATTTCTTTTTCTCATACAGAGACAAAAGAAAAGTAATAATAGTAATAAATTGAAAAAGGAGTCCTTTTTTCTTGCATGATCCTATGACTGAAGCACAAGATATGAAACAAATTAGATTGACGTAGTGAACATTGAACAGTTTTAGTTTTTTTGAGGTCCTGGAAGACAAGTATAGCTGTAGAGTCAAAACTGGCAAATAAGTACTTGGTACTTTGCCTGGCATTTTGGATACCCTTTTTATTGTCTCCCAACTTTGTTTTTGGTGCTAAGGGAGGGCGCCTTGTAGTTGTATATATGTTTCGTGCGGCTTACTTTAACCCAACTTAGTACTTTCATGGGTGGATGGCATTTGTTTGTCACAGTCTTCGATGTTTATGGTCTGGAAAGTTTTGCCTATAAATAAGTGTACGAGAAACCCTGTTTGGATGTTCGGGCTCTTTCCCTCTTCTTACAGCCAAATTTATTTTTATTTATTTATATTTTTTTTAAGAATTCAGGCGGTGTATTTTTATGCATTGAACTCATCTCTATTCGGTACAATGAAAGTATCTGTATCTCTTTCGATTTTCTACATTTTTTTCTCCTAAATGAAGCCGATTAACTGCTGAATCCAATTGGGCCCATTTGGGCTGCTTCGTCGTCTATGGTCATCTCAAAACAATTCTCTATATAAACGGTTGCTATGGGCCCAAGTAAATCCAATCATGCATATCGTCCCGCAAATCCAAAATAGTCAAACGGTCAAGGTAAAGAATTGCTTCAAAGCGACTGTATAAACAGTTCCGTTTATCAGAAGTCTAATTCGGCCATCGTGTCGTGTGTCGTTCGGCAAATTCACATCTGCAGTACTCAAAACGTCTTCGACTTCGTTATCGTGCGTTATCGCGGTCATTTGTAATGATAGATGACGGTAATAGATACGGGAATCATCCTAAAGCGAAGTTAATTAAAAAATCTGCAATACATTCTATCATGGGCAAAACTATATATGTGCATTTATCTGCTTCGGTTAAGAAAGAAAATCACATAAGCATTTTATCTGCTGAGTTTATCCCCAGTGCACTGCTAGATCCTCAAGATTTTAACAGTCTAGCACTCAAAGCTCACTTCGCAAAACTATATATACTAACATTTTTACAATTCGTAACTCTACTCTCCCATCCAAGCATGCCCTACTATTCACAAATTTTTTATGGAATTAATGATATGTGTCTCTTCTTTCTTTTTATGTACTTAGACATTGGTTTAGAATGTTAGTAGGAAATTGGTTAAACAAACGAGAACAGAATAATAAGATCAACAAAAGGTTCGCTTCGCTGCATAAAACCATATAATAATTTCTCCTAAAAACTTTAATAGTTTCTCTTTTGGTTCATGAGATGGTTTAATGGACCGCACGACATGAATAATCCTCCCCTTTTCCGAGATGATTTAATTTGGCTACACAAGCTACAGCAGTCAGTTAGAACAAGTTTGCCATGTAAATCAGATTCTGTGCTTATAATCAACATCATTTCTAAGCAGTCGAAACCAATCTTTGGCTAGACTTTCAACTTCATGTGGAAAAAAAAATTCTACAAACCCATCAATGCTACAGCTGTACGATGAGGTGATGAAAAAAATAATGATAAAGAATGGGTCATGAAAATTGCATTTCAGATGCGGGCATTTGGATGACAAGAAAAGTACCTAGCGCATTTATCAGGTATCAGTTTGATCCCGCTGGTATCATCTTTATGGCAGCTGCAATTGGCATGCCAAGGAAACCGAGGAAAATGGTAAAAAACCATTGTTGCCAACTGAGAGGAGATGTGTTTGCAAATGTACCGAGGAACTCAACAATGATAATTTGGAAGAAGACAGTGCAAGTCAGTACAGCCACAAATACGTAGTTCGTCAATATCCCTCTAAAGACATTTATCGTTTCCATTTCCCTGGAGCTTATCTCATTGAAAACCTGATAAAAGAAATCGGATTTAGCAATGTTAGTTTCAGGAAAAAGCTTTTGGAAAAGCTAACTAAGTCTTTTGGTTTGAAATACAACAAAAGAGAGCAATCTTTATTAGATTCAAATCTAAAGATGAAATTACCTGACAAAAGACAAATGCATTAAAAATAAGCGTGTTCAATATTAAATCAGAATCTGGGCCGTCAAGATGAAAAATTTCTTTTCCTCTTGTCTGAAGATACCATATCATCACAAACTGATACATCGACTGCCCCAGAATATTCCTCCACATTACATTGCTTATGAAATTTCCTTTCCTGCCAACTGGTGATCTCTTCATCAGGTCCTCTTTAGGAGGCTCTGTGGCTAGTGCTAGTGCTCCTAGAGTATCCATGATCATATTGACCCAGAGAAGTTGAACAGCAGTTAAGGGAGCATTACCTATTGGAAGGCCAGACCAAAAAATAAACGTTAATGCCATACAAAGACAATGCCTGGAAGAAAAAAAATCTGAATCACAATGTTTACTATCGGTCTGATACCTGTCAAACAGGCTGCAGAAAAGTTGACAATCAGGGCAACTACGTTAACAGTCAATTGAAACTGAACAAATTTTTGAATGTTTATATAAACTGAACGGCCCCATTTTGCCACAGTCACAATTGTGGAGAAGTTGTCATCCAAAATTATGACATCAGCACTTTCCTTTGCCACCTGCAAGACAAAAAACATTCTTCAAAATGTATATCAAACAGCTTTATGAAAATTTCAGAATGACAATAAGTACTTTGCTAAAACAAAGCACAGGGCAGACCAACATGAAAAAATTAGAGCTTCTCGTCTGAATAAATAGTGAGCGGAATAAGCATTTTTCTAATAACAAAAGTTTGGAAACACAATGGTCATCCAGCCTCAAACTTTGTATAAAGGTTCTGTGAGTTCACACGAGAAACACGGGTGGTACCTTATGTATCTCTTAGTAAATTTTTATGGTGCTGCACAGATGAGCCCTTCAACTCAAATTACATTCCATGTAGTTATACATTAAAATTTACTTAAATTGTGCCAAACTGAAGCTATAAAGAATCAACTAAATGAAGTTACTAGCACAACTCCACACATCACCTACATGCAAATATATAGAGCAGAACAAACCTCAGTTCCAGCAATGCCCATTGCAAGCCCAATGTCTGCTTCATGAAGTGCTGGAGCATCATTTGTACCATCACCAGTCACAGCAACAACTTCCCCAAAAGTTGTTCGTAGGTGCTTCACTAGCATATGCTTATCCAACGGTGAAGATCGGGCCATCACCTACAAAATGTAATACCAGAGGTTGTTTGAGAGACAAGTTCCCCACCTTTTACAGTCCATAGAAAACTGCATTTAAAGCTATATTGAAGTAAATGATCTCGAAATAATACAAATAAAACAAAAAGATGCACCTGAATTTTTGGAATAAGTTCTAGCAACTCTTCCTCGCTCTTCTCCCGGAATTCAGGTCCTTCAATTGCTATTCCCTTATCAGTCAAAATTCCACATTCTCTAGCGATGGCCTTTGCAGTTGTTATGTTGTCTCCAGTGACCATCCGCACCACAATTCCAGCTGATCTGCAAATTGCAACAGACTCCTTGACACCAGGGCGCACTGGATCTTTAATTCCCACAATACCTATGCAAGTATATCCTTTGGAAGGAATAGAGCTCTCAGCAGAGAATTCACTTCCAATTTCTAAGTAAGCAAGGCAAAGAGTTCGAAGAGCTTCACTAGCAAATTGTTCAATTGTATTCTTCAAATAATCGGTGGATGCTTCATCAAGGGGAACAACCTCACCTTCTCTGTTTATAAATTTGTCACAAGCAGCTAAAATGATTTCAGAGGCTCCCTTACAATGTGCCCGAAAACCTCCATTAGGAAGCTCTAAAACTACACCCATTCGCTTCTTTGTAGAGTTGAATGGTTCAACTTTCACAATTTTTGATTTTTCTCTTTCTTCTTGGAAATTTCCTCCAAGTAGCAGCCCCAATTCTAAAAGAGCAGTTTCAGTGGGCGAACCCAGTATCTCAACTTTGTTATCTCTATTACTAACAATTTCTCCCCCAGTGTTATTAAATATTGATTCAAGTAGAATTCTAAATGCAGAATTCGGAATTGCAGACCCAAAATTAAGAGTACTCTTGGAGCTGCTAACTTCCTTGATTTCCCCACAAATGCATGCTTTTACAACAGTCATATGGTTAGTTGTTAGTGTCCCAGTTTTGTCACTGCAGATAGTTGTGGCAGACCCCATGGTCTCACAAGCAGCTAGATGGCGAACAAGTGCCTTATCATTCATCATTTTCTTCATGGCAAAAGCAAGACTTAATGTCACAGCCAAAGGAAGGCCCTCAGGAACTGCAACCACAACAATTGTAACAGCGATAGCAAAAAATTCCAACAATGCCATAGCATCATCACCAGACCAGATCCAGTGGCTTCCTTCTTGAAGTTTATGCCTAAATAGTCCTTCCACCAGGACAGCAAATGTCACAACAGCAAAAAATAAGCCTATTTTCCCAATAACAGTGGCTACTCCATTCAATTTCACCTGAAGTGGGGTCTCATCATCTCCTCCTTCACTGAGTGTAGCCATTAGTTTACCCCACTGTGTTCTCATTCCAACAGTAGTCACAAGCATTTTGCATGCTCCATCCTGAACTTTGGTACCAGAAAGGAGAAAAGGATTAGTGGCATTTACCTGAACTGGTTCGCTCTCCCCTGTCAAACTGGATTCATTAATTAACAAAGAAAACCCAGAAACAAAAAGTCCATCCGCTGGAACCTGGTCTCCAATGGAAAGATGAACAATGTCACCAGGAAGTAAATCATAAATGGAGACCTTCTGCCTGAAGCCATCTCTAGTAGCATGAACTGATATCTTTTTCTTTTCCTTGTCTAAATCTTTGAACTGCAAAGATTGCTTATAATCACTCGTGGCAGTGACAAAAACAACAAGGAGAATACTTGCAACAATTCCAAGTCCATCATGGGCACCCTTTGGCCATCCTTCCATAGCTATGCCAACAATAAGGGACACAAAGGCACAAACACCAAGTATCATAAGTGTCATATCTTGAAGGGCTTCCCAAACAAAAACAAAGAAACCCCGGGGTGGGCTTTCAGTGAATTTATTTACTCCATGAATTTCCCTCCTTTTGTTTAGCAAATCCTCAGAAGTTGAAATGCCATCAGCAATTGACGTGGAGAGTTTGTCAGCAATACCCTCCACGCCGTCATGAATTTTCAGTTTCTTTACATCATGTCCTTCAACAATTGATGCCAACTCGTCAGCACAAATTTTAAAACCGGCAGATTCAACCTCTTCAGGTACAGTGTAGTCATTGGACAAATTAAGACCTGAGAGTAATCAAGGAAAAGGTCAACATGGTAGGCTAACCCATCAAATGCACAGAGTTTTACAGAAGTAATGAATTCTCACAATGGATAAACTGAAGAGCTGCTTTTGAGACCAAAACTGCAACTCGAAGCTTCTCCTGAAATTTAGAGATGAAAAACAAGAATATGACGGACATGAGAAAGTAATTTTACTTGTCTGAAAGAATTATTCTTATAGTTTGGTGCCTTCAACAGATTTATTTGATTTTAATTTCAGTGTCATGACAGGCAATATTTATTTGATTTTAATTTCAATCTCATATCATACAGTAAACTGAGGGACCATTAATAGGCTAAACAAATTCGTTTAGAAACATTAACCAAAATATTTTCTGGAAATAGCAACGATAATAATCTCAACAAAGCTTTCTTCCTGTCAGAACAGCCAGTCCAAGTTTTATCACAGAGCATCAACAGCGCAAGGCATTTCGAAAGAATAATATTGTTACTATATTATGTAACAAATGACTCACGAGAGAAACCTATTTTCTCACAATCTTCATAATCAACCCAGATCGTGTTCAAATATACTTATAGGTTTGATATCTGTAATTATAATTTTGTGTTGCGAATGTAGGTCATAAGAAATGTCAATTAGACTAAGCAGGAGACTCGGAGTAAGTTGCCAAACAGTTCCACAGGACCATCTCATTCTCAATCATTATTTGGAAGCCTTAAATTTCAATTTCCCTTTTTGAAGCATCCGCGTAAGGAAAACTTAGGCGATCAAGGGGCTAGGGCAACGCAAATAGCTGGCAAGAGTCGCTTCAAATTAAATTAACCAGAAGATAGATGAAATATCAAATTAACTGATTGCTTACAAGAGACGCTTCAAATTAGATGATAGGAAGAAAATTTATAAAAGGAAAACAAATTAATATAGTTAGTACCAGGAAATCCAAAATTTTAGTAAACATTAAAAAACCTCATTAACTGTAACTGATTAATGGGAACACAAAGAACAAAATAATAATAAAATAGAAAGTAAGCCAATCTGATTGTTAAGTATGGTAAGATAAAATCCTTAAAAGCTAAATCAATCATTTTTTTATATAAAAAAAAAAAATGAATGAATCAAGAATCAATCCGAATTGGTCAACGCGGGAAGCACTTTTGAGTACTTAAGTCTATCAAGGAGACCTGAGAATGAAATTTTGAATCGCAATAACAGAACACGTTATTTCATTTTTATTATTATTATTATTATTTTCCTTTTAACTCAGATTTAAGTTTTCCTTCCTTAGATTTTGACGGCAAGCAAACAACAGAATATAGAGAGAGGAATACCTGATTGGAGCGACGGATGGCTTCGGCCTCAAAGCGTTTAGAGAGATTAGCAGTGAAACGAAACCTCCGTTTCCGATTCTTCACTAACCAGCAAAGCTTTCTCCATCTCTGCAATGCTTCCTCCGATGAGTTCTTAGGCTTAACTTCAAAGTTTTGAATCAAATAGCTCTCCATCAAACAAAATGATTTTTGTATTCTTCCACTATTCTCACTTGACAAAATCCTGACCTCTCGCCTTGTCCGAAGCAGTAAATATAGCTCTAAACTTTCTAAGATAAGCTAAGAACCAGAAGATATTTTGATTTGATAAAATTCTCAAGCAATGATTTATTCCTTCGGCACCTAACGTTCCCCTTTCAATAAAGAAAGAAAAGTATAAAGAAGACCAAACTTGGCCTTCAGGATTCAAAGTAGACAACTATAGATGTAGAGATCTATACCCAAATACCAAGCAGCGATAAAAGAGAAATGGAAGTCAAAGTTCTGGTATGCAACAGGTGACCGGAAGGAGAGGTGACTTCCTGGTCCGAAGAGAGAGAGAGAAGGAGATCTTGGTTTGCCGCGTGAAACAGGGCGCTGCTCTCCAATTACTAGTAATTACGCGTTTCAAGCATGTGTGTTACTGACCAACAGGATTCTGACAGAGTGTCCCATTTATGTGGTCCCACTTCGTTTAATTAATTTATATCTCGGCGGGCGCGGGCGGGCTGTTTTAGGCGGATCTTTTTCTATTTGTGTTTTGTTTTTGTCTCTTCTTTTTCCCTTTTTTACATCATCAGTCAAAGAGGAACTTGTTGACACGTTTCCGCTTAGGAGATTAGAGAAGTCCTAATAAGTTACATTAAGTGCTACAGTTGATGGGTAATGATGACAGGTAACTTCGTGAATCATTTTGGGTTTTTTAAGTGGACAAAATAAAGTAGAGATTATGAAATATTTTCAAAATCAGTTAATAAAAAAATAAAAATATAATGTTTTTATTAATTATAGTTTCACTAAATAATATCCAAAGATATTATTAACAATGTTTTTAAACAATTAATTGAATGATAAAAAATTTAATATCCCAATAATATAAGAAGTCGATTCAAAATATTTATCAACATGTATCTCTCTTTGTATAAAGTGGTGCCCTTTGATAGTTGAACACAGGCCCTGACAGAGAACGACATTCTGTTCAGCTATAGAACGACAACGTGTAAAATGTAAAGGACTCAACAAGAACATCGTTTAATTCAATAAAACAACTTGTCCGTAAGACCGTAACGCCGTAACCGAGTTCCGGCATTAAACCCACATGTCATCGAACGACCACTTGATGAAGTGGAATATTACCTTTTCTGGTTGCAGGGTGGACTTAAAAAAGGCCCATGGATATGTTGAAAGAGGTTGTCCAAACCGAATGGGCATTTCAAGTTCGGTGTAGGCTTTAACACGAGCCTAACAAAATCCTGGATTTATATCAAGTGGACTCATTATAAAGTAAGAAACTGTTCGTGTACATGAGGAATTGGAGGGCCCATATAATGAATTTTGACCCACCGAGTATGAGAAGAATTCTTCTCATTCTTTTATTATTTTGCCCTGCTACGCTCAGGACCAGGTATGGAGTAATACTACTCAAAGGTCTCAAGCTCGATTTGCAATCACTCGTTATATTTCTTCAAATGCTCAATAATATGTCGAATTTGTTAGGGGATTCTCTGACACAAAATTCCACAACTTTGACAGGCACAGCTATAAGATAAAAAGAAGATAACGTAAGATAACAGATGAAATAGTTAGCAAACAGGAAGCGAAATAGGACATAATGGTATCCCCACCTATGATTATGAATTTAACCACAGAGAGAACATATATGTACGCGTGCAAAGCCAATCTAATCAAACCTACCTACTTATAGCTTGCAATTAATCTACGGAATGTACTTCTCTTGTCTTCTTTATCCCTCTTCTTCTTGTTCTAGTTCGAGTTAATTTGCTTTTTGAGCTATTTCTACACAGGTTCCTATTAGATAGAATTTGCTTTCTAGCAGACACCCACATATTAAAAAAATCCAAACAAATTTATTTTCTTTTATATATGTGTAATTTTTGTAGAATAAACGAAATTCTACAAAATATATATAAAAAAAATAGTACTTATTCTTTTGTATTATCAGACACTTCTTTTTATGCCTGAAGACAAAAAAAAAAAAAAAAAAAAGAATAGAGAATCGAAATTCTACAAAATATATATAAAAAATAGTACTGTATTCTTGTTGTAATTAATCAGACACTTCTTTTTAATGCCGTGAAAGACAAAAAAAAAAAAAAAAAAATGGGTGGGGACAAAAAATGGACAAGAACAGTAAAATATGTATGTTGTAAGTAAGGTTTCCAAAGTTTCCAGGGAAATGGAAAACACGTTTTTTTAAAAAAAAAAAAAAAAAAAAATGGGGGGGACAAAATGACAAGAACAGTAATATGTATGTTTAATTAGGTTTCCAAGTTTCAGGGAAATGGAAAACACGTTTTTTATGTTAGAAGAAAAAATAAAAAAGGAAGTAGCAAATCTTAATTGTTCCTCAAGAAAATAAAGCAAAAACCCACTAATTAAAAGGGGTGGAAAAAATAATTTCATAAGACATCAAATCATTGAAACTTTGAAGGTTAAAAGAGAAAAGAAGGAAAACCCTAAATCATATTCTGAGAAAGTAAGGCACTAACCCACATTGGATCCGAAGTGGTATCAACCACGCGTGACAAAAAAGGGAAATTTTAGACTCTTTCTTTATTTTAATATTATCCTTTTAGCAGTGGAAAGGAAGGAATAAGGAATGAATGATAGATAAAACGATGTCGATTCCTGTACAGAAATGACTTTGTCGAAAATTAAATTCACTTCGCTTCTGTATTGTAATAATCTCATAGACAATCATATACAAACTGACTGACTCCAATCACTTCACTTTTTCCACTGACTTGGAATCCAATAACAACCGTTGATCCTTTATTTAAATACTTAATTAGGTTTAGTTCTGTCCGTTGATTTTTATTCCCGTTTTTTGGTGGATAACTTCTTTGCAAAAATCAATTTACAACTTTCTTGAATTTTCATGATAGATGGAAAACAAATCAATAAAAGAAATTATATGCTATAGTATTTTGAAATGGAAGGGAGAGTGAGAGACCGTTGAGCTTAATTATTAATTTAGTAATATTAGAATCATCTTTCTTTTTCTTTTTTTTAAGCTAAGTTCAAGTTTAAACTTTTGCCAGTATAAAATTATTAGATAAAAAAGAGAGAGAGAGAGAGTCGATATTAGATAAAACAAATTCGAAATATTTGGGAAAAAGGTGTCAACTTTAATAACAAATGAATACATAAATTATAAATTTGTTAAATTTTCAATTATCATGTCAAATTCATTTTTCCAGTCCACTTAGAAGTAAATTGTTCATACTAATTTCAATAAATCTCCAAAAGAAAATTCCTTTATAATTTAATTAAGCCCAAAAATAAAATTTTGATCAATAATATATATATAAAAAAAAAAAAAACTATTTCAATGAGATGGTAGTTACGCATCTCATCATATCATATTATATTAGATAATATGATTAGTTACATATCTCTCTCCATCAAGTCCTTTCTATTCTAACATAGACAAGGTCGAGAATATGAGTAGATGCTAAATTAAAAAGTAAAGAAAAAGAAAAAGAAAAAGAAAAGAAAGAATGAAAAAAAAAAGGTAAATCTATGGATAGATAAGATAAGCTTAATGGCTCATCGTGTTCATACCAATTGGAAGACTCCATATAAGGAAAATGGTCTCCACAAGGTTGTACATAAGTTAAAATAAGTCAATCATCTTCCTTTCTCTCTAGTGTATCAAAAGCTAAGTTTTAGTTTAAGGTTGCCACTGTTAGTCATTGATAACTCCTAATTTTCACTCTAATTATTCATGATCTTTTATTCGTTTTTAATAAATTTTTCCTCTAATATATTTGTTTTTTCTTTTTTCTTTTTTTTTTTTTGTTATTGTTGCTTTATAAATTTGTTCCTCCTTTTAAAATAAATTTAATATGTTGTTTGTTTTCTTTTTTTCTTTTTTTTTTTTTGTTAATTGTTGCTTTTGTCTCATATTTGGGAGTTTTTTTTATCTCTTCTTTCCCGCTGAAGGGTTTTTGTTATTTAAGGAATAATGATAATAAATTCTTAAAATTATTTTGTTAATATAATCAAGAGAACTCTCTAATTAGTTATGGGAATAGAAGTTCTTATGGTCGCGAATCTGACTTTTTTTTTTTTTTTGTTATTGTTGCTTTTGTCTGCATATTTGGAGTTTTTTTTATCTCTTCTTCCGTGAGGGTTTTGTTATTTAAAGGAATATAAATAATTCTTTTATTTTGTTAAAATATCAAAGAACTCTCTATTAGTTATGATAGTAAGTTCTATGTCCGATCTGATTAAGTATTTGTAATACTTGATATTATTATTACTGATGAGTTTATATACACAATCAATGGATAAAAAATATTTTTAAATAATTATTTTTTACTCATAAAAAGAAACTTATACCTTTAGCCTTTAGGCCTTGTTTGGTTAGGGACAATGATGAATTCAGACTTTAAGGTTGAGGGGCTAAAAACAGATTTTTAAAAATTAAGGGGCCAAATGAAAAATTTTCACAATTTTATAAGGTAAATATTTAAAATATTTTGGACCCTGCGAGGACGCTAGACTAAAAAGTGCGACTTTCAAATAGGAAGTGCATGAACTCTTTTTGTTTAATTTGTATTATCAATTCACTTGTTGGGGAACTAATTTGGAGAGAGATAGAAAAGTTGCGCTTCAGTACTGTAATGAATTTATGAATTTATTATTTAATAATTATTAAAGTTTAAGTTTTAAGTACATTTTGCACTCAAAAAAGTTTTTGAATACATTTCTATGGATATTATTTTTCTCTTATAACTTGATATATGTAAAATTTACTTTTCAAGAAATTAATTCACACTAAACACATTCAAGCATACCAAATAAATTCATAATTTCCTGTGTATCAAAATATAGTCTAGTGGTAAGTGCATTTACGACCTGACTATAAATCCAAGTTCAAATTTTCTACCTATACCCAAAAAAAAAAAAAAAATTCATAGATTTCTTGAAAGAAAATACAAATAAATAACCAATGTTTTTAAAATTTCTTGCATGTCATTGTTCAGTAATATTCTTACGTTGGTCATGGGGGACCCAGCACCCTATTAACTTATCTGCAACTTTCCAACTTTGTGTCTTCATAATCATATGCTGTGATCTCCTTCTATATAATATTTTCCTATCTGACAAAACCTAAATGGGTTCTCAAGCTGGTGCGATGGTTACACTAAAGCATAAATATACCTTTTATCTGCATTCTTTTTCATCGTAATTGGCAGTTGCAAATGCCACTAGTTTTCCTACCAGCACATATGCCCAAACGCCATTAAAGCCAATAATGTCACTATAGATTTTAGCAGCAATTGCTGATAAAGATATATACAAACCCTAATAAGCAAAAGGGCATATAAGATTTGATATAAATATATACACAACAAAAAATAAATCCCATATCTATATCACTCATATTTGGTTTGACTCCAAAATAATAAGATAAGATTATGAGGAGAAAAACAAAAAGGGTGAAATTATCTAGTTTCAGTGGATTACCCTATAGGACTTTCACATGGATTGGTGCTTATTTGTGCCAGATGTTACTCTACTCCTCTCTACCAATTACTAATTAAGCGCTAATTAAGTTGCTGTCAGCAATAGTGGACAAGGAATTGAAAACTTGATGAAGACTGAAGCATGCACATAATGAATTATAAGTTTTGAAAAGATATATATCTTGTAAGAAATCATTTTCCTTTTACTAATAGAATTTTTGTTTTTAGATTCAAATTTCGTTTAACACGAGTGATTTCAACTTTAAAGTAAACTAGTAGAAAATAGTGCTTGGCATTGCCAATCTTTGTCAAAGAAGAGAAAAATTTTCAAAAGAACAGTGGAGAAGAGAGTGGAGAAGTCAATTCTGCGACCAATGGGCTGGATGCGGCTACAAGAAAAAGATGGACCATATAAAATTATATTATTATAGTAGATAGATGAAGGCCACCACCAAACCAATTGAATCAGATTCCTGTACGTGGACCTGCTTTTATTTCTCTTCTATGTGCATGTATTACTCAATACGAGATGGAGATTCTGTATAAAACATGGAACATTGACGCTCAGCTACAGCTTGTAATAAGGTAACGATCTCATCAACAACAATAACAATTAATGTTAGGCTAACCAGACATGGTGTGACTGCTTTTCTTGTTTATGTACAGAGTGAAAAATACAAGAATTTTCACCAAGTTGATAAGTAAAAGAAAAATTTATTTGGACCTGTTATAAAAAAATTAACATTAATGCTCATGCCTTATACTCTATTACATCCACATGTTAATCAGTCCAGTGATTCTTTAGCGGTAATCATTACTTAACGTCAGCGATACTATGTTGTCTTATGATGTGGTTTTTGGTTCAATAATTTTCGTTTGTAACAAAGTAGAAGGCTTGAAATATTGCCATTAATTATATGTGGCATGTTACAGAAGCAGGTAGAGGTAATCAACAAACTGTCAACCAAAGGGAGCACATCAAATAAAGATAGGGCATAGAGGGGTCCCCTTAATGTCTTCCACTCTTGCATGAGAAAAATAATAATTTCGAATATACTTGCTTCTTTCTTTCTGTAAAGGATAGGGTTCAAAATCAAAAGTTACATGCTGATGTCATCACTATCCACGTGTCATCCTGACACGTTTCTCTAATTAAACGGTTCCTATGTTTGCTTTCAACTATTATATATGGCAAATTGATCTGGTGGAGCATTTTGACCTATTTTACAAACGTTGTGTAACGCTGAAGTTATTTTAGATATAATAGGAAAATATAAAATAAAATTAAATAGAGATATATACAAATTTTTGGTCACAACTAATTGCAGAGTATCTGATGATAATGTAGGTTTAAAATCTTGATTCATTTGGAAAAGATCTCTCTTAATAGAGTATCATTAAAAAAGAAACACAGCCCTGTTTTGAACAAACAGACAAAAGTGGTATCAAGCTTCATTTTCATGAAATTGGAGCGCAGGCAAAAGCATTCTTTTTTTTTTTTTTTTTTTTTTTACATGAATTTTTTGGTCACAACTAATTGCAGAGTAGTTCTGATGATAATTGTTAGGTTTAGAAATCTTGATCATTTGGAAAAGATTCTCTTCTTAATAAGAGTATCATTTAAAAAAAAACACAGCCCTGTTTTTTGAATCAAACAGACAAAGGTGGTATCAGCTTCATTTTCATGAAATTGGAGCGCAGGCAAGAGCACATTCTTTTTTTTTTTTTATTTTTTTTTGATAAGGTAACAGGCAAGATAGCATTCTTGAAGTAGCTCTGCACAGTCCGCAGTGGTGGAATTAAATCAATGGGGCACTTTTGGTCCAAAAATATTCGATAGTTGTGGTCAGCCGCGACACCGCACAATCAATAAGTTAACCGCATGTAATAATAATGTAAAATAACTAAATAATTTCACTTAATCATTATTTATTTAAAGAGAATTGTGTTTAAGTTAAGCGGTAAATGTAACTGTTGGTCAAAGAATTCTTTTTTTTTTTTTTTTTTTTTGATGGTAACAGGCAAAAGCATTCTTGATAGCTCTGCACTCCGCAGTGTGGATTATCAATGGGCACTTTGGTCCAAAAATATTCGAAGTTGTGCAGCCGACACCGCACATCAAATAAGTTAACCGCATGTAATAATAATGTAAATAACTAAATATTCACTTAATCTTATTTTTTAAGAGAATGTGTTTAGTACTGTAAATGTAACTGGTTGGTCAAAGAAATATCCAGAGTTCCTATGGCTCCTATGACTTCTACTTAAATTTATATTTTCATCTTTATAAAAATAAGATGTCATATCAATTTGATCAATAATTCAATTAGTTATTGAAATATTCATTCTTTTATAAAATGTTTATTTTTAATTAACTATTTATTTATTTATTTTAACTAATTAACTAAAAATTAGTTTATCGGTAATATTCTCTTAATTCACATTATTTTCTATCATTATATGTTAATAGATAAAATTAACATCACACGTACAGTCGAGCTAAAATAATTATTTTGAGAAGCCATTTAAACTTTTAAAAGGATCAAGTATAACTTTTTTATATTTTCAAATATTAAAATTTCATTTTAATAAGAATTAAAAAAAATTATTTTATTTTTATTTTTTTTATAAAATTAAAATGATTTAATCATTTTTTTTTACTCTTTCAAAAGTTCAAAATTGTCAAATTTAATTGAAAAGAGGGACTAAGTTTTCTTGAAATAAAAATTAAAGTATTCCATGCTGATAGATAGAAATTCAGGGAGCTTCGGAGCAAAATTAGTCAAACATGCGTGTACAAGATAAGAAGTAGCGCACCCTACCATTAAACAAATATAAATAGCATATCAAGCATGCATCCGTAGGCAGTAGACAATAAAACTAACACCACGCCCACACCTACCCAATTAAGCTACAATTATTTATACAAACAGTCCTTTCAACTTTTTTTTTTCTCTCTCTCTCTCAGACAGTTTTTCCTCCAAGCGTCCTTCTACTTCTCCGTTGTCTCAAAGCTTCTCAAAATGGGCACCTCTCTTTTGGAAGCTCTCAACGTCCGTGTGGTCGGCTCCGGCGAGAAAATCCTTGTTCTCGCCCATGGAATCGGCACTGACCAATCAGCTTGGCAACGCATTCTTCCATTTTTCACTCAAAACTACAGTGTAATCCTCTACGACCTCGTTTGCGCCGGCAGTGTCAATCCGGGTTACTTCGATTTTAGAAGATATACGACTCTCGACGCTTTCGTTGACGACTTACTTTACATTCTTGACGCTCTTCGCGTCCATCGCTGTGCCTACGTTGGTCACTCCGTCTCCGCTATGATTGGCCTTTTAGCTTCCATTAAACGCCCTGAACTCTTCTCCAAACTCATCCTCATCGGCGCTTCTCCAAGGTAAAATTCAATTTACTCAATCTTACTTGTTAATTTTATGTTTGATTTAAGTCTTTCTTAAATTTTGTGCTTTTAGGTTCTTGAATGACGTAGATTACCATGGAGGATTCGAGAGAGCTGATATAGAGAATGTTTTCGCTGCAATGGAAGCGAATTACGAAGCTTGGGTCAACGGTTTTGCACCGTTGGCCGTGGGAGCAGATGTGCCGGCTGCCGTTAGAGAATTTAGCCGGACGCTTTTCAATATGAGACCTGATATAACATTATTTGTGTCAAGAACCGTTTTTAACAGCGATCTAAGAGGGATATTAGGCTTAGTCAAAGCACCTTGTTGCATAATTCAGACAGCTAGGGATGTGTCCGTACCAGCATCGGTAGCCGAGTATTTGAAGAGTCATTTAGGTGGCCGGAGCACGGTGGAGATATTAAGAACGGAAGGTCATTTACCACATTTGAGTGCTCCAGGGCTATTGGCCCAAGTTCTCCGTCGAGCCCTTTCTCGATGAGAGAAGTACAAGTACTGTACTGTATTTCAATTTCAAGTGCGTTTGTTTGTTTGGCGATTGGGCTAAGTCTAGAGTTGCTACAGTATTGCTATTAGGCGGGGTCCAAGCCATAAAAAAAAAAATTGTAATGGGAGTGGTAGATGGTGACATCTGGCGAATAATTTGTGGTCGTTAGTAATTTTGCAAATCGGGATTATATGTCAAATGTATATCCGATATGATATTTTTCGAAAGGATAAGAATAGCCACGTGATAATCACGTGCTGACTATACTGTTTATTTCCTTTTGTTTTGATAGTATTTCTGATAAATTTTCGCTAATATAATAATGAGGTAAAATTTAATTTTTCAAGCCTCCAATTCCATATAAGAAATTAATAATTTCTTCCACTTTTCTACGATAAAAGACGCCGGTATTTGAAATTTTGTGGATGAGGGAATATTTATTTGTCTGTGGGAAGCCCCAAGCAATTGTACTGACCCACCGGTTGATGATGGGCCTTCAAGGGCTCTGAGAGAGATTCTTCGTCTTTAGAGGACAACCATCTGATTCTTTGATTCCGGATGACTCTTGTCTCTGTTGGATAATTGATAGTCTAGATAAACGGATTTAATGATCAACTGCTTGTTTTGAGAACCAAACAGAAAAGCCTTTCCAACCATTTTCCATTTAGTCAATTTATGGACTGTTTTATGTGTTGGATGCATACACCAAATACAAACAAATCGTTGCCTAATCTAACAAATTATTTTCATCTACCAATTTTGTTTTTCTTTCGCAATATGATAAAATTGTCCTCATGGCATGAAATTAATTTAATTTGGTTTATCATATTTAATTTGTTAATAAACACTATTGTGATTATTATTTAAGTATATTGATTTCAATAAAATAATTATTGTATAGTTTCTCTGATAATTTAATTAAATTATTAATGAATTGACTAAATAATCATGACTATTCTGTCAAACTGTGATGTGATTTTATTGAAGATAAGAGTGGTTGTTGATTGAGGAAATTAGTAGGTGATTTTGTTGAAAACACAAATTAAATATCACAAACTGTTTGTATAAAGTTTGGACAGTTTCTCTTTTTTGCATTATTGTATTTGCATATATTGAAATATTTGGAGAAGCACAGTACTTACAATTCGTAGACAAGAAAATGTAAAGTGATACTTTCTGTCTTTTGCAGAAGGGTAAAACTTCTATTGGGTAAATCTTTACCCTGTCCTTTCTGTCTAACATATCATACCCAAGAATCGACCTCTGGGTAAGAAAATTGTTTGATGCCTGTGGAGGAGACAGTGTCCTACAAGCTTCCCCACATGCTGCAAAGCAATAGCATAGCCACGAGGAACTACTAAAGAAAGAAAAGTTCAAAAAAAGCCAATACAAATGAAGCGTTTTGATAAGAACTTTTGGCCCAGAAAACTCGAGGAAAGTTATGGGCTTAACTACAGGTGTAGGTGTCTAGTTTAGAATCAAGCCATGGCTAATATAGTTTTCTATATTTGGAGATAGTGGTAAAAATTAAGAAATAATAATAATAATAATAAGAAATTGGAGGTTTTGTGTCGAGAAGGAAGTGGTCAAATTTGGTGGCTTAACTTTGTTTGGTAGTTAGATGATAGTAATTTTGGTTTGTGAGATTGAGTGATGTTTGGGAAGCCAAATCTCCAAATTTTTAGCCATATGCTTTTTGTACCTTAAATAATAAAACCCTCTTCTCCAAAATAATAATAATAATAAAACCCACAATTCTTTTTGTTTCTAATGTCAAATGACGCACAAATCATTATATGGAGGCTTAAACTCTGCTTTGTACTATGTCTATTCAGTTAATAATAGATTAATTTTATGAGTATAAAAATTCATTATATTAAATTAAGCTTTATGAATAATATTTTATAATTAAAGACGAAATTAATGATATAATTTTCTTTAAAAACAGTTAAGTAACCAATTGAAAATTGCACCTCTTCTTTAATTATTTTGTTCTCTTTCTAGATATGTATATATTAGTTTTTCCTCACTTACAAATTATTATAACATCACCTCCAAGTTAGGTACATGTATTTTTAATTTCATTATTTGTATTATTCTTAAGTGAAAAGCTTCTATATATTTTAAAATTTTTTTAGCGGAACTCATTGGCTCTAAAATGTTTTATGTTGAACTAGTTTAACAATGGGTGTGAAGATTCAAGAACCTAATACTTCATTTAAAATACTTTTAAAAATACAAATATAGATCCTAATTCATTTTCAACATAACAATGCGCATAAATATAACATAAACAAATATACGATAATAGGGTTAAAAACTTATAAATGAAAAAAAAAAAAAAAACTCTAAAATGTGTTTAATGTTGAACAGAGTTTTAACAACTGGGTGTGAAGATTCAAGAGACCTAAATGACTGATCGATTTAGAAATACTTTTAAAAATACAAATATAGATCCTAATTTCATTTTTCAACAATAACTAATGCGCATAAAAATATAACATAAAAACAAATATACGATAATAGGGGTTAAAAAACTTATAAATGAAACAAAAAAAAAAAAAAAAAGAGAGAGAGAGAGATAAAGATCATAATCATCTTTAATTCTAATCAGGTAACTTGAATGGGATAGTAAGGGCCTAGACAAAAAAAAAAAAAAAAAGAGAGAGAGAGAGATAAAATCATATCATCTTTATTCTACAGTAACTTGATGATATAAGCTAGACCCAGTCGTCCCCACTGAAATAGTCCCCCTTCCCACTCGCTTCTAGTGTCCAACTCAACTCGACCGAGTGAAAGTTACCGCGTGGAAACTTTGCAAATTGCAACGACTCATGTAACAAACAAATTGCTACGTAGCTTTTGGACAGTGGAAAATTGATGATATCGCTTAAGAAATGGGCTTATATGTGTATATTAATCTTGACTTCGTCTTTTATATATATATATATATATATATAGATATTGTGTATACGACAGTTCAACTGTCAACCTCTGAAACAGAAAAATTGATCCTAGCCTAAGGGACAAATTTTGAAAGGCCAAATTATTTAATTATGACTACGTCAGAAAATGGAATGAGTGCCTATACTGCTACTGCTTTTCAAAATTTCTTGAAAAACCGTTCATTACAGTCAAAATCCTTAAGAGAGGCTTTTTAGATTTTGGAATCATCTTATCACTATCTATCTCCCTTCGGGTTTCCGATACATAAGAAGCACAGCAAAACAGAACAAGATTGTTAATAAATAAATTTCAATAAAGAAAAGATAGTTCTTTTTAATTAGAAAACATCAGAAAATAAAGCCGTCAAAAGAAGGGACCCAGATAGAGACAACTGGTGGACTGACCCACTATTAATAACTGAAGCTTGAACACGTGGCAATCAAATAATTGATTCAATCCTCAAAACCGAAGGCTGTTGTTTGAACGATGGGAAAGTGGGTCACGACTCTATCGCTGCCTCGTTTTTATTGCTCTAGCTCTAATGCACGAGTTCCTCGTGGAAGTGGATTTAAATTCAACATTTCGTGCACCAACCTTCCATGGCCAGTTCCTTTGTTCCTTTTTCTTTTTTTTCTTTAGTTTAATCATTATTGTTCTTGTTGCTACTAATACTATTGTTACTTGCTTTTCGATATGCTTACCTCTGCTAAATTAAATTAAACAAAAAGAAAAAGAAACTTGTATTTTAATCTGAGGAAAGAATATTGGGAAATTAGGTGAAAAGAACCAAATGCATTTTTAAAATCCGCCAAAGCCAAGGGCTAATCAAGGCCCATATACCAAACTCAAACCACTTAAATTTTACAAGCTCCGTAAAAGAGATATTTACATGTTTGTTTCATCTCTCAATTTTTTTTTTCTTGTTGGTTGCCTTCTAAGTGAAAAAAGAAAAGAAAAAATATCCACACTTGGTATGTATGATTACACATGGGGCATGTGCTAGAGACTGAGACACCACTTATACTAACACGTCTGATGTCCTGGCAGCGGCGTTACCGGATCTTGGTTGCCGTAGAAGATCTATCAGTGTCTCCGCCTGTCCGCACATTATGACACACAAAACGACAGCACAAAACCCACTCACCCATTAGACAAAAGATTATTATATACTAGAACATGAAAATGGCGCAAAAAGTTTGCCCTGTATAAATATTTTTCAAATATAAAATCAGCGCTGAAAGGAAAAAACAACTCAATTGACCAAGTAAACTAAAACCAATTTTTAATCAAAAATTTCAATTGGTTAAAACTTGGTATATGCAGTATCAATGGCATTTTATGAATCATAATTAATGTCCTTGACCTTCCCATTGAGTCCCTCACATCCAAATGGGAACAAAAAAAAAAGGGGGGGGAAATTGGTTAATAACTTGCGGTATATGCAGTATCAATGGCATTTTATGAATTCATAATTAATGTCTTGCACCTTTCCATTGAGTCTACTATCCCAAATGGGAACAGAAAAAAAAGGGGGGGGAGCGGGAGGAACGACCTCCATGTGGTACGGAAAAGGACGTTTGAGCCTTCCCATATTTTTTCTTAGGATTGGGAAGGACATTTGGGGGGGGGGGGGGACACTCCATTGTACGGAAAAGGACGTTTTGAGCTCCCATTTTTTGATTGGAAGGAATTTATAAATTTTGGTTGCCCTAAAGTTCCTGGGCAGAAAAATTTATGGGTTGATATTTTAAGAGACTATATTAATTGGATATTTTACAAAAACGGGAAGTTTTAATTAAAGATGTGACAGACTGACGTGGCCAACCGAAGTCAAATCAATGCCGTCGTCCCTTCTGAATTCAAAAAAAAATAACCAGCAAAACGACATTGATTTTGGAAATAGCAGTGTCACGTCGGTAGCCAGTTGCCCCAACTATAGACCGTTTAATGATGACCGGAAACTGAAAGTCAGAATAGGCTTACCTTTTGCTTGGCGCGATTGGTGCCGGACTGCGACAAAGCAACCAAGGGAGGAATCGCTCCTTCGCGAGCCACCATAACACGATAAGTCAAATTATCCTCGCAAATCTGCAATAATATAACAACCGCAATCTCCTTCTGTCTCTGCGACCCGACCTCCACGATCTCAACCAGCACAGGAATACCTCCTTCCTCAACCAACGCCGTTCTCGCCTCCGGAACGCTAACTAAGACGCTTAAGACAAACGCTGATTTGTCAACCATATTTGACCCAAAATCAGCCATCAATTCCACCAGTGGCTTCATGATCCCCGCGTGCACAGCCCTGATCTTATTCTCCTTAACTGAACACAGCGAATACAGAGCTGTTGCTGCGTCCTTTTTCCCCCGAATTCCTCCAACTTCCAGTAAGCTCACCAGTAGCGGAATCGCTCCTGACCGTCCGATTGCTACCTTGTTTTCTTCTACTTGCGAGAGGCGAAGCAGAGCACAGGCCGCGTTTTCTTTGGCCGTCGATGTCCCTGTTCTCAAAGCCCTAACAAGTGGCTTAATCGCTCCTGATGAAGCAATCAATTCTTTGTTTTCGTCGCAGAGCGAGAGATTCAAAATCGCTGTGACACCATATTCTTGAAGCTGAAGATCCGATGACGATATAAGTGAAATCAGTGGCTTAATCGCCCCTGCTCTGGCAATTTTGAGGCGGTTCTCTGGTTTGTTCTTGGCCAGGAGCCTAATCTCCATAGCCGCTTGCTTTTGCTCATCAATCGAACAGGCGTCAAGATCCAATACGAGCTGGCGAATCAGATCATCTGAGTTCTCTGATGTGCAGGCTAGAAATAATCGCCGGCTCTCAGAAGACGCCGTCGGGAACTCGCCGGATCTGTCACTATTGCAGTCGCTGAAAGCAGAGGAATCATCGTTTACATTCGTATTTCCGAAGCTCCTCCCCATGTAAGTGAAATTCGTTCCATTCTCCGCCTCCATCACTATGTTACTCTAATTTCACTGCATCAAAACGGTTAGCAATGTATAATTTGGGCTTAAAGATCCGAACTGATGATATTCGGGTTGGATTGGCGGTGGCTGGAACGACAGAGAAAGAGAGATTCGTTAGTTAGTTAGGGAAAGGAGTGCCGTAAGGCAGTATAAACTATAAAGGGCCAGGGAGACAGAACACCTGGACAAGGAGTGCGTGGGTCATTGCGGGTTGGGCTGACACGTGCATATTTTGACTATACCAAATCCTAGTCGGGTGTGAGCACGTGCGAAAGGCCTCTTTAAACGCGTGCGTGGAAGGTTCACTATTCTATAAATGCCTTTAGACGTTGAGTCTTTTTCTTATTTTGCTCTTCCACCAGCGTACATTTTGATTTAAAGCTTTATTAAAGAAATATTGTTAGGATAATTTAAGATTAATGGGTGCAATTTGGTGTTGTTCTAGGATTCCTTATGGTACGCTTGCGCGTTTCATTTTGTGCCACGTTATCTTGCATCTTCGTAGAGAGTTGTTGACTGTGATGCACATGCTTTGATCAATCATGAGGTATCAAAACAGGTCAGGCCACGCCATGGTTGGCTGATCTAAAAAATATTTAGCTGTTATTTAGAATTGAATTAGGCAAAATTGTGCATATAAATTAAATCAGTTGGCCCTTAATATGCTACATTTATGAACATAAAACACAAGATAAAAACTCAGGCAGTGATTATACATCCGGGTTTTAAAATTAATCCTTTCTTTCGGCCAAGAAGGCCCAAACCAAGGGGAAATAAAATAATAATTGCTGCTTTAATTTATTTATTAATTTAATGGTTCCTTTTCCCGCTTTTATTTGATTAACGTGTAACGACCAACCAAAATCCGCTAGAAGCCTAGAAGCCTCCGACAGGCTCTACACAGTAGTACAACATGAACTTTTAACTAGAAAGTATATATATATATATTGTTTCACAGCTTGCAAGGTTGATCTATGATTCTACAAACTACTTGAAATTTTTGAAGTAGTGAAGTGCATGATAAGTATATCTATATACCTATTTCTGTATCTACGTCTCTCTCTCTCTCTCACTATATATATCTTTTCCCGCTTAATATTTGATTAACGGTTAACGACCAAATTCCAAAATCCGCGTAGAAGGCTAGCGAAGAAGCCTACCCCGACAGGCTCTGACACAGTAGTACAACATGGAACTTTTAACTAGACAAGCTTAATGATTATATGAAGTAGAGTGAGGAATATTTGTTTCCACAGCTTTGCAAGGTTGATTCTATGATTCTCCAACTAACTACTTGAAATTTTGAAGTAGCTGAAGTGCATGATAAGTATAGTCTATATACTATTTCTGTATCGTAACGTCTCTCTCTCTCGTCTCACTATATAATATTAATGATATATATATACTAGTATATAGTATATAAGTATATATATGGTATGGTATTTCTATACTTTGTATATTTATAAATTGAAAATAATTTAATTTTAATTGTCTAATATGTAGTTTAAAAAAAACCCAAAACTAAAAGAAAAATATAATCTAAATGGGAATTGAATGTTTTATTTACGAAAAAACAGCGAAGAACGGGCCCAAGTATTTTATAAATTGAAATAATGAATTTTAATTGCTATATTAGTTTAAAAAAACAAAACTAAAAAAAATATAATTCTATGGGAATGAATTTTTCATTTACAAAAACACGAAGAACGGGCCCAGTACTAATATTGTATGCATATTTAGAAATCTATCTTTTATTATTATTGTTTCATTGAGATTCAAACGAATTAAAAAATCACAATACAAAGCAACCAAAAAAGAATTAATTTTCACAATAATGTAATTTATAAAGAAATAAAGTAAATAAGCACTAAAAATAAAATACATTAAATAAGTAAAACAAAGCGAACAAAATTTTCTTGAAATAAGAATTAGTTTGATTTGGCTTATTATATTTTGAATTTATATTATAGAATAATATGTATTATAGACAGATAGCTATTATCGATTATAATTTGGTTTTTTAGTTTACTTTTACTAAAGTTCTATAATCATATCATTAATTTATGGTTGCTTTCTTTGAGAAAAAAAAAAGTAATTAATAGTATGATGCGATTAATAATTAGCTAAGTAATCAATAATATGATGCATTTATTTTAAAATACTTTTCAGTTTTTTCAATAAATAATGAAATTATTAGTATTTTCTAAAAATATTACCATTAATAAAAATTTCAAAATAATTTTTTATACTATTTTTTTATACTGCTACAAATTTTGTAAAGTGAATACCAAGCATCAACAAATTTAAAACTAAAATTTATATGAGGTTGTTAATTGTTAAAAAACTGAAGTGTTTTTCCATTAGTACAGTAAATTTATTGTTTAGGTTATCAATTATTGAAAAAAAAAAATCCAAAAAGCTTTTTTTATTAATTCAATAAATTGTGGGATTATTAATATTAAATTTAATTAATATATATAAATAATTAAAATATATGTCCCAAGATCCTGGAATGTAATGATAATAAAATTAATATTAAATTCATATAATGTTATTTGAATTTTTTAAAATAATATAAAAAATTGCACGTGCAACACGTGGACACATAAATAGGTTACTTATATCAGTTATGATTTTGAATATCTTATCATATTAATTATCTATATATTGAAAGTTCATTATATAATACCATTTTTCTATTACATGGTTTTTACTATTTAAAATTTTAGTTGCTACATTATTTTGTGACATTTATTTAATTAGGATAATTATTAGCATTTATTTTTATCTATTTTTATTTAGTATTCTATCTTTCTTTTTTCTAAAAATTTAATTATTTTATGTTTTTAATTGGATTAGATTTTTAAATTTAGAAATTAATATTATGCCTATATATTTATCTATTTTTGCTTAATATTCTATACGTTTTAAAATTATTTTGCTTTATCTCTTTATATTTTAATCGGATGACTCAAACTTTCGTGCAAAAATTAAAAATAATCATATGACTTACATGTCATTAGATATTGAGAGTTTATTTGATATTATTAATTTTTATTTTGTAATTTTTAATATTATAAATTAAAGTAGATAAGGGGACTTTTAATTTTTTTTTAAGGGTTTTACTTATTGCATTACATCCAACATTTTATACCATTATAAAAGATTTCAAAATTTCATATACTACATTATTTATACATGCATATTGTTGGGAATGGAAACGGACACAAAAAAAATTTCAAAGTTAAAAAAAAAAAAAAAAAAAAAAAAAAAAAAAAAAAAAAAAAGTAAATCCCATATGAACTTGCGAACAATGTCATTAAGTACTATTGGAGAAGTTCATGTTTGAGGTAATTATTAATTTTATTTATTTTGTAACTATTATTTAATATTAATATAATTAACAAGTAGATAGAGAGGGGACTTTTAATTTTTTTTTTAAGGGTTTTGTACACTTTAGTGTGCAGTTACTTCCAACATTTTATACCCCATTATAAAAGATGTCAAAAATTTTCACTCAATACTACATGTATTTTACATCAGCACTATTGTTGGGAAAAATAGGAAACGGAACACAAAAAAAATTTCAAAGTTAAAAAAAAAAAAAAAAAAAAAAAAAAAAAAAAAAGCTTAAGATAAATATGAGATTCAATTATTAGTATATAACACAGAAGTAAATGATGATGTTTTTTCATTTATGTAGTATAAATTTCTTTATTCTTACCGAAAAAAAAAAAAAAAAAAAAAAAAAAAAAAAAAAGCTTTAAGGATAAATATGAGATTCAATTATTATATATAACACAGAGTAAAATGGATGATTTTTTTCATTTATGTTAGTATATTTTTTATTCTTCCGTATATATGGCTTTAACAGTAATATCACAATGTAAATTTATAAATATATGTTTTGGAACTTGAAGACAAGGAATAAATTGAAGTGCAACATATGAAAGGAAAAATGATACATGTCACATGAATATTATCCTTAAATGAAAATTGCCTACTAGCTTTAACACATTAAATGCTTGCTTGGTTTTTAGATTAAAATGATAAAAATTCTGACTTTCTGGTGCTCTATATGGACACGGTGCTAGCCAGCAAAAATCTTTTGCCGACAACATTGGCTGCCAAACTAGTTTCTATTTTTAATAATTCAATGAGAATTCACTTTTCGGTCCATAATAAATTTAAATAATCTTCATTTATATTTGGAGACAACGAAGCCGACTTCGAAAATATTTACATTGATGAGAGATTCAATATATAATCTAAATCACGATGATAAATCTCGTAAATAATTTTTACCCCTGGGGTTGCTGCCAAACTAGTTTAACGCAAGGCAATATTTGCTATTTCAATCAAATGATTGTTATTCATATACTTATAAATCGAGAAATATAAAGGTTTTGCCATTCAAACTAGAAAGCTCGTCTGGATAAATATGTACAATCAAATAGACAAAGTATCTAAAATATCATTATTATTATTTTTAATTGACACCTGGAGAAATGTTTATGGAGCCACTCATCTTTTTAAAATTAGGTATGTGGGTTCTACCTTTATGATTTTATCTGCATAGTCATTCTCGATCGTATGCTACTGTATAATGAAGATTCTCTTTTTACCCGATCAAGAAACAGGTGGGTTCCTCCATGAATGAGTAGTCTTGAAGCAATTGAATATTTTCTTCTCTATCTCCTCACAAAAATACATTTCTGAAAGGTTTCAAGAATAGTAAAGAAACGATTTTGAGCCAATTGAAATAAATTAACAAGAGGGGGAAAAAAATTACAAATGCAACTTTGAAATGAGTACGTTGCTTACAATCTCAATTCCATTGCTTTAGAATGCTGTAATTCTAAGGTTGGATAATTCAAGAATTCTATCTATAAATAATTTTCTTCCTTTGATTTCCGATATTTTGCTTTGAATGTTAGTGGAAAAATAAAAAATAAAATCGAATATTGCAATTTAAGTTTTCCTCTTATAATTTGTCTTAGTTGATATTTCATTTTATTAAAATTTACTTTAAAACTTAACTAAATATAGAATAAGTAATTTTGTAAGGCGCCGCCCGAACTTTATCTATTGCAATGTCGAAACGCGTTACTGTCAAACTAATTTTTTGAGTACATAATACAAAATAAATATCTATTATTAAATCTTTTTTTTTTTTTTCAAAATATGTACTTTATGATAACTAGTATCCAATAGCAATGACTGACATATAGTTGTAGCTCAATAGCAATTACCGATGTATAGTTGTAGTTCGATGTTTTTAGCGGTTAGCATATGAATATTGATTATTTATTTTTTAGAAATTTTTGATTTTTTCTTTATTTTTTATATTTTATTTAGATGAGGTATCGTTTAAATTTTAAAAATAAATATTTTTTATCATAAAAATAAAAAAACTTTGCAATCTAAACATATTAATGTGTATCATTAGGTGTTGGAATTTTTTTTTTTTTTTTTGAAAGGGTATTGGAAGTGATTTGTGTAGTAATTTTATACTTAGAATTTTAATTACTACATTTAAAATTCGAAAATTAATCTTTAGGCTTTAATAATCTATCTTATTATAAGTATGTGCATATGTATATATTTTTACTATTATATATATATATATATCTCATTCCATCCATATATTTATTTATGATCCCATATCGATACTTAAAGTTTTAATAATTACTGGATTAGAAACAGTTGTAATGGGTAGATTCACCATGCATTTGTTTCTTTCTCATACAAAATCACAAATAAACTAAAAAGAAATAAAGAAATGAAAGTTTGCCCCAAAGAATGTAAAATAAAAATTAGAACCCCCGAAATGATGGGGTTTTAATAAACCTCGCTCTGTCGTTCCTCTGTAAAAACCCCAAATTTTTATTCTCTTTCTGCAATCACTATGAGCAGCAAGGGACCCGGGCTCTTCTCTGACTTCGGCAAGAAAGCTAGAGGTAGATCTTCCCTCACCGTGTCTTTCTCTTTGTCTCACCTCTCATTTATCTCTTTCATTTGCAGATGTACTCTTCAAGGATTACAGCACCGACCAGAAATTTGCAATTTCTTCTTGCGCTGAATCTGGAGTGGTTAGTTCTCTGATTCTGTTTCATTTTCTCTCGTTATAATTTCCAATCATTTCTCGTTCCTTTTTTTTGCTTGCTTGGATCCAGCTTTTCGCATTTAATGCTGTAGAAATTTTTTCGCATTGAATACGAATTGAAAAGTCAAATTGTTTGGTTTTTGGATTTGTTTTCTTTGTGGTTGTTAAATTGATGCCGTAGCCATGGATCTATGGACATGTGATTCAATTGCACTTACTCGTCGTTTAGCTAAATCTGGATTGGGATTAAGGGATAATAGTAATTTCAAAACGCACACATGGTCGCACATAAGTAAATATGTATAGGTTCTGGTTCAGCACATGGGAACTGTATGCCTAATTTAAGAACTAATTAGCACCAATTAAGTTCTCCTTTTTGCATGATATATCTATTTATAGTATCTGTGATACACTCTTTCATGCACTAATGGTTAGCACTGTGGTTTAGTTTAATGGTCCCATACTGCACTCGCGTTCTCACAAATCAAAAGATGTGGCGGATGATCTTTTGAACTCTTAGAACAAGGGAGACACTACTGTCTAAATGAGTTGTCAGCTATTTTTAGGTTTGTAGCAAATTACCGTGTTGTCCTTAGTGTCCTGATTCGATAAGTTTGGAAACATAAAATAAGCTGGTAATTCAGTAACCTTGAGATTGATTTAGAATCCAACGACTCAGAGTTTCTCCTGTTAGTGAACAGGAAGTATTCTGCGTTAGCTAGATGTAGAATTAATTAATAAGTCGAGACTAAAGGTGAAAGAGACAGATGTAAAATTACAGAGAAAATATGTTGGCGCTGTGATATTGGTCTTGAGTATAGATGGGTGTTACACAGCCTAAAGTTGTTGATTCTGCGCTTTAAGTGGAAAGAGTCTTCTGCAAACAAGTAAAATGTCTTCATGAAAGTCTCTGAAAATGTTAAATCCCTTTTACTGTATGGTACAATATGATGTTTCTGACCTTCCAAAGTTGATGATGGGAGATGAATGATGTCATATCAAATATCTTTTGCCAAATTTTAGAAACTATTTAATTTAAAGTCATTTGTGAATAATATGCCTTTAGTGAATATATTAAACTTTATTTGTTACAATCACTAAGGTTGGTTGATAATCTTTTTGGCCAATTAACATGTTCTGTTTAGAGCCTATGTTCCTTCTTACATTCTTATGTGATTCAAAGTTGTTGCCAGTTCTTAGGCAATATGCATTTAGCACTTGGAGTTGCATGAGATGCAAGAGCTCGACCATGCCTTCTTTTTTTCTCTCTCTTTTTTTTTTTTTTTTTTTTTACACACATGTGTCGAAATACCTTTTACTGTATGGTACAATATTGATGTCTATCTGCAGACCTTCCCAAGTTGAATGGGAGATCAGAGTGATGTTCAGCATGATCATTCAAAAGTATGTCTTTTGCCAAAATTTGAAACTATTCTTAATTAAAGTCGAATTTATTGTTGAATAATATGACCTTTAGTGAATATATTAAAAACTTATTATTTGTTTAGCAATCACTAAGGTTGGTCTGGAATCTATTTTTGGCCAATTAAACATGTTCTGTTTAGAGCCTATGTTCCTTCTTACATTCTTTTGATTCAAGAGTTATGTTGCGCAGTTCTAGGCAATATTGCATTTGAGCGAGCTTGGAGTTGCACATGAGAGGTGCGCTATAGAGCGCGACCCAATGCCTTCCTGTTTTTTCTCTCTCTTTTTTTTTTTTTTTTTTTTTTCAGTTACAGAAATGTGGGTCAGAGATTATATATCGTCTTGTTCCACTACACCTATATATATTGTGATTGAGAGAGATGTTCCTGTATTCCCGAGCGAGTGAGTAACACATAAATATATTATATATCATTAGATACTTCAATTTTTTTTTTTTTTTTTTTTTTCAGTACAAAATGAGGGTAATAATGCCATCTCTTTTCTCTTCAGGCTATCACCTCAAATGTGGTTGAGAAGGGAGGTCTGTCCATCGGGGATGTGTCAACACAACATAAATTCAAGAATGGCTCACTTGATGTCAAACTCGATACACAATCAAACGTAACACCTTCGCTCATTTCTGTTGTCAAAACTGAGTTGGACACAATCTTGTTTCTAACATGACTAAATTGATTGAGCAGATTCTAACAACCCTCAGACTCACTGATTTCCCATCATCCACAAAAGTCATTGCTTCTTTAAAATTGCCGGATTACAACTCTGGGAAGGTACTGAATTTGCTTTTGTTTAAATTGGACATGTATGCACTCGATGAACTGTTTTAGGACTGACGGCTGTCTATTAAATTTAACACAGTTGGAGGTACAGTATTTTCATCAACATGCCGGTATCACTGCAGCTGCTGGATTGAACCACACGCCAATTGTTGATTTCTCAGCAACTATTGGTACTCCCACCATTGCCTTCGGTGCTGAAACTTCCTATGCTACAGCTTCTGGTGAATTTTCAAAGTATAATGCTGGTGTGAGCTACACCAGCCCAGATACCAATGCTTCAGTGATTTTGTAAGTCCCCTTAATTTGCACGTTCTTCAGTCTCCTTAATTTGTGCATTCATCCATAACTTAACATTAAAATTCCTCCTAGGAAGGATTTATCGTCTAACAAGATTGGACAACTTACTTGAACTGGCTTTCTATGGAGCCTTTATTTTTCATTTTTATATTTGAAAATGTGCAATTTTTGTGTTGTTGGACTTGGGACAGCAAACCGGATTACATGCTAATTTTTGAACGCTAAAATGGAAGCTCCTTGAAGTTAAGATACTAATATTTTCATGATCTAACAACAATTGTTTTCTTAGGGCTGATAAAGGAAACTCAATTAAGGTTTCCTATCTGCGTCATCTGGAAATGATGAATCAGCTTACTGTAGTTGGAGAGATCAACCGCACATTTTCCAACAACGAGAACACATTGACGGTTGGATGTTCTTATGTAGCTGATCCTCAGACTGTGCTGAAGACAAAGCTAAACAATCACGGCAGTCTTGGAGCTCTTGTACAGCATGAGTTTAAACCAAAGTCCTTCCTAACAATTTCTGGTTCCTTCGACACGAAAGCCTTGCATAAGAATCCCAAGTTTGGGTTGGCACTCTCTCTCAAGCCTTGATCGTCTATACTTAATAGCAACAGGAATGATCATACCAATTTTATTTTATACAACTTGTTTTAATTTTCTCCCCTCATTGAGGCATTTTTTTAAAAAAAAAATGGCTCCATATTTTAAATTCCTTTTGATAGGATTTTTCATTCCGCTTGCTTGATTGCCCAAAGTCATTTAATTGCTGTCGACTAGGATATCTGCTCGGTTTTTGTCGAGGTTTGTTTTATTGACTTTACTTTGGAGAGATGCACCTTTTTTGTCCCTACTCCCTTGGTTTCTAGGTCCTATTTCATTATGATGTGACTGTAGAATTCAGAGAAATATGAAATATCATATGCTTGATTAAGGGTCTCACCCATCTTCTGGTGCTGCCATTGACTATATAGTTCAAGTTTAATATTGTATTTTAAGTATAAACAATTATCTATAATAAATTTTTTATTAATGAATTTATTTAAAAATCTGATAAAATTTTAAAGATGTTTTTAATTAAAGTGTCCTCGAACTCGTCGCGAAGTATCCAAAATGAGTAAAGTTACAAAAATAATAGGACATCCTTTTTTCTAAGTATTCGATGTGTTAGAAAGTGTCGTGTTAATATAGGTACAATGAACCTTTGTGTCCATGAGTGAAAATTGTTAAACATATTTACTTGCTTTCTGAAAATAAAAGAGCCCAAAAAGCAAGTCCTAATGGTTTATAAAGCCATTTACTATAGTTATCTACTCACTATAGACTGTAGTGATTTTAAACTACTTTTGTAGCATCTTAGTTTGATGGTAATTTTTTTTTGTTCTATTTATGCTATAACCATCCAGTAATAATTGATCTCTATACTTTAATTCAAAGGTAGATGGTCAGTTTCGGAAAATGTAAAAAGAATAAAAAGTAGATGGTCTACTTTCATCTCATAATGCTATGAGATAGACGTCATTGATAATTTATTACCATAAACCTAGAGATAATGAAGACAATGAACCGTTGAATGCTCTACTTAAAACCATTAAGGAATGCAACCGCTACTTGCTTAATACAAGTCATTAGTTGCCCAAGACGACGATAATAAATAAAAGAGAAAAGACAAAAAATAAAAACCTTTTATTTATGACAAAACCCTCAATTTTCTTCAACTGTGATTTTCAAAACCAACATGGAAAAAATTGGCGTCCGACGGTATAGCAACTCTTAGCTAGTTACTCTTTTAGTTGGAGTTGTATAACAAACTAATCCAACCAAGCTCCATTGAACTCAGAGTTTGAACATGTTTAAATTCGAGTTTGAGTTTTATTCATTTATTAAATAAATTTGATAAATAAATTTAAATAGAGCTAATTAAATTTATCAAATGAGTTCACATATTTTTTTTTAACGAGTTAATTTAGCTCATTTATCGATATATTTTTCAACTATAATTTCTATATAGAATTAAATAGATAAAAAATAAAATATTTTTTGTCTATTTCTTTGTTTGTTACGCTCGTAGAATAAGAATTTCGATTTTCATTATTTTATTTGGTTATAGAAATGAGAGAAGAGAAGAAATAAAATCGGAAATCACTAAAGAAATCAAAAGATTAGAAAGAGAATGTCTATTATTATATTTAATGGTATTTTGCTAAAAAAGAAAAAATTCCTTGTATAATCTAACCCGCTTCCATGAAATTATCATTCCTTATCTATTTATTTTCTATTCTTATCCTCCTCTATTCTGACACGATGAACATCGCCTGTGGGTTTATACTATTACGACCTTTAGTGTTGCACCAGTCCTCAAACAAAGAAAAGGATAGGGAGCATCTTTATCTTTGAACTTTCTTAGTTTCTAGATGCCCTTTTAGATATTTCGACGGCTGGGATGTGTTTTACGTGGAGTCAAAATCATCTGATATAGGCAGCAAAGTCAAAGGCAAAAGCAGGCCTGTATTTTTATTATTCTTCTTCAATAGATGTGGCGTATGCATTAGAAGTAATAGACACCCAACTAAACTTCCAATCCATCTTTAATATCTTCGATAATTGAGATTTTAAGTCACCTAATAGACTAATATATATAAACCTCACAATGTAATCGGGTGAAAAGATTGTAATGTCTTTCAATAACGATTAAACAGTTTTGGTATTATTGATGTTATCCGATGCTCGATACAACGTGTGTTCTTATTTGAATAAGTACTTTCATGATAGTATTTAGACAAGGATACAACTTGTGTACAATTTGTGTACATTTTTTTTATTCTAGTAATTATGATTCCAGATTTGGAATCTCCTGGGTAACGTTAACAGTCAACTATTACCGATCCAACCATTATTTAGTACATAACTTCTATAATGGTGAGGACACAGCTAAAGCAAGTTCAATCAGAAATTTGAGGAAGAAAGAATTGATAAAAACGATGATTGAAATGGTTTTTACGTCAAAAGTAGATGAACAAATGTTTCAAGAATTATACGCAGGGTATTGCAATAAATGTTCTAGAATAGAAGATTGAGCACGCAAAGTCGAAAATAAGATAATTAACAATTAATTATTAATCAAAATTCAGGTTTGAAACTCGTGTAGTTAACTTATTTTGGTTAGCTAGATAAATTTTCCGCAAGCTTTATTAGTGTAAAGCGTAAACTATGAACAACGGCCATTAACAAACGCATCCAAAAACCAGGATTCTCAATATCCATAAAAAGAACCAAATCCAAACAGACAAATCTAATAAGCTTCTAACTTATTAGAAATATACAGAACATATGTAAAGCAAAAAAGAAAAAGGAAAAGAAAAACACAACTCACAGAGAAAGTGAGACAGAAAGGACAAATGCCTCAAACAACAGCATATAGTTCTGGAACAAATGAGAACCACCTAAAACCACAGCTCCACTTATCAGGCAATGAAGGGCATTTAGGCAGCCAATGCCATGTCCTTCTTGAAACCTTGTAATACAATATCTCTGGCCATGTGTAGCAGCACACACATATCATTCCTTGATGCCAAAAACAGTAAACATGTTCATAATTATGGTAACAAACTGACACAAATTTTCTACACATCATTTCTGGCAAACTTTCAATTTCCGTCCAATTCCCTCCATTTCCCAATTCCCATAACTTCATGATCCTTGAAATCCCATTTCTTCCAATTCCACCGAGCAGATATAATTTCCCTTCACCATCACTTACCAATCTAATAAAAGTGATGTCTTCTGGCAATTCATTGGTAAATCTCTTCCACTTTCCTTCCTCCAAATCAAGGCAAACTATTGAAAAGGGCTCTGGCGTGGAAAAATACAATGACCCCTTAAAATACACACCTTCTTGATGACAATTGTCACTTAGAATTGGCTCAAGACTATCAAATGTTTCCCAAGATCCCATTTTTGAATCATAAAGTAAAGCTGAAAGTGATGACAATTTGGAGCATAGCACAAAGATTTTGTACCCAAATGGTGTTGAAACAAAAGTAAGTGACTCAAAACCAAAAGGGTAAAGAGGAAATTCAATAACCCTCGAAGATTTGGCTAAGAAATTGCAAACAACAAAAGAACATGAGTTGGGGAGAGAGAAACAAAATAACCCATTAGAGCATGACACAAGAGTGCAAGATTGTGAACTACCACCCACACCAGCGGTGCAGCGTAGCAAAAAAGAGAGTGATAAGTTTAAGTTGCGCCAAGTACCAATCATAGAATCATATAAACAGTAACGATGATAAAACTGAGGGTGAGAGAGTAAAAGAAAAGAAGAGAAAGGTGAACCAGAAGAACAGTGTTTAGACATAAAACAAGGAGAAAATATAAGAGACCTGAAACGCTTACAAGTTGATCTGAGATTCAAGAATGCTTTTAGAGGCAATAGAGACAATACATGATCAAGTAGCTCCTCCGGCAGTCGGCTCCATATCCCGGGATCCATCTTCGGCGATCGAGTAGCTTCTCCAACTCTGTCTGAAATCAAAGCATGATCTCTGATCTTGAGAGGAGGTAGAGAACCAGTTGGTTTGAGGGTATTCGTGTGAGGGTGAAACATATCTAGAAATTATAAAATATTACAAAGAAAAGAAAAATCAAATAGTGTCAGCTTTAGCTAAACAATCCCATCTTAAATAAGAGTGAATTAAACGAGAATGAATAGGTTTCCCACGCAGGAAACGGAAATATGATAAATTGATAACATTGACTTATTAAGAAAGAACAAAGCGTGCTCTGTTTGTTAGGTCACATGGGTACACAAGAAATATGGGATGGTTGAAGCAGCAAGTGGTCTTTTCTTTTGGGCTTGGCAAACAACTAGGCCATACGTTTATTTCAAGTGCTAGTTTTGTTTTATATATTGTATACTAAGTCCATTCTTTGCCCACAAAATCAAAGACCCAAAAATTCTCCTTCCATGCATTGAATCAAAAGAGTACATTACATAATATATTTATAATTAATAACCTCATCAAACTTGTTTTTTCCTTTCTCTCCGATCTTCTAACCCTAGTTTTAGTTTGGGATTCCCGCTATTTTTATTGGTTTATCTCCATATTCTTTTTTTTGCTATTCATTGTGAGAGTTGATTACAAAATAAAATTATGATATTTGATTTTATTTGGTTAGAAACTTTATATTATAATTTACAGGTGTGAATTTTCGACCAATGGAGTTTAGTAGTATGACATGTTTCTCCTTTGATGCTATTGATGCATAGTGGCGGATATTCGTGATATGTTACAAATTCTTAAAAAATACAATCAAGTTATAAAAGATCCAGTGATATTATAAAATTTATATCTTCTGTCATGATAATTCCAAGCAAAAATATCTAATATTATATTTTTTTTTTAATTTTATTTTGAAGTTCAAATTAATGCTATTATTTATTTTTGCGAATTTGATTACAAATTTCATTGTTGAGAATGAGTTTCTATCTAATTATTAAAGTTTTTATTATTAAGTTCAGTCTTTATTGAAATATAATTAAATTTGAAAAGAAAAAGAAAGCTTTAAAAGAACTTTCTCATGCATACCAAAAAATATACTTTAAAAGGAACCTTTCTCATGCCATTACCAAAAAATAGTTATATAGATATATATATATATATATATATATTATATATATATATAGTTGCTAATTAACATTGTCTTTGACCTAACATATATATAGTTGCTAATTAACATGTCTTGACCTAACACTAACGGTTCCCTTAAAAAAAAGGACATTTTCTTGACCTTCAACTTGTTTATAACATGGTCTGCGTGAACTTGACACTTTAATTATTCTGTAAAACCCTTACTGATTCAGCTATCTACAACGTAAATCCATTAAACCAAATATCGCTTCACCATTTTTATTTTATTTTATTTTTTTCTTTTGAAAAAAAAAAAATCTTTAAATCAAATTCAACTATTCATCTCGAAAGAAAAGTGGAAGGACATGAAACCCACTCAACCTCATCAAACATCGACACCCCTTAGTCTTATCTATAAGTTTGACTAAAATAAAACTCTCACTGCACACGTATGAAATACATTTAATTCCCAATAGTAATACAACTCAGATTGAAGTCAAACGCTTTATATATACATAAACACTACACCGATTACTTTTATATTAGGAGATTGAATATACAAAACATAAAAATTATAATAACGTATTTATATTTCAATACACGTCTTATAGTGCTAGCATTCTTATACTTTTCTCTTCATCAACTCATTTGTATGATTTAAAAAAATCCCAATCTAAAAAATCTAAAATAATGATTAATTCCTGTTATTCAAATGATTTATGAGGCTATTTAGTAGTTTTGCAAATTAATTACTTTCTTAATCTCCAACTATAAAACTTTAAATTATATAAAAATGTATGCAAATTATCCTTCGTAAACACTTTAATACTTCCTTTATTCTAAAAAATTAGAGTAAAATCAATAATAATTTGAATAAATTACCCTTTATTTCAAAAGTAAAAAGAAATATTTGTTGTATTTAATATAAATAATGATAACACAACAAAACTATAATTTATTACTCATTGTGATACTCAAAACGCTCATATTTTGCAACAAAATAATCATGCTAAACGACTTATATTTTACAGGAGGAGTAGATTTTTAAAAGTTTTTTAATAATAATGAATAAAATAATTAAATTACTTAAATTACAATAATATTTTTTTATTTTAAATTACTCTCTCCATCCCATATATATAGATATAGTTTGACTTTCATATAGATTAAGGAAAACTAATTAATATATTTAAATTATATTTTTTGTTTAGCTTTTTCTAAAATTACACCTTTATAATATTAAATGATGTATATACAATTGGGAATAGATATACACATTAAATAGGAGCATATAAAAAAATTACATAACAAATAAACTTTCAGAAAAAGAAATAAAATTACATTTTGAAATAGACGAAAAAGGAAAATGCGCATATATATATGATGAAGTAAGTACTAAATTATCCTTTATTTCACATGGTAATAGGAATAATAAAATTCGTGCAAAGATTTATTGAGCTTGTAATATTTCTTGACAGATCTAACAGTGTGTTTGGCTTTTTTTTTTTTTTTTTTTTTTAACCAGTGGTGTTTGGCCTTTTTTTTTTTTTTTTTTTTCTTCTTTTTTTTTTTTTTTTTTTTTTTCTTCTTTATGTAGGTTAGTCCTTAGTTAACGATGTCAGAGTTTAAGCAGTTCTTGTTATGGATAGAGTTTAATTCGAAGTTAACGTCCAAAAATGCTTTATTGATCCATCCAAACACAGCTTAGTGATTGAATACCCAACAATTGAAAAAGCATGCACTTAATTAATTATTTGCTCTGGATTTAGAATTTCACGTTGGAATATATTAAAAGCGGCATCAAACATGCTTTGTCCCACTGTATCTCGAAAACTGAAAAAAAAAAAAAAATTATTGTAGGATGATAATAACAGACGTGGGAGTGGTTTATTTGAGCTGGATGTTGAATCCAAATCTGTTGCTGTGGTGTTAAGAGTTGATTATTCAATACTTAAGAAGTATTAATATTTTGTACTTCTTTTTTACACAAATAACGAATAAATATCACATTTATATATTTTAAGAAATAATAATTTTTTTTTTTCATTTTTACACTTTACAAATGACGAACATTAATTTCTGTAATTTTAAAAAATTTATCTTTATTGTAATCAAGGGTAATGTAGTCGATTTATTTAATAATTTACTAAATTAGACAAGATAAATAGGTTTTTAAAGAACGAGAAAAATAGAATTATTTGTGGGCAGGGAGAATATTAATTTATAATTATAGGGAATAATAATTTTGTAAAGCTTCAAATTAATAAAATTATTTTATTATTATATAATGGAATAAAAGGTCCTATTCAATAACAAAAAATAAAAAAAATGAAACCCCTTAGACTTAAATAATGCTCATGTTTCAACGTTGAGACGATTGAAGAATGATATTTAATGGCGGGCTGTAATTTTAATGTCCTCAACTGTTGAGCAACATGCAATTTCTGAAGATAATTAAAATGGTTGACGCAGTTCTTGTTGCAATCAAATTCCAACGTTAAATATTTGAAATGTGCAGAATTACGATCATGGATGAACTTGAAACTCAAATGACAGTCACAGAGTATTGGAATGATGTATATCATACCAAATGAATTTTTAATCATACGTACCATTTATACGTATAGATAAAGAGGCATGATAGTCACAGTTGGACTGTTCTCCTCATATCATTCATATTAGTATTAAGAAATTCGTAAATAAAAATAATTTTCTATGTTCATGTCCCAAGATTGAATTTTAAATTTACATATTGTTGGAACAATTTTTGACATTTGCTTTCAATAACTAAAGAAATAGATAACACAGTGGTCTTATTCCAACATCATGACATTTATGGTCAAAATGCATTGCTCACTTGTTAACAATTCAAATGGGAATGTTGAATCAACAAGTGACTCAAGTTATAAATTTATCTCTCTAATTTTTACGAAAAATTGTGTCTATTTCAATTTTTATTTTAACTCATTGAACACTTAATTTATTTACTTTAATTCTATTAAATACTTTATTTGATCTGTTAAACATCTGAATTTATAAAATTATTTCAAAAATTGTCAACCACATACAAAATTAATATTTCATGTATAAAAATAAAAAAATCTTAAAATTCATTATTTTTAGTATAATGAAGCATATAATTATTATACAAATCTATGTTTTTCGGTTTCTTGGAAAACTGTTCTAGAAAACTACTTCAGTTTTCTACAACTGAGCACACCCTAAATTTAACAGTTTTCTAGTTTTCTAAAATTTAACTAAGATTTGGAAACAACTTTCCTTTATAATAAAAGGTATATTTTCCAAATGTTTTTCAATTTTAAAAAATGATATTTTCATAATTAAAATTATAATATTTGTAAATAATTTTTTCTATAAAATATTTTCATTTGTAAAAATAAAAATATTTAAATAAAATAAAATAATTTTCTATAAAATATTTTTATTTGGTAAAAATAAAAATATTTAAATAAAATAAAATTTAAAAATATTATGCTTTAAATAAATAATAATTTTATCATTACAGAGTACATTTTATCCTTTATTTTTTTAAAATTATATCAACCAATAATAGAAAATAATAATATTATTTATAAATAATCAATAATAAAAATTTAAAAAACTTTTTCATAAAAAAATTTCTAAACTTTATTTTTTTAAAAAAATTACAAAATAATAGAAAATAATAATATTATTATAAATAATCAATAATAAAAATTTAAAAACTTTTTCATAAAAAATTTCTAAACTTATTTTATATTATGAAAAATATTTGTGAAAGTAAATTTAAATACAATTTTTATTGTTATTAAATGAATGTATTTTTCATTTTGTAGTTATTTTCTAAAAAAACTGTTTTCTTAAAAAATAAAAAATAATTTTTTATTTTCTGCGAGTAAGTAAACACACACTTAGGGTCTCAAAAGTTCTTTTTAACAAATTTCACACAAATTAATAAGCTACTTCGAATATCCCATGATGTGCAGTGCAGCTGAGCACATGTACTGTGACCCTTCGTCAGGTTGACTTTTAATTTTCCTCCTTGACGTGGAAAACGGTCAAATTCCTACAAAAGCCATAGTGGGTTTTTTTTTGTTGGAAAGAAAAAATCAACATTCAATATATACAGTAAAATTGAATCTGAGGTATGGTGAAAATTACTGAACTAATGTTAAAATGTAATAGCAGGAGTGAAAAATTTGATCCTAAATCTATTATTAGAACTTATACTCCTTAACATTAAATTATTTCTTGGTGTGTTGAAATAGACAATATTTAAATATAAAATACGTTTAATTTACAGTTGATGATAGTAAAATAACTATTAAGAGATAAATATCAAGTCTTATATATATAGATAAATACGTTATTTCTATCTTAATATAATGTATGAATGAAAAATGTTAATTAGAGTTATTATAATAGTATTTAATAATAATTTATTGTTTTTAATAATTATTTATACAGCTACTAGCATATTCATATCAAATGACTAGACTGGAGGTGTTTGATAAAAATTGTAAACACCAGCTGGTAGTAATACAACTTCTTGTTAGTTGACACTTAAAAGGTTTTATTTTACTCATTGCTATCTGATTTGTTTTTTTCGATATTAACTTTATAGAGATAAACTCCCGAGAAGTGAGATAAAATGAAATTATCTTTTCTCATTAATTAGAAGTCTCAACATTAATTAGAAGTCTTAAGTTTGACTTTTGGGTTTAGTCCCTTTAAATATTTAGGGAAATTTTCTTTTCTCATTAACCAGAAATCTCAAGTTTGACTTTTGAGTTAGTTCCTTTAAATATTCAGGAGTGGAAGATTTGTTTCTTTTTATGAATATTTTCAAGCCAATAAACTTCGGAAGATAATTACTAATAAAATTAATATCTATTTTTGATCATTTTATTCTTAATTATTTTAAATATTAAATATTATTTTAAAATATTTAAGTAATGTTTATTTATTTATATAGTATATTACAATAAAAAATAATCAATTTATAATTTAACAACAGATAATAAAATTTTATTGAAAACTATAATTTATCAACTAACCGTTCTCAGCTATCAGTTCTCAGCATCATACTAGTTTTAGTAAATTATTAAACCAAACAGGCTTCTTTTGGCTGGTACACTAAAACTAATTATCCGGTCACCGGTAGGAATCCTCGTTAAACCCAAATAAACTAGTTCTACTTGTCCGTTCACCTTTAGGATTCCTCCTTCCTATCGAAACCCTTATATAGACCAAACAGCCTAAAAAACGCTTATGTATTCAAACAATAAACACCGCCATGTTTGAAAACCACCAAGAAATAGAAATAAGAAACAATGTTCTTGAAGCCTCTTGGCGCAAGGGAATTGTAGTCGACAACAGAATATTGATCGATGGAGACTCCAAACAACCACCATTAGAACTCAGTTCCTATTCTAGCCGCTTGAGGCCATTGCCTCCTCCTGTGGCTTTTGGAATTTGGGATTTGCCTTTTGGGTTGCATGTGGATGTGAATAGCAGAAAGGCATGGAGGGAAGGCGTAATTTTTGATTATAATTATGAGTGTAAAGTAAGAACAGTTTTTTTGCCTGATTGCGGCAGTGAAATAAAGGCTGAAATTGAGAATTTGAGAATAAGTCAAGAATGGGATCGCCTTACCGGAACATGGAAGCGTCGTGGAAGCTGGCCGTTGCTCGGGTTAATTGAGGAGTGCGATAAGGATTTGCCTACCGGTGCTGATATTCCTGCCATTGCCAAGCAGGTTTGGTTTGCTATGTTTGAAAAGTTTCTGCAGTGTAATTACATGTCTAAACCGCTGTGTAAGGAACTAGTTTGTCAGTTTCTAAACAGTGATGTAGTTGTTGACTCAGTACAGAAAAAAGCAAGTAAGGGCAAAGAATCAAAACCAAAATCCAGAAAAAGAAAAAGGAAACCTGAGAGTTGGATTTATGTTGACCCTATGGAGTTAGGTGGAGCAGAGTATTGCCCGAATGCTATTACTGACTATGCTTGTGTTTTCGCCAACTCTCAGAAGCCTTCAGAGCCTCTTGTGCTTAGGATGAGAAAACATCTTTTGTATTTGGGTTGGAAAATTGAGCGGATGAAGTATAAAGATTCTGAAAACATATTTAGATTTCGATACACTTCACCTGATGGCAAGAAATATCTTTCACTAAATCAGCTTTCTAAGGATTTGGGACCCAGAAATAGCTTGGAGTGGAATGTTGGTGATTACAAACTGCCAAAAAGATCAGGCAAAAGAGTCAATTTTCCTACTATCTTGTCTTTGTTGATAGAAAATAATGTGGTGGCTGTAGGAATGAAAGTGCATTACAGTGGTGGCAAGAATTATGATCAATCATATGGGAGGATAACTCGTGACGGAATTCAGTGCATTTGCTGTGATAATGTATTTTCTCTTAGTGAATTTGAAGCTCATGCTGGTAGCACAAGACACAGGCCATCTGAGCATATTTTTTTGGAAGATGGCAGGTCATTGTTAGATTGTAAAAAGAAATTGGGACGTGAAGGCAGACAAAGGATCACTATAAAGTCTTCTAAAAGGAGAAAGGATCAACCTTTTGAAGATATTCAGGATGGCAATGATCATATATGTTCTATTTGTCTCGATGGTGGTGATTTGATTTTATGCGATAAGTGCCCATCAGCTTTCCATAAAGATTGTATTGGCTTGCAGGTTATTCCAGATGGGGACTGGTTTTGTCCACTGTGTTGCTGTAAGATATGTTCTCACTATGAGAATGAGAATCTTCAACAAGATGATGGTTGCATCCATAGTTGTCACCAGTGCATGCGTAAATTTCATCTTGGCTGCGCAAGAGATAAAGGGTCAATCAAATTGGAAAGAAAAGACAATTGGTATTGCAGCAACAAATGTGAAGAGATATCTTTAGCTCTTCAAAAGCTAATAGGACAACCAATTCTGGTAGGTGAAGGTGAAAGTGAAGGTGAAGATAATCTAAGTTGGATACTGTTGAAGTCTTCTAAGAATGATACCTCAGATGAAATGTTGTTGAGTGATAATAACAGAGTCAGACTTACTCGTGCTCTTGAAGCAATGCGTGAATGTTTTGAGCCAGTTGAAGACGCCTATTCAGGAAGAGATCTCATGGAAGATGTGATATTTGGTAAAGAATCCAAACTCAGTCGCTTGAACTTCCAGGGATTCTACACAGTGATTTTAGAGAGGGACAATGAAGTAATTACTGTTGCTAATGTGCGCATTTTGGGAGATAAGTTGGCTGAGGTGCCTCTTATTGCCACCAGATTTCAATATAGAAGACTTGGGATGTGCAGAATTCTGATGGATCAACTTGAAAAGCTCCTAATTTCATTAGGAGTAGAGCATCTAGTTTTACCTGCTGCTTCTGTCACACTAGACACATGGATTGGCAGTTTTGGCTTTAATGTTATGACAGATAATGACAGAAATGAATATTTGGGTTATTCGTTTCTGGATTTCCAAGGTACTATCATGTGCCAGAAATCCTTAAGAAATAGCTCTTCTGGGTCATGTGTTTGAGTCTAGGGAATTAACAAATTTTGATTGTAGATATACCTTGTCAAGTGAATTTTGATTGTAATTTTTGGGACAGTATATGCCTTTTTCTTGTAAATTTGGTTGGTTAAAAACTAAATTTTGGAACAGTATATGCCTTGTTGATTGTAAATTTTGGTTGGTTAAGAACTGATATGTATATTAAGAACTTATACGTGCATTCAGAGTTTTCTCAGTCACTATTCTGTTCCTTTGAACTGACAAGCGAATGACTCTGCCTATATTTTCAGAGCCATAACTCCAAGCAGGAAAACTTGTTATATCTCATATTTATCCCTTTAGGCTTTGATCATTTATGTATTTATATACCATATTTATCTTTTAAGTTTTGATCATTTATGTTGTTTTCATATCACCACAAACAGAGATCAGGAAATGAAGCGTTGCCTTCTGTCAAAACCGACGCCCCTGTGGACTCAGAGGTCAAGCCAGAGCGGCCAGCTCGGAAACGAAGGTGGATTAGTAACTAAAAATTAAAATCAGCAATCTCTATTTAAGATGCATTGCTTTTGTCAGCGAGGAAATCCGTGCTTGGCCCAATCCAATTCTTTTGAAGATCATGCCATTTTTGGATGATAATAATATCTGTAGGCTTGCAGGAATGGCCATGTACCTCAGCTGTAGTTATTATATAATATTGTAACCCATACTTATTTAAATCTTTTGGTCAGCGAGGAAAATCCGTGCTTGGCCCAATCCAATCTCCTTTTGAAGATCATGCCATTTTTGGATGATCATAATATCTGTAGGCTTGCAGGAATGGCCATGTACCTCAGCTGTAGTTATTATATAATATTGTAACCCATACTTATTTAAATGCTGTGTACATACTAACAGATGTAACATTGAACTTGCCATCTTGTGGTGGCTCAGAATTGCTTTTTAGTGTCGATTCAAATTTGTACTAAGATTGACATGTGAAGGGAGCGGAGGACTAGAATTGCAAGACCTGTCGAATGGCCGTAGGTGGAAACAGAATCTGGATCGCATGAAGATGCCAGGGTCGCATGAAGATGCCAGGGTCTGCAAGTTGAGATGAAATTGAGGTTGAAAGGAAAGGGAGAAACAGAAAAATTTTCTGTATCTGTAGATGAGGACTAGTGAGTCTATATAGTATCTGTATGTCCCTTTTTTCCGCATAGTTTTTATTTGAGCAAGAAGTTGGAAACACACGTAGAAGATCCTGTATTTCATGAATGAGTTACAGTCAGCGATTGATTAAAAATGAAAAATTTTTACAGCGATTGATTAAAAATGAAAAATTTTTAACTGTCATCTCTCTCTATCTCCTGATACAGTTTTAGCTTGCATGTGAGAAAGCACGCAAAATGGTAGCCAATACCAATTGGTTTTTGATTAATTAATTACATGGGAAAGTGGAAAGTGATTCTGTTTGGTTATCCCGGCCTGATTTATTAAATCTCTCTCTCTTTTCGTTCTCTCAACTTAGCGCCTCCCCAACAAAAACATCTTTCTCAGGCTAGAATCAATGAAACCCAAACGCATCTGAAGCACTAAGCCCAAGAGCTCTTTGATCCTCTTTTGACAATCTCACGTGCTCATGCATTCAATCTTAGCACTCTCGGATGTTTAATGTTGGTGCTTCTGCTTCGCAAATCGTTTTTGCATCAGTCTCGCTTTTCTCTGTTTCTCTGCTGTGACTAGTCTCCAATCGAGTCTCTTCTGCTGTGACTAGTCTCCAATCGAGTCTCTCTCTTCAGCTATTGGTTTCTGGATTCTCTCTCTCTCTGTCTCTCTCTCGCAAATCACAACTCAACAAGACCAGTGTTTGATCTTCTTTCCTCTTAGCTCACTCGATTCTCTTTGAGGTAAGCTTCTCTTAATATATATATATTTTTTAGTCTTTTCTTTTGTTTGGTGACGAGATTAATGCTCTATGAGTGGGTTTCAAATTTTTTATGGGTCTCTCTTCTTTTGTGGATTTTCATGCAATTAATTTCCTGTATTTGGTTGGGAGTTAATTTCCCTTTATACCCTGAAACTACAGACCTCATTCTTTTCTCTGCAGCTACTCCCAATTGGTCAGGAGGAAGATTTTTTACCCAATTCATTTGGAAATGAGGAAAAAATGTTATGGCCTCGAATATGAATATCGTTTGCTCTGCAAATTTTAACATTGCATCTGCATCTCCATAAGTTTCATGACTCATTTCAATCTCCGTGCTGCACTATTTCATCTTGAAGCAAACCAATTTTGATAATTTGTGTTTTCAACGATGGTTTATGGCACATCCAAATGGAAAGTTTGAGTTGGTTTTCTTGGCATGAAAAATTTAGACGAATTGGAAAATGGTACTACTGTTTTACTGTTTTAATTTTTCACTTGTTTGTTGATTACAATAACTAGGTTCTATCTTGGACATTATAAAAATCTGAATGCCCATTTTATCTGTAGAGTATGACACATACAAATTTTACTGTTTTAATTTTTGAAATTGTCCTACTTTATTAACCCTTTGATATTGATTTAGTGATTAGTGACATATACAAATAATTGGAAAAATTCTGATAATCATTTGATTGAATGCACTTGAATGGAGGGTTTTCAGTACTTATCATCATTAAAGATCGATTTTTATTGATTTAGTATAATTATTCATCAGTTTCCTTCACATTTCATTTTGAAAGCCTATAAAATTATTTCTATTATTTATAGCTTACTTCGAATTCTACTTTTGCATATAAAAATATATTAGGGGATGCAACGTGCAAGTGTCAAGAATAATAATACTTGAGGTCTCTAAGGCCAAATGTCCTATTATTTATGAATTATTATCTTTGGATGTTAATCAAAGCATTTAGAAGTGGTTGAAGCATGCTGGTAACCAAATTTGGAGTGCATTATCCTAATAAAGAATGGAGTTGTTTTTCGTTTTTTCTTTATGTAGAAATCGCTCTCTAATAAGAAATTAGTTGTTTTTCATCTTACTTTATACAAAGCTATCTTGAGAATATGATCGACTGTTGTCAATCTTTCAATATTTTTTGATCTTGTCTTCTGATCTTTTAAATGGGATTTGGTAGCTTAATTCTCATTTGCTAATAGATCCAAAACCAAGCTTAATTCTCATTTGCTAATAGATCCAAAACCAATTGTTAAAGCTCTGTGTCTCTGTTGTTTGCTTAGTTCATGTTCAGTTTTCATTTATATGTACAAAATTAATTCAGTTTGCTCTCTTGGATTTTGCTAATTTGTTTAGTTGATTTGCATAATATCATTTTGCGAAGTAACCACCTACAATCAATCTTCCTTCTTTGGTTCAAATGAAACCTATTTTCAGAATATTGACTAGCAGCTGGTTTCATTATATAACACATTTCCCTTACTATTTTGAACTTTATTTTGCGCAGTGATCTACTTTTAGTTGTCCCCCTTTTCTAGTCCACCTTCAAACTAATGACTTGCTTTCATTATATATGATGCCAGGTTTCTTTTGTTTTTCCCCACTCGCATTAAAGTTATTGCTGGGTTAAGTGTTGTTCTGCAAGATATTATTTTAGAGGATTGGTAGGCTTGGCTCCTAGCATCATCTTCAGATTCTAAACAGTGAAAGTCTCTGCAAAATTGGAATATTATTTTAGAGGATTGGTAGGCTTGGCTCCTAGCATCATCTTCAGATTCTAAACAGTGAAAGTCTCTGCAAAATTGGAAGTACCAAAACTCCTTTTTATTTTTAAAGCTCGATGTCTCTTCGAAAGCCACCACTTCCTCAGATCCTTCTTGACAATGTCTCCTGCATGAGAAACGCCCAATAAATCTTGCGACATGTAAACGTGTCTGTTCATGATGGAGGGGCACGTGTTCTAACTGGTAGCAATGGCTCAGGCAAGACCACCTTCTTATGTATGCTGGCTGGATTTTCTAAGCCTTCTGCAGGTCAGATCCTTTGGAACGGTCATGACGTGACAGAATCTGGAGTTTTCCACCAATATAAGCTTCAACTTAATTGGCTCTCCTTGAAAGATGCCATCAAAGGAAAGTTTACTGTCCTTGACAATGTTTACTGTCCTTGACAATGTTCAGTGGTTTGAGATTCTTGAAGGCAAGCAAGGGAATTCTATGCCTGCTATTGAGTTGATGGGGCTTAGAAGATTGGCAAAAGAGAAGGCAAGAATGCTATCAATGGGCCAACGGAAGAGGCTGCAACTTGCAAGACTATTGGCCATTGACCGACCAATTTGGTTACTGGATGAGCCTTCTGTCGCATTAGATGAGCTGCAACTTGCAAGACTATTGGCCATTGACCGACCAATTTGGTTACTGGATGAGCCTTCTGTCGCATTAGATGATGAAGGGGTAAAAATGCTCGAATATATTATTGCAGAGCATAGAAAGAACAGAGGGATTGTGTTTGTTGCAACGCCTTTGCCAATTGAGATTGAGGATGCTATGTATTTGAGACTGCCTCTGAGGTTCCCTAGAAGGATGACTTTGGTAGATATGCTTGATCGAGCCGGTATTACGTGAAATTTCATCACTGCAGGATAGGCTAATTAAGTTGTTCTGTTTCAACTGGTTGAGCTTGCATTTGTTGTAACAGAACCGTTTGCTGCCTAGATGTGAAGCCATAGCAATGAATAAAGGATTAATAAAGGATTTTGATTCTGAATGAAATGAATTGTGTAACTATTTCTTGATTCAAAACTTTTATTCTATTTATTTATCTATTTATTTGTTTTACGAGGGAATTGAACGAGAAGCTATCTATTCAAAACTTGGCATTGTTCTGTTTATGATGCAAGTGATAGGAGGAGAAGTGAATTTTACGCGCGTATGGTTTTATTTACCAAATTATCCTTAACTCATCGCTCTCCCAGTTTTATCTATATCCATCATAAAATTTTAAAATTTTAATGACCAAGTTACCGTTATGCTCCACCGCCCAACGTCGCACACTGAAAAGGGCAATCACGGAATAAAATAAAATTAAAACACGAAGTTACCATAAAATGCAAGATGCGCCCATTGTACGCAATCTTGAGAATGAGGCTTTGCCCTCAGAGAGGCGGCAGAGAAGGCGGTTGCTGCGCCTCCCAGAACGACTGCGGAGCCGATGATTTCTCCGTCGTTTGTATAATAACCGCATATAGATAGATAGATCATTATC